AAGAAGAAGAAGAAGAAGAAGAAGAAGAAGAAGAAGAAGAAGAAGAAGAAGAAGAAGAAGAAGAAGAAGAAGAAGAAGAAGAAGAAGAAGAAGAAAAAGAAGAAGAAGAAGAAGAAGAAGAAGAAGAAGAAAAAGAAAAAGATAATAAAGATATAATGAGGAAAAAGGCTGCCCTGGTCCATGAATCATGGAAGTCTGGATGGGGCGGATGGAACCCCAGCCATCGTGTCACCGTCTCATCGTTACATAGATCTATACGATAGACGGATGAGGATGACGGTCTGACCAATCCCTCTCTATCCATTTGACCTATATTCTACAAAACTTGCAGAGTTTCATCAAACAAGTCATCTGTCAACGCGGATCTGCCCGATTCTAGATACCCTATCCGACTTAACCTCTTGACATCCTGATTGATGGCGATGTGGGATTGATGGACCCATCCATTCATGATTCGCCACATCCAACCGTGGACAGTGGCCAGTCATCTCCCGATCGTCTCCTCATCGAAACCCTCATGGGAGTCTCTGGAGTCCGGGAAGTCTCCTGCTCGCGGAACATTCTCTGTCGATCTCCTGGGGGGTCCATTCTTTCGAACCAGGGACTGCGACAACATTCCGGATAGACTTGCTTATATCGTTTGCGTCATTGTCTGATTGATACTCTACCTTATTCTTTCTACTTTCTTTTATTTTCTATCTATTCAATATTCTTTCCACTGCCTACCACCCAAGATCACTCTATATCGGATCTGTGACATCTCTGTCTCTGTAATTCAGACTTGCGGGCGCCAACCCCCTCCGCAAACCAACCCAACCTCAGGCACACAACCCAGCCGCCGCTTTTGCCTCTCAAGTCTCTCGTCTCTCTCGATCTCTCGATCACTTTCCCTCGATCGCATCCATCGACCCCATTGTCCTTGATCGCCTTTCTTCCTCTAGGAGTTCTTTCTTTCAACTTTCATCGAACGGACACACTGTCGCTGTCCTTACCCTCCCCACTTTGAATCTCCCCTTACCCCCCTCAATATTCGCCACTCCCCCCCCTCCCTCTTCCTTTCTCTTCCTTTTCTCCCCTTAATTCTCTCTGATCGGTGTCATGGACGGGGTGGATATTACCAAAGCGGTGTTGAACAAGGGCAAGCAGATGGCAAGCGTTGCAGCGTCGGCCGCCAATGGCAATAATAATGGCGGTAAGAAGCGAAGAAAGGGAACCGATCTGAAGCCGATCGTCACCAACGACGGCGCTTCATCCGTGGTCGGTCAGACAGACACCAGCGAGGGGTATGCTTGACTTTCTTCTTCTCTTTTCTTTTGTCCTTCCCTAGTCTTTGAATTTTTGTTTTCCATCTGTCGAATATTTTTCGCCCCTGATTTCTGCGATCGCTTTACATTCTATTCCCCCCTCTCCCCTCCCCTTTGTGGTTTTCAACAACTCGTGCAATTTCTAACCGCCATGGGTGGCGGCAGAGCTCCCGGATACGGTGTCCCGCCATCGCGCTCCCCTTCCGCCTCATCCTCCGGTGATGAGGTCGAGACAACCGCCGAAGAAGAGGACTCGGAGGATTATTGCAAGGGCGGTTACCATCCCGTCCAGATCGGCGAGACCTACAACAATGGTCGCTATATCGTCGTGCGCAAACTGGGGTGGGGTCACTTCTCGACCGTCTGGTTGTCCCGCGATACCACCACGGGGAAACACGTCGCCCTCAAGGTCGTCCGATCCGCTGCCCACTACACCGAAACCGCCATCGACGAGATCAAACTCCTCAACCGCATCGTTCAAGCGAAGCCCTCCCACCCCGGTCGCAAACACGTCGTCAGCCTCCTCGACTCCTTCGAACACAAGGGCCCCAATGGCGTCCACGTCTGCATGGTATTCGAGGTCTTGGGGGAGAATCTGCTGGGCTTGATCAAGCGATGGAACCACCGCGGCATCCCGATGCCTCTGGTGAAGCAGATCACGAAACAGGTCCTCCTCGGCCTGGACTACATGCATCGGGAATGCGGCATCATCCACACGGACCTGAAGCCGGAGAACGTCCTGATCGAGATCGGCGATGTTGAGCAGATCGTCAAGACCTACGTGAAGGAGCAGGCGAAGAAGGATCACAAGGAGGACAATCGCAACGGGAGACGGCGTCGCCGGACGTTGATCACGGGCTCGCAGCCGTTGCCCAGTCCGCTCAACACCAGCTTCGATTTCAAACACAGTTCGCAGAACTCCCACAGCAGTCTCAGTCAGATGGTGAACGAGTGTGAGTGCCCAGAGTACGATCCCGTCTGTAAGACAAGACGCGCTGACCGTTATAGCCCAACCCCAAGAAGGCACGTCGATGAAGGACCTGTTGGGCGTCAAAGAGGAGGATGAGCAACAACAAACACGAGAGAAGACAGCGTATGTCCACCATTTCCCCTCACCAAAGGTGACCCGAGCTAACGGAACAGTGATCTTCTGGAACGGGAGGTGTCCGGCATCTCGCTAGACAAATCCTCGTCCAAGAGCTCCGCCGACGAGCCCGACCTCGACATCATTTCCGTCAAGATCGCCGACCTGGGGAATGCATGCTGGGTCGGCCACCACTTCACCAACGACATCCAAACACGACAGTATCGGTCGCCCGAAGTGATTCTAGGATCTAAATGGGGCGCCAGTACAGACGTCTGGAGTATGGCTTGCATGGTATGCTTGACACCGTCCCCTACACTGTCATAAGACAATGCCTAATGAAACCAGTCATTCGAACTCATCACCGGCGACTACCTCTTCGATCCGCAATCTGGAACAAAATACGGCAAAGACGACGATCACATCGCGCAGATCATCGAACTGCTAGGGCCGTTCCCGCGGTCGCTCTGCCTGTCCGGGAAGTGGTCGCAAGAGATCTTCAACCGCAAAGGTGAGCTGCGAAATATCCACCGACTTCGGCACTGGGCGCTGCCGGACGTGCTGCGGGAGAAGTACCACTTCTCCATGGAGGAGGCCATGCGCATCAGCGAGTTCCTCCTCCCGATGCTGGAGGTGACGCCCGAGCGACGAGCCAACGCGGGCGGGATGGCATCACACAACTGGCTGCAAGGCACACTCGGCATGGACGGGGTTGAACTGGGGATCGCACCGGGGAGTCGAGGCGAAGGGATCGACGGGTGGGCTATGGAAGTGAAGAGGAGATGAATACCCTTTTCCCTCCTCTCTCCTTTTCTTCAATACCTTCTATCCTCGATCTTAACCCTCGATGACTACATGTATGCGTCGATCTTGGCTCAATTTTGGCGGCCCGGGATGTTTATGATTTGACACGATGTTCGCAGCCCCCCCCATTTATTCTCCTTGTTTTGATCTGTTCTCTTCTGCCGTTCCTTACCCGCCTTACCCGCATAGAGTCTATCCACTCGGTAGCACTCGGTTGACTGAACCCCGAGGTTACCGACCCTCCCCTTTCCCTCTCTCTTCCACGCTTTGTGCCCTAGTAACTGTCACACCCCTGGTGTCGTCTAGGTCAGAGCAGACCCTTACAAGGGACTGTAGATACGATTGATGAGCACGGAATCAAGAATGATGGTCAATACGCACGTTGTAGCTACACCTACCACCTACATACATACCTAACTAGCTATTCCCCTCGTCCCAGCATCCGCTTCATCCATCTCATCCACATCCACATCAGACATATCCATCTCCTCCCTCTCACTAGCCAACATGGAAGGAAACCACCCAAACCTCCCCAAATCAATATAAAACTCCCCCATCGCATCCTCCGCTACATCGACGCCTTCTTCGCGCAACGCGTCGGCTTGGCGTTGGGCGCTGCCTGGTCCTCTGTCTCATAGAATTAGCTCTTTGGATGGGTTTCACAAGCACTAGTCACCAAAGACTTGCAAACATCGTAATTATATATATGCAAATATAAATATTTGTTTATAAAGGAGAGAGAAAGAAATAGGGGAAGAATACCGATGCGACACCATCCCCTTCGCATTAACCACCCTCTGCCAGGGCACATTCCCCGCGTGGAAGTAATTGTCGGAGTCCGAGCCGGGCAGGTGTTTGAGGCAGATGCCCACTTGGCGGGGGCGTTTTGCTATATCATTTTTTATCATTAGTATCAGTAATGTTTTGTGCGGAGTGGATGGAGACCAGGTGGGATTCCAAAGAATCAACCTGAAAGGGAAAAGAGAGTGGTTTGGATGGAGACATACGCTCTCCCAGGAGTAGCGCGATGTGGCCGTAGGAGGTCACTTTGCCAGCTGGGATCTCCTGGACGGCGGCGTAGACGGCGTTGAACCAGTGTTCGGCTTCGTCTGTGCGGGGCATCTTTCTTCTTTCTTCTTTCTCTATATACGATTTGGCGATTTAGGGTTTTAGATGGTTGGTGGATGGAATGGGCGGACTATGATGGATGTTTGTTGTCTTGTCTCGTGTATGATAGGTTTATGCCTGAGGCATGAATATATGGTACATACATCGGTGGAGTTGAACTGTTCATAGATGTTCGTTTCCGCCATGGATATAGAATAACTGATACCGAGAGCGATACGAAAGAATGAATAGAATGGTACAGAAGGAACATCGTCAATCGTCAAGTATAATTCTACCTCCCCCCCACCAAAGCAGGCGCCGTCTGCCGACGAGTCGTCGCCGCCGCCATCTGCTCCTTAGAAGTCTGCACCCCCATCGCCATCCAGCGATCCTTCGCGTCCACCGGGTCCCAAGCGACATTCTCACAATTCTCCAGCGCCTCCTCCAGCCACCGATCCCACCAACGCGACACAGGCGCCAACTTGCCCGTCGCCACCCACTCCGTGCACTTCGTCTCCTGCACCGCATACCACAGCGTCTGCGTGAAATTCGGCTTCTTCAGCGACGGCGGGAACGCCGGCCCGCGCTGCTCAATCACATACCGGCTCATATCCCACGTGTCGCGCCGGTCCATCAGCAGCGGCACGGCCCAGTACAGGATGTTGAGGATCATGTAGGACACCCCGATGGCGGTCTGCATCGTCCAGCCGCAGTTACTGAAGAGGACGACGGAGGCCATGAGCAGCACCGTGCTGGTTCCTAGCAGGGCGCGGTGAGGTCGGTCGCTGAGGCGGTACCGGCAGTTTTCGGTGCCGCTGTAGAGCTCGCGCGTGATTTCTTCCGTGCAGTGCACGACGACCATTGCGCGGTTGCGCGTGCTGATCACGATGTCGCCGGGTGGGACCTCTGCGGAGGTGGGGCGTGCGGAGAGGACGGGTTTCCACGAGGAGGAGAGGCACGCGAGGCTCGTGGAGAGCGACATCGTGGCGATGGCGATCATGGCGACCCCGTCGCCGATGCTGCCGGCCCAGGCGAAGAGGCCGGCTGTCATTAGTACTGAGGCGATGATTACGAGGTTGAGGGCGCAGGCGCGCTTTAGGGGGACGTTGATGACTTCGTCGGGGGGTTCTGCTGTGGTGGTGGTGGTGGTGGTGTCGGCGCGGTCATTTGGCTGTTTCTCGAGGTCGTTGGTGAGAGAGAGATTTGGAGGTGGATGAGCGTGTTTTATGTCGAACACGCGAAACTCGTACGGCTGTAGCTGGTTGATCTCGTGGATGACGTCCGCGAAGAAGTTCAGCTCGGTGAGGTGCGTGCCGGAGTGGACGCCCACGATGACGACGTCTTTGATGGAGGGGAGGCGCGAGGGCCGATCGGTCTTGAGCACTGTCTGTGGAGCGGGGGACAGCCGTGGATAGAAGGCGAATGGAGACGCCGTGATGACTTGGACGTGGCGCTCGATGGTCGATTCGCCGATCACGGCCAGCAGACTGACGATGTCGAAGCGCCAGCCGTTGTCTTCGTCGCGGGTTGTTGGGAACCAACCCATTTTATTTATCTATTTATGTAGACGGATATGTATGAATATGTATGAATATGTATGGATATGTATGGATATCAATGTGAGGTGTAGTAGGTATAAGCAAACAAGGACAGGAATCTTACTTGATCACGTCCATTATGAGTGCGGCTGAACAAGGATCTTACTTAAGTCTCAAGCTTGCTGATCGACCCGTAATACCACTAGCTGGTATTCCTAGACCCTCCACCATTGGATCCACGCGAGACGAGAACTGATGCTATCCAGGGCAGACTTATAGGTCATTGAGTGGGGATCGTAGAGTGTATGGAGTTGGAATTAGTTGTACCACCCCTATTCTGATCCCTCTATGTATGTGTGGACTGACGAAGTGACAGGGATGAATGCGATGCCCCGCTAAAGAGGTAAGCCGAGGGTGTTCGTGCATGTCTTAGCTTTGTCTGTCTGTGAGTCGTCTGGGGTTCTGACTCCATGGGTTTGTTTCATGTATGGTAGTATGATCCAGGGTCTGTTTGGGCCATACCCTGATTATACTCCGTGTTTAACTCCCCTGTATAGTATGTATGCTACATGGCCTGCGCCCAGAGGGCCGCAGGTCTTCTGTTAGGCTACGCTCTGCGGTCCTAGCAGGATCTCCTGATCTTCAACTATTCCTTCTTGTATGTAGGCGTGCATAGATGATCTTGATAAGCCACCCCCAACAAAGTAGTCTTAGGTATTGGAATCAAATGATTCGTGTAATGGTCTGCTCATAATATATCATTTCGAAAAGTTCTCAAGCGTGAGAGTTCGCCTGGCATAATAACTCGGGCGGTGTTGAAGCACATGAATAACGAGTACACCTGTCTGGCAATATATAGATGACATTAAATATAGAGGGGTATCATTAGTAGAATCGCTAATTAGTCAACAGGTAGACAAGAGTTTTTTGTCGCAATGTAAATATGACTATAAGAGGGTACCCACAGAGCTCAAAAGTGTCTAGACATCTTTTGTAGCCGAGTGGTATTCTTTGCCACATTTTCTATATCACGAAACCCGAAGATGTTTTGCATCTCCTGTTTCCGCCACGAATAGTCGTCGTTTTGTCGACCTCTGCCGCTGCTTAGCCGGTCGGCGTCTCAGAGTAGAACGGTGAAAGTCGATGATCAAAGCACGCCCGAGCTCTTCACACCAAAGGACATTGTCTGGTTTGAGGTCTTCATGGACTATGCCCAGGGCTTTGACTTCTTTGTTCGACCTATGGATCTCTCGGCGAAGGTGTGGCGTGAGCTCCATCCTGGCCGTGGACTCACCACCCCAGCCCATAACCAGCATATGGCGGATCTGTCCGGCGCCATGTAGAAAGTATATTTTGGCCAAGTCAATCGTTCCTAAAAAGACAGGCACAGCAGATCCTTGAACCTTGCGCAGGAGCTGATATGCCTGTGCTTCGCGGGAGACTGCTTTCCACAGCCCCGAAGTGGTGCCTTTGCCAATAACCGTGTAGCCATACGTCGTGCAAGTTAGTTTGAACGGGGCACCGTAGGAGCCACAAACGCCAACAGGAATGCAACGATCAATGTTTTCGTCCACTTGGCTTTTAAGTGAGATAATTAAATCTTCAGCCGAGAAAGGATGCCGACTCGGGTCGTTCTGGCCACTGCGATGATGGTTCACATTTGGACAAGACTCATCCAGGGAGTTTCCGGTTTGCAGGCCAAGTAGGCATCGCTGTGTGCAAAATTGTGCAGCGCGGCGTCGGGAATGATCATCTCGGTCGTACCCAGACTCTTGCTGGAGACGACCTGATTGTCGAGTGGACGGTGAGGACGTGACTTGACTGATCCTTCGCTTATGGCCTGCCGTTTGATTTGTGTCAGACCCAGACGAGTTAGGTGACTGCGAGCGCCGTCGGATCTCTGTTGAAGGTGCACAGCTGGTTTGAGATCGTGTAGGTACTCGACGGCCCTCCGAGGGAGACGGCAGCGGGGATGATGACGGTAGTCCATAGGACGAACCAGAATCTGGACTCGGGAAATCAGGGTTTGTGCTATCAGAGTGGGGAATCTGCTGTAATTCCTTTCTGGGGATCTGCGAGCGTGTGTGGTCAAAGCTTGTCCTCCAAATATGGAGATCTGGGTTCACATGGTTTCTCCACTCTTGTCCACGGATAGATGAGTGGAATGCCATTAAACAGAGACAGAGCACTCTTGCAACAGAAGTTTTCGATAGATTAGTGATATAATCACCATCTGAATCCATGTCGCTATCCGGATCACAGAGAAAGTAATAAAGCGTGCTTGGCTTGTCATGAGGAACACGAAGTAGAACCCGGGTGATCCCATTTGTGACATAGGAATATTCAAGGCCTTCTTGAATCATTACATGGTATTCCTGGACAATGGCAGAGCAGGCAAGCCGCTCTGCATTATATCTCAACTTCGCTTGCGGCTCCGTAGGAATTTTATTAGACCTGACTAAGTGTTTCCATAAGTCCATCGGTCGAAGGCCCATGCGAAGGCTTGCAACAGGAAGCTTATGTGGCGGCTTATACTCGACAGATGTGAGGAGAGTGTTAGTATTGCCGTCGACGCGGTGGATGCAGAACTGATCAGGCCGTGGGTGTTGTATGATTGATATTTGACTTTCACTTTCTTCGGTCTCTTCATTCTCGTTCAAGATATTTGTGTGGTTGGTGAACTGTACTCCATCACCGAGACCGAACTCGTTTCGAGCCGCAGGTATTTTGCATAACTCAGTAATTATGTCATGGACATGCTCTTCAACGGCAAATTGCTCGTAGGTTTCGAGCCCCTTCTCACTACTCAGTGGTCTGCGAACAACGCGCCGGACTAATCCGTCTAATTCTAGTAAAGATGGGAACAGACGTGGTGCTTGCCGTCTGTCCGGCTGAAAGTAGCAGTGGACGGAACGGTATACTTCTGAGAGTTGCTGTGGACAGTCGAGCCAATATTCTAATCGCGTGGGACAGTATTTGCCTGTCGGAGCAGGTATTTGTCCGGTTGTTGAGAGTGATGGTGTCTCGACTCTCAACGGCCGGGAAAGGTTGTGACAGTGCCGTAGATATTCCTCAAATGTTGTACTGCGAATGCGCTGTTCATCCTCCTCTCGTTTCTCTTTTTCCTGTCTTTCTCGCTCTTCGGCCTGTCTTTGTTGTCTTTCGGCCTCTTCGCGCCGTTGTTCGGCCTGTAGGTAGAGCGACTTGTAATCTGGAGAGCTTTTATCCGCCATCAGGCCTAATGAAAGATGGAGAAGGAAAATAGCTCGAGACAATCACCACTCTGGTTGATACTTGATCAAGGAGGCTTGCTGCCAGGCCCAAGGAGGCTTGAGTCAGCTGGTCGCAGTTTCCGGCTGAAGTATTTACCCGGGCATACGTCACTGCAGCCATTGGTTTAATCAACCCCAAATATCAAACCCTGTGACAATTATGCAGGGGAAGATTAGTGAGTCTGTGGTAGATCTATGTAGCTGCCAACCACGGAGTACACGGTGTGAATGTCGCGCAGTGACATCCGGGGAAGTCACGTGAGCCATCAAAGCGGCGGAGCCAGAATATGGACTGGACGATAATCAGCGATAACACCAGTAAATCAATCATCCACTCCACCAGGAAACACCACCACTCCCAACCAAGGGAAAAGAAACACCCACAAAAACCAAGAACAACAGAAAAAGAACGACCCCATTAAATTAAATAAAGAATGCCATCCTCCCTCGCGGAATACCTCGCCAAAAACTACCTAACAGCCGATCCATCCCCCACCGAACCCCCCAAAAAGAAGCGCAAGAAGAAGCAAGCCTCTACCGCCCCAGAAGGGCTAATCATCGCCGACGACGACCCGCCCGACCTGCGCACCTCCTCCGCAGCCGCCCTCGCGAACGACGACGAAGACGGCCCGTCGCTAGTGACAGCCGCCCGCAGCGCCGAGTTCCGCCGCAAGAAGAAGTCTGGATGGAAGACTGTTAGAACCGCGGGGGATGGAGATGCTGAGCAGGCGGCGGCGGATGCGATTCTTGCGGATGCGGTTGCTGAGAATGCGGCGCGACGGGGGGAGGCGGGCGATGATGACGAGGAGGAGAATGAGGTAGAGGAGGATGATGGGGCGGTGAGGATGGAATCGGGCGCGCTGGCGGGATTACAGACAGCGGCGGATACGGCAGCTATGGTAGCTGCGCACGAGCGGAAGAAGAAACTCGAGGCGATGAAGTTCCAGAATGCGAATGCGGCTGCGGGGGAGCAGCAGCAGGAGACGATCTACCGTGACGCGTCAGGACGGATCATCAACGTGGCGATGAAGCGTGCAGAGGTGCGGCGGGCGGAGGAGGAGAAAAGGATCAAAGAGGAGCAGGCGAAGGAGGCGCTCATGGGCGATGTGCAACGACAGCAGCGCGAGGAGAGGCGACAGAAGCTGGAGGAGGCGCGCGCGATGCCCGTTGCGCGGACGATCGAGGACGAGACGATGAATGATGAGCTGAGGGAGGTGCAGCGATGGAATGATCCCGCGGCGCAATTCCTGACCAAATCGAAGGGCCCGGGTGTGAGTACCTCCGGCCAGCCGCTGTATAAGGGCTCTTTTCAACCCAATCGGTATCAGATTCGGCCTGGACATCGATGGGATGGCGTGGATCGGGGTAATGGGTTTGAGAAGGAGTGGTTTGCGGCGAGGAATCGGAGGGGGAGGTTGGAAGCGCTGGACTATCAGTGGCAGATGGATGAATAGGCTGGATTTGGGTGCTGGACACCGAGATGTAATATTATGATCATTTCTTTCTATGGACTGGCTTGGAAAACACTGGATGGGTACATTCAAGATGCATATAACAACTATTCGACATGGACCGTAGGTACTGCGTACTGAATATAATTGAGATTCTTAGCCGTATACTTGAGTACCACCTAAACAGCCACACCGCTAGCCTATCTAGCCTATCTAGCCTATGTCCAACATTGCAAATACACCCTAAACTAGACCTAACAAGCGGCCGAGCATACACCGCTGTGCCGGAGCAGATTACTGGGACGGTAGGACCGAGGGTGGTGAACAGGGGCTGCTGCTGTTGGGTTCGGTACGGGTGGCTTGGAGAGAGCAGAGTTCAATTACATCCTTCTTCCAGTTAGTATGATACAGCGATCCTTTTATAATGATAGGATGGCGCAGAAATGGCGACGATCACGTCTTGCAACACACTTCGGAGCCGCATGTCTTGTATCAGGGCCGTAACTGGAGCGAGCCTGCTTATTTACACATGATGATGATGTGGCCAGAAAGGTTGAATATAAAAATACCACAATCACATGTGTAGTGGGCGTAAACCTTCTATTATCCAGGTTAGTGTTCGCGGTACTGTCGGAGTATGGATGGCATGCTATGCCCTGCAGACACTTCTGGAAATGATGACTTGGGAGGGAAATATGATCCTGAAACTAGTCTGGCTCATGTCAGCACTGCCAATCCTAGAATCATGGAAAGTGATTTGTTAACCAATTAAGAAAAATAAAGCAATGGCTACTGAAGACTTCCATGTAAGAACAGTATGCGGATGTAATAACGAGGGTGTGGTATATGGCAAGGCTCAAGGTTCATGTAGCGTATTTCGGGAATGGCATGGGAGCGCTTTTGCAGGAACAGTATGATATATCCGAAATCTGTCATCCAGTTCCTCTTCGACAGTGTTGATTGTAGTGTTGTTTGATGATATCGTGCACTATAGCATAACTATTGCATCCTCAGGCATCAACATCTATCGGCTGACTCATCGCTATGACATCATCCCCTTATTGCGTTCGCATTCCAGACTCCAAAGAGGCAACGGGCACGCAATCACAAGACGTTCGAGGCTGCGAACCTTCGAGAGGAAGGAAATACACAGTCAGCAGTATGATAGGGAAACTGCAGGTTGATGCGATGACGGATGATCGTGGCGCAAGGTCAGCAGGGGGATCAGCGGCCACTCCGCAGCTGATAAGCGGCTTCTGCGTCATCGCGATGGCACAGGTGACTCAATCCAGGCGGGCTCCTCTTGCGGTAATGAAGGGTCGTAGTATTTAGTGAGAACAGCCTGGGTTATTAGATATGAATAGAAATGGCGGTATTCAAGGAGTAAGGAGTAACACCGCGTCGGACTGCTGCCGCGATGAGTCACTACTCAAATGAATGAGACATGGAAGGCTGACTGGAACTGGAACCCCCGAGGGTGACTGCGTCTCATACATGCAGGTGCTCTGCTAGGCCCCAGTCTCCACAATTTAGCGCCCGGATGGAGTAGATCGGAGGAGATAACCAGATGCAGGACCAAAGAGGAGAAGTTACTCCGGTTATTGAGGCCCACGGACCTCGGGACTGGTTGAGGGACGATAAGGGATCCTGGGGGGCTTGGAACGTGGGGATAACCAGTGGATAAGAGACACAGCCAGAATAGTCCAGAATTAGACCAGGTCCAGTTAGGAGCTGGATTTTGAATCAGTCATCGACATGACTTGTTATGGCATAATCAGGAGCGCCCGCCTGTCTTGCTCGGACCTCGTGGATGGGGCATGCGGCTGGGGGAGGTGGATATAACCCTGGATATCTCTGCCTACTCGTAGTCTCAGTCCTTTTCCTCCTTCCTTCTTTCTTTCTGGATCTTTCTCTCTCTCGCAGTCTAGGCTTTCTGTCTATATTTGGACGTCTTTGTATTGTTCAACCGATTTCAGTTACCTTTCCAAACAAGCGACCCGGACATTCCAGCACCGAGTGGCGGTTCGAGCTGGATTCCTGATAAAGGATACCAGTGACTCAGACGAAGTATACCGTGGAACCAGTACTTTCATACTCAAACCCGTCGTTTGTCCTTATTTATACGATTTCCCTCCCGCCTTTCCCCAGATTGTCGCCCACCGGGAACAGCAGGAACAACCTTGGTCACGTCTTCAGTATTCAACCCATATTATCATCGCACCGACGAACGAGACCAACGAACCACACCTACCCCCGACTCCCCAACACCTCTGACTTAGTAGTCTGTCGTCTCGCAAATCATGGCTTCTGACAACCTGGTGGCTAGTGACCTCCGTCACGGAGGTACAGAAAGCAAGCGCTTCCACGACCACAAGGCGAAGTGGGCGTATGGCGGCCGCAGCGCCAGTTGCAGAGCGCACGTCACCGAGGGATTTGTCATCGCACGCCCTGCTGTGCCCCGGTCTCACTTCATGAAGTATGTAACCCTCTCTCGATGTCTCGGAGCTCAGTAGTACTAATCACCGTAGTTCTACTCGTGCTCTCCGTTTCGACCGCAAAGCTGAATCCAACCGGATCGCTAGCAATGCAAAGCTTACCCTGCGTGGCGATATCAGCGAGGCTCTCGACAGCGAGTCCTCGGGCTCCTCTAGCGGAGAGGAGGTGGATGAACCGACGGCGGCGCAGACGCTGCCTGTTGACCCGTTTTACTCCACGTCGGGACAGACCCTCTTATCCGATGCCGTGAGCAAGGCCATCGAGAAGTTTGAAACCAAGGAGACGGAGAAGCTCGCCAAGGAGTATGAGATGGTGGTGCCCGAGCACGAGTCCCTTGCCCGTCGTGTGGCTGTTGATGGCGATTTCGAGTTGGTTGATCGCGTGGAATTATAGGTCGCTCACGCGTGCTTGTTGCTGCTTTTATTATTCCCCTTGTATATTTGTTCACTCTTTCTGGTGCTCCTTTGGTCTTTTCGAGTCGTTGTGGAGTTGTGTTAGACTGTTTCAGCATTGGATTCTCTGTACTAGATTGAGACTGAGATAGCTGCTTTTTCTTTTTCGTGTTGACCTGGACATTATTAGTGTTGCAGCTATTTGTTGTATGTCTTTATTGAACATATGAGAAGCTTTAAGCTTTAGTAGAATGGTAGTATGGAGTATAAGAGGAGGAAAGATGGGGATTCTGATCGAACAAGAATGACTTGATGTTGGGCGGCCATACCATGATACAAGAGCATGTAGATAGACATGCATCTTTTCTTCTCCTTCTTTACCCTAAAATCTCCTATTGAAAATCATTCCCAAAGAGGTGATCGATCGTTGCTATTTGCGAAGTAGTCACTACTCCTGGACCTAGCGGTGCTGCTGCAATGACATGCAGACACATGAGCCATGACATCGCGCAATATAAACAGCGAAGAAAATCAAAAAAATTGAAGCTACCCAACCTGAAATCAATAGATAGATATATAAAAAGAAACACACGTAATGAACTTGAAGCCGAAGACATTGTTGACTCGTTGCCTCAGCAGTGGAGCCATTGTTTACGCCCGACCCAATCGGGTATAGCGGGAAAAGTTGATCTCTCTCCGCCCTCCGAAGATAACGAAAGTCAAGTCAAGACTTTCATGAGGTTCAACACTGTTGTTCTTTCCCAGTCATTCGTTTATCCCGGAGTAATTCTCACCATCACGTCCTTCCATCCGCAAGATGGCCAAGCGATCAGGGGAGAGTCCGATGGACTTTGAGTGGCAGTCCAGGGCGCCTGGGGACGTCACTTCACCCTTTTACCAACTGAGCATGCAGCATGATAACGAGAAAAAGCGTCCGTCTAGCCCGACTCGCACAAGGCCTGCATTTGACAGCATACTAATCTTGAGTATAGGACCTCACAGCATCTTCGATTCGCCCGAAAAGAAATCCATGCCCGCCCTCCGCGAACCCAACTCGCAGCCCTTCCTTTTCTCGCAGCCCCAAACTCAAAACCCGCCCGGTACCCCCAAATCCTCCTTCGGCCCATCGGCCTTCATGACCCCGCGCAAATTCGACTTGGACTTCTCGTCAGGCCCCGAAAATATGTCATCGCCCGAGAACGCAGACAACGAAGACACCCCCGAGCCGCCCTCGAAGACCGGAGCGCATCGGAACTCCCTGTTCGGCATGTACGGACGCTTTGCGCCGAGTCCCGGACGCGGAGAGATCCCCCGACTCAACCATTATTCAAATGCCCTGGCGCGACGAGTGCACAAAAGACGGCGGAGGGACAAGGCTCTAGGCCAACAACTGCGGGGTCAGGACAGCGACGATGACAGTGACCGGCCCAGCAGCAGCGAGTCCAAGGTCGTCAGCGTTCAGAAGCAGCGGTCGGGGTCGGCAGCGGAACCGCGTCCCGCGGGGTCGCGCATGTCATTCTCGGACTTCTTTGCGTTGCTCGAGGCGCATCCGCACGTCCCGAGCATTTTGTCGTGGTGGGCGCAGCTGGTAGTTAACCTGTCGCTGTTCTCGCTCGCGGTCTACGTGGTGTTTGGGTTTGTGTCGGCCATTCGGTCGGAATTTGAGCAGGCTGCAGAGGAGGTGTCGGACACTATACTAGCGGAGATGGCCGTGTGTGCAAAGAGCTATGTCGACAACAGATGTTCCGGTGGTGACCGACTCCCGGCCTTGGAGACGGTGTGTGAGAACTGGGAGCGCTGCATGAACCGCGACCCGGCAAAGGTGGGCCGGGCCAAGGTGTCTGCACACACAATGGCGATCATCATCAACAGCTTCATCGACCCGATCAGCTGGAAAGCCATCGTACGTTACGATCATCCTTTCTATGTCTGGAAGATAAGATCGACGGTACTGACACATCTTGCAGTTATTTTTCTTGGCTACGATCTCGACCGTCACGGTCGTCAGCAACTGGTCGTTCCGTTCGTTCAGAAACCGCCTCCATCAACACGAATATACGCACCAACCACCCAGCTTCTCCCGTCAGTCGTCGGCTCAGCACCACCCCGCGCTCGCCTCATCTCAGATGCATTTCCAGGCCCCCTCGGGGTACGAATATCCCAACCAGGCGCCAGGCGCGGATTTCGACCACAAAGACGCCCCGCCTTTGTTGCTCGAACATTCGCAGACTCGGGAATTTGGGACCGAGCGAAACCGGGAGCGAGCAAACCACATGCGAACCCCTAGCCCGGTTAAGCGTACCAGGAACTTCTTCTGAATGGTAATTATCGTTCCAAACGAATCGATGCATTTCAAGGAGGACCCTGGCGTTAATACTGTCTTATCTGGTGTTATTCATCTTTACATCCATTTTCTTTTCTTCTACACTTTATCTCCTTTTGCTTCTTGGATTTTTCCCTCTTCATCCCATATCATTCCTATTAATTTTATCTTTACACTGGGATCGGCGCACCTTAAACCGGCATGATGCCGCGATTTGCATAAGAGGGGGATATCATAGGTGTTAATTTGTTGGACTTTGTACATACTAGAGAATCATCTTACCAACAGAACTCTCCAACGCCTTATTTTCGTTCTTCCTGTGTTACGACCTCTTGATCCTGACCCTGCTTTTGGAAATCTGAACAAATCCTGATACGGCCACATGACAGGGTGCGAACTTAGGCAGAGCCAAGCCTGACTTACTCCAACAATTAATTTAGAATGCGAGTCTGAGGTTTTAGACCCAAGCATGTCCGTTGGAGCTCCGCTGTTAAACCGGGGACGGTGTATCTTGTCTGGACCATACAACCTTATCTCAATCAACACCGGGTCCGCACCCCTCAAGGGGAAAGGAGCCCGTGAGCGGTTGGTTTCAGGGCGATGGCCTAAAATGTTCCGGAATCTTAGCGCCTTGATGTCGTTCTTTTTAACCTTTTTGACGATATCGAACGGCGATGAAGATTCCTTTTCAAAAGCGGCAGGAGTGCCACAATCATAGCGCCAATTGCCTTATATTATGACCAGCTAAATAACGCCATCAAGACCTCCCAGGATCATTAGAGGCCTGGGCTTCTCGAGAACGATCTTGCAGCTTAATTACGGTTATGCCGATGCGATTATGAGGCTAATAAGAGTTACATTCCCAGCCAAGAAATATAGTACAGGGGTGCTGTCTGTGCAGCATCATCGTCAGCCAACCAACATCCAATGATTACTATCCACGGTCTTTATCGTTGTAACCCAAGAAATTACATTGGTCCTAGCATATCGTCACGCACACCCAGGAACACCCCCCATCTAGTCTAATACACCGATACTTGTTCATATGGATGCAGATAGCGGAGTCCGGGGGCAATCGGATCGCTCATTGTCAGGCATACGGCTAATACCACCCTGGGCAACTATGCTACCTAACACTATCGCGTTAAACAACTTCCCCGCAGCGAGCGCACAGCCCTGGCAGACTGAGACTGGGCATGTGGGCTTGGGGTATAAAAGATGGTGGAAGACGCCCCCCCGTGAAGCATCCCCCGAGTGATCTGTCCACCAGCCCGGTACAAGTTCTTCACAATGAAAGCCTCAATTCTCTCTCTTCTTTCGGCGTCCTCGCTGGCGCTGGCCTCGCACACCGGCGGGGAAATCATGGGTGGTTTGATGACCCGCAAGCTGGAGACGCGCCAGCGAGCCCGGGATCAGGGGTTCTTCCACCTGAACAAGTATCCCGATATGGGCGCAACACCGTGCAAGGACGGAAAGGCGGGCGAGTACTCTTGTGAGAATGTCGACTTGCTGGGTTTCATTAGCCATCAGGCGATGGAGAGCAAGACCCGTGAGGGCAATGATTTGTGGGGTAAGTGCATGGCTTCTTCTAGTGATTGAATATTGGGAACGTTGCGTGATGCTTGTGGGACACTGTTGCTAATACGCTAGGCTAGGTTGGACGTCTGCTGACGGCCGCGAATTTGCCATCGTGGGCCAGACGGATGGCACGGCGTTCGTAGAGGTTATGGAAGACGGAAGCCTCGAGTATGTGGGCCGGCTGCCGACGCAGACGGATTCCAGTGTCTGGAGAGACATGAAGGTGGTCAAGGACCATGTCTACATTGGGTCTGAGGCCGATGGGCACGGGCTTCAGGTGTTTGACCTGACCAAGGTAGGAGACACCCCGACCCTTTCCTGAGTGTTTGGAAAGATATAGGTCTAACCTATCGCATTAGCTCGTGAAAGCAAGCAGCAACAGCCCGACGACTTTCAGCCTTGACGACGATTTAAAGGCGTGGTATAAAGAGTTCGGTAGCTCCCACAACATCGTCGCTCACGAGGAGACCGACATGATCTATGCTGTTGGCACGGACCGGGATGGCGACTGCGCGGGAGGTCTGTGGATGGTTGACGTTTCGGACCCGGCGAAGCCGACATCCCCAGGGTGCGCCAACGAAGATGGCTACGTGCACGATGGTATTTTCCCCTACCCGCTCTATTCCCGAAACCAAGAACGAAAGAAAGAAAAGTACTAAGAGAACCACAGCGCAATGCGTAATCTACGCCGGCCCCGACAAGCAGTACACGGACAAGGAAATCTGCTTCAACTACAACGAAGAGACGCTCACAATCGTCGACGTAACCGACAAAGCGAAGCCCATCCAAATCTCCAAGACCCCCTACGAAGGCGCCGCCTACACCCACCAAGGCTGGATCGCCACCGCCGACATGAAGTACCTCCTCCTCGACGACGAGCTCGACGAGCAAGAGAAGACCGGCGCCGCCGAGAACGGCCACACAACGACCTACATCTTCGACATCACGGACCTGGCGAAGCCCAAGTACACGGGGCTGTACCAGTCGCCTGCGCGCTCGATCGACCACAACCAGTATGTCATCGACGGGCTGACCTACCAGAGCAACTATGGTAGTGGGCTGCGGATCGTTGATGTGAGCTCCGTTGCGGAGGACCCGACTGGTAAGGGGTTCAAGCAGGTGGGCTTCTTTGACTGTTATCCTGAGGATGATGAGAGCGGGGGTGAGGTTGAGTTTGTGGGCAGCTGGAGTGTTTATCCTTACTTCAAGAGTGGGATTCTTATTTTGAACAGTATCGAGAGGGGGCTTTTCGCGCTGAAGTATCAGGGGTGATTCAGCTCGGTGGATTTGCATGGAGAGTTGGGCTAGGAATAAACCATATGACTGGAATTGGTGCATTCAATAGCATTAGAGCTCAATAGCATTGGGAGAACACAACTGTCTATCGTCATCGTCGGAGGACGTCCAAGATACACCACCATAAATCTACAAATAACACACCAAAGGATTCAATCCATACAGATTGACCTCAGAAAATAGGAAGCGCAACAGGATCATCAAAGTCTATATTCCCCTCAACACATTCAATTCTCTCCAGACAAGTCCCAAACACGCAATCCCAAACACGTGTCAACTTCCCATAATTACCACTACTTCTCCCCCATCCAAGCCGATGATGAACATCATGATCCTCCATAATGAGCTCCGCACCCAAACCCTGCAAAACAGGATTAAACGGCGACGGCGCAGGGGCATAAACACGGAGCCCGCCGTGCCCACCAAATTCGCTAAACGCAACATACCCATTACACACCCACCACTCGTAGAAGCCCAGAGACCAACCCACCGCGCGGAGACTCAGCCAGGTGAGTAGCGGGATGACGACGATGTTGAAGAGACCTTCCTCGGCATCGAAGGACACGAGGAGCAAGGTGCTGGGGTGGTGCGAGGCGTGATGCGCGCGGTGGTATCGTCTGAGAAAGCGCACTTCGTGCATCGCTCGGTGGTACCAATAGAACCAGAAGTCGAGGACGAGGCTGTAGGTGCCGATTGCGGGGAAGAGTCTCCACCAGGAGATACTGGGGAGGGGAAGCTGGTAGGGGTGGTAGGTGAAGTAGAAGGGGAGGATGGGTCGGACGAAGTACATTGATATCAGGCTGAGCATGATTCGGTTTACTTGGTTGACGGGTACGTCGTCTCGGGGCCGTTTCCAGCTCTCGAGGTAGCCTAATGTGTGGCCTAGACGGCAGAGAATGCGCAGCCCGTGGAGGCTGACTAGACTGTGGGCTGCGCTGTAGTATAAGAAGGCTGAGAGAGGGGTGAGGTTGCGTCCTACCCACCATGCGTAAAGATGGTGGGCTGCGAATATCACGCAGCCGTAGAAGACCAGCCAGCGGTGAAGCTGCCACTGGGGAATGTAGCGCACTTTGTCTGGTTTTTGGTGGATGGGGACTGTCTTGCTGGGGGTAATGGGTCGGATTTGAAGCATTTCAAACATGGAGTGGAAGATTTGATCCCCACGAGGGGGAATTCGTAGATGCGTGGTGGACTTCATTGTCTTGGTCTGAGGATATGAGCCCGTCTGGGAGCTTCATCTAATAAGGTCGCTAGACTTAAGCTGAGCTTGAGCGAAGGTCGTCGTGGATTTCTCTCGCGGCCGTGGATGGAGCGAGTCCCGTTGCCCTTGCATGATCTGCAGTGGCTATTGATATGTCGATTGGTTGAGCTATCACCAGGCTGCACGCTTGTACTGATGAGGGTAGCTGGCGATGTCGATGGAGGTTTGATTGGATCGACGCTAGACGTAGGAGGGATATCTCAGTAAATGATCAGTTGCTTGGATGCCAGGTGGTCGGATATGGATCAATTTCCTTGTATCAAGTCGCATCGGTATACTTGGTGACAGGCTCGATGTAAACCACTGTATTTGTAGGGTTTGGTGATGCATGTGACCGGCTCAATCACTACTTCTACAATAGTCTAAGCTGTTCAAACTATGGAAACTTGACCCCACTCTATGACAACTCACCATCTTTTCAATGCAAGGGGCTTACACTTCCTGCGAGGTTCGACGAAGGGTGTCTTTTTGGAGCCACAACCGAGGAGAATGACATGTCAACATGGGAAGCGGTGGAAACATGTTGAAATATCACCTGTTAAAAAGGGGGGATTCCCCAGTGATGATTTCGACACTGAAAATTGTACTCTGATAGAGGTACAGGGTGAAGTCCTCGTACAGCTGTTGATTATTGCAGGACGAGTCAAGCATATTGGAATAGCTCCATCCATTATGATATCGAGGGTTCCAGCTGGAGTACACGACACTCACTTTTACAACCTTGTCGCCACGATTGAACGATTTATCTGCATATGCACCAAAACAGCCTGACTTTAGTCGAGATGGATGCAGCGACCGACAGGAATGGCCCCGGCATCATGCTGGCTCCTTGTATTCTTTTGTGTTGGAACGCGCCTTCGTGCGCATGTTTTCTGGGTTTGTTGTTTTAATGGGAGTGTGAGAGCAAGTCTCGAACTTGCGTATCGGATCGTCTCCGTTCTGTGCGTCGGTCTAGGTGTTTTTTCTCCTCAGGAGTGGCCTCCGATGTATGGTAGCATCTGGGAGGCATATACGTTACGGAAGTTTTGGGGGGGAGTATACCCCTCGTCTGCTCTATCCGTATCAGTAGACTGCAGTCAGACGTAGACGTATATCCGACCTGGTTGACTGACTGATTGTGCGGCAAATTGTGGCACCAAGGTATTCGATGGCCCAACTCCACCGTGAGCAGCTACCTCACAGACGACATCTTAGCACTGCGTCGCCCCTCGCGGCTCAGACGATATTTGCATATGTTTCTTGTTTTCCTAATCTCCGGTCTGCAGCACCTGCTGGATTCAGTCTTGATGGGTGCCCCCTATCGCAGTCTGGGGGTTCTCGGGTTCTACTGCTCGTTTCCTCTAGGAATATTGATCGAGGACTGCGTGCAGGCGGTATGGGCTAGACTATTTCCAAATTCATTAGGCCCGAGACGTCGCACCCTTCTTTGGAAGCGAGGCGTGGGGTTCGTCTGGGTAGTGGTGTGGTTTTCGCTTACGGCACCGGGGTACATGTATCCTATTCTTCGTTTGGGGGGTGATGAAATTACGTTGTTTCCTATCGATCTGGTCTGTGGATTGGGCATGTTTTCTCTTTGTGGTGTGATGGTCGTGGGAGGGACCTGTCTTTGGGTCTTTGCTAGAGCTAGTATCTGATGATACGAGGAAGTAAGCATTATAAGAGATGCGCACGAGAGGATCTAAGTTTCCAATCCCAATATCAACCAGTCTATGCAGAGACATGGGAGACATATAGCACTTATTTTGCTTAGAGGAATAGATCTGGATTTGTTTTCGGTGGCATAAAGGCTGTATTGTACTATGGTATACATGGGCGAATAAGCCTCAAACTACTTAGGAAAGAGAGTGCCACCCCTTGGTTCTTCATCATCCTGCCCCACATCCCCAGGATATCCAGTACTCTATAAAAGCATTCTCGTGCCAGAAGTGGGTCCGAATATCCAAATACTGATAGAGCAGAGAATATGGTGCTGGACTGGTGGAACCGAAAATATCACTAGTACGTCGATCCACCGTTTACTCATAGGTTGATGGCGAGAGTTGAGTCTGGTCTGGTTCCACTTTGCGCATTCTTAACTGGGTAGTGAAGTAACTATCCCCGGCATTCGCTTTCTCTCTCGCCGTGTCAACATTTCCCAGCTATCGGATGGTAGGCGAGGACTTCTCAACCGTCTTTTGGCCTTGTGTAAAGCAGATTTTCTAACTGATACCTCTAGATTATAAGAAAGGTCGAATCTCTTTCGCAATGATAATGTTGGGCGATCAACACGTCTCCAGCGGGGACGCGTGGATCCCTCGAGCGGGGAAGCGGGGAAGAAGACAACGGGGCTTGATATCATGGCAACTCGGTTATGGAAAGCAGACGCAATCAGATAATCAGAGTTACCCCGCAGTCAGTATAAGAGAGTTCAACGGAGAACTTCTCTTGAGCCCTTCCAACCTTAATCATCTTGAGAATCGAGTCGTGGAAAGTGCACAATGGAATCGCCCTTATCGTCACTGAACTGCCCGGCGGGCACGAAGATGTACCTGCTGGACCTGGGTACATTGGAATGTGATGAATCATGGTTTGTCCAAACTTCTGCTATATACCCTCACGGACTAATGAATTATCACGTTCAGGATCATCCGCGGGGCGAACGCAAGCTCCGTGAGCAACAAGAATCCCACAAACAAACGCCGCCAGCTCGTTGTGCTCTCGGCGCTCATCGACTATCCCGGAGTTGGCCTCATTCTGTATGAGACCGGATGCGCCGAAGACCTGCAAGTGGTGTGTTCAATCTTCCTCCCCCCACAAAAGAAGTCAGTTCCTAACAGCCCAAACCACAGAATTGGGGCGAACACGTCACCGACATCTTCCCCCGAGTCTCCTATGAAGAAAACAACCGCCTCCCCTCCGCGATCGCCAAAGCCGGCCACAACATCAAAGACGTCAAGGCCGTAATCATGGGTCACCTGCACCTCGACCACGCAGGGGGCCTGGAGCACTTCGTCAACACAGACGTGCCGATCTACGTGCACGAGGAAGAGTTCAAGCACGCGTGCTGGGCCGTCGCCACCAAGGCCGACCTCGGCGTCTACCTGGGCCACTACATGCTGCTAGAGAAACTGAACTGGCAGACTTTCAACGAGCCGCATCTTGACCTGTACCATGGGATTGTGGTGCACCATTCGCCGGGACATACGCCCGGGCTGTGCATCATGCAGGTGAATCTGAAGGAGAGCGGGACTTTTATCTGGACGAGCGATCAATTCCATGTGAAGGAGAACTACGAGGAGGGGGCGCCGCATGGGGGCCTGGCGAGGGATCACTCGGCTTGGTGGAGGAGTTTGCAGATGATTCGGAGGCTGCAGCGGTTGTATGGGGCTACCTTGGTGTTTGGGCACGATCGGGAGGTGGCGTTGAAGTTGATAAAGGAGAAAGAGTTTTATGAGTAGACGGTTATTTACTTCCTCCTACTGGGGGAATATCAGGAAAGAATGAACTTACTCTTATGCGTGGCAATTCCTCGGTGTCGAGGATAGCTTCGAGGGACATGACCCTGTTGAGCATTGTCAACAACATAAGAAATTCTCAATAAGAAAAACGTTAATTGACACCTATTTCAGAAGAATAACTTGGACTTAGACAATTCTCGAGCAGTCGTAAAAATCCTCAAGGTGCCGCATAAAAGCGACCAGTTGTTAGAAAGGATTGATTGACTCTGCGCTCTAGGAAAGGGACTGATGTAGGAGACCTCGTTAATATGATCGGAACTATTAGGAAGATACTATTGTAGAAGATAGATTAATATCGCGACGATTAAATCCTATCCCTCCCAACTATATATAATATAGCCCAAAGTTCTCCCACTACCGTCGACTGAATGAGTCTGTAGTCGGCAGTGCATGGACCGAGGCGGGGAATAGATGAAGATAATATAACTACGACTAGGGTAGTGAATATAGGGCAGTATATTGCAATCATAAGCCATGCACCCCTTGCCAGAGCTAACAAGCGAGGGGTGGGTCTACAAGTGCCATCGACTAGTGGCTAATGGTAGTTCTTCGCTTACAGGGCATGTGCTCAGCTGGTTCTGTGTATAGATATTTGGTAACAATAATGAATGATGGAGTGATAATTCGTCGTATATGGCTAGTCATGTCATTATGTGTATGCTATCCCTATGTTATGTCAAAAAAAAACCAACCAAGGTGAAGATTGAAAAGTCAACTCTCCAACAAGATCTTTCACTACCAACATGTCGAATCCGACGGAACACGAAGACATCCAAGACAAGATCGTCGCAGACATTCCCCAGGGATATCAAATAGACTGAACCACCGTAGCGATCGCTTGACAAGGATGGATCGAGCTCAGAAACCGAGGCGCTTGACAACGGCATCGGTATTCAACGAGCAATATAAACAATAATATGAAGTACTGATTCAATGACAGACTGTTGATCCCCCGCCCCAATAACATGGCCCAATTGATCACCCCGCAAAACAGCCAAGCCTACTGGTGGAGAATTTATTTGTTCCTGAGACGAGAGAAACCGTCGACACTCGGGCAGATCTCGAAGCCCTAGCCCCCGACTCGGTCTACTACCGAAGCGCCTTTTCTGCAGCGCCTCGGTCGAACATCCCCATCCTGGCTTGACAACGGCATTTAGTTTGTTCATTTGACTTTCGCTCCTATGGCTAGACATATCTGCGACGACTCTAACCAGCAGATCATTCCTAGCCGGGCTTGATCGGGTGATTTGTGGCTGTTCCTGGCGGGTCTGGGCTTAGTCCAGCCCTGTAAACGAGCCATGATAGTACTCGACAGGATGAAACAGACCCCGCAACCGAGAGTTTAGAGCAACAAGGAGTGTTTCATTTACGTCTTGTCTTGTCTTCGCGACATCCTAGGGTCGGCACTTGCTCGGTTGAAGTGTGTTCGCGAAAAGCCTCACGGCACTGCGCTACCTATACTGCACTACACTACACTATACTACACTATACTACACTATACTACAATGCATTAACTCTCCACCAAGTCCTCAATCCCAGTCTGAAGGATGAATATAAATAGCGGTCGATGATCCAGAAGAATGTTTCTGAGAATCATCCAGATCCAACCCTTCCATTCTTTCCACTCCCCACGCAAGTCCAGCCAGCCCAACAAGCGCAATCACCTCCAGCAAAATGGCCATCAAGTCCTTCCTCATCGCCGCCCTGGCTACCCTGGCCATCGCCAACCCCATCCCCGAGCCAGAGGCTCACGCGCTCGTTGCCCGCCAGGGCCTCAACTCCGATGACATCGAGAAGGGCATCTGTCGCCCTGTGACTCTGATTTTCGCTCGCGGGTCGACCGAATCAGGTAACATGGTAAGTTTATCGCCGGTGCCGTACAGCCATTTCAAGATCGATCAGTGGCTCACGAAGAAAACAGGGACTGGTCATCGGAGCCCCGACCTGCACTGCCTTGAAGGCGAAGCTGGGCGCCGACAAGGTCGCTTGCCAGGGCGTTGGCGGAGACTACACTGCGGGCCTGCTCCCCAACTTCCTGTCCGAGAACACAGACCCCAAGTCCATTGCGGAGGCCACCAAGATGTTCACCATGGCCAAGGAGAAGTGCCCCGACACGCAGATCGTGGCCGGTGGATACAGGTATTTCTCTCTGTTTTCTTTTCTTTTCTTTTTTTAACAGGATGAACTTGTGTGTACGCGAATGAGCGCATGGCTAACACACTATCCTTCCCAGCCAAGGATCCGCCGTCATCGACAACTCGGTCAAAGCCCTCGACGACGACCTCAAGGCCCAAGTCAAGGGCGTGACGCTCTTCGGCTTCACCCGTAACGTCAAGGACAAGGGCACCATCCCCAACTACCCCAAGGATCAGGTCAAGGTGTTCTGCGCCGTGGGCGACATGGTTTGCGTGGGCACGCTTATCATCACCCCCGCGCATATGACCTACGGTGTCAATGCGAAGGAGGCTGCTGAGTTCCTGGCTGGTACCGTCAGCCTCTGATTGAGTTGAATGCGTCGGCTTTTCTTCTAGACGGAAAGGTGGGGAGAGGGGGGGGGGGAAGCCCCCCAATGAGAGATGATGAAGATGAGCTGTGCTGGACATGTATCACGTTGTTGGATTGATTATCTTTCTATTCTTGTCATTAACTTTTGAGAGACGTCTCTACCAATGGATCGAATTTTTGACTATCTGGCTCCTCCGTGTCTTGTAAGGCTAGTAAGGTGGGAGGGACGTGGTGGATCCTGCACGTTAGGGTTTGGATGTTTTACTTTGTGACCATACTAAGCGATGGTTCTGTCGGAGTGCATGTGCAGATCGTGTGTCTAACTTTAGTCGAGGGGGCATGGTGAAGAACCTAAGCGAGATCGTGTCATCTCCCACTAACTCCGTAGCTTGTAACAGCTGGAATATCTTCTCCTGATTGTATATCGTGATACTCCATCCCGGTCGATTTGCACCTCACGGTCCGGCCCGTGCTCGTCGTGCCCCATGCTGTAGCTACTCAGCCACCAGACTCAGAGTGGACGCAGGAGAGAGCCGACGGACAAAGTGCATGTCTGTTGTACTAGCTACCACAGTTTCAATCAAACCTTTCTACCTAGTAGCCATCCTAAGGATCTCTCCCTAAGCCTGTTGTAGGATAACCCCGCAATCCATTAGTATACCCCGCATGCCAAGTCAACAGCCCAGAGCGCCCGGGAGATTTCCCACAAGTGAGATGCCGCAGACCCTGTTTCCTATTTTGCACCGTAAGCCGGGGCACCTATACATACGGTTAGCAGGGTAACTATGCAACCGAGTGATTATTAACAATTCGCCCATCATTACCCCAGATATAACCGCGGTTAAAAGACCCGCCAAGTCGGCAACTGCCAAAGCCACCCAGTTCCATCTTGCCCACCCCGCCTGCTTTTCCTCATCGGATAATTTTGTTCGATAATACTTTGATTGATTGTCAATAGATGATCCGCTGGATTGCTCTGCTCTATTCCGGTTTAGACTAGGGGTCCGGCTAAAGTCGCGCCTAGAGCCCCTTTCGGATGGCGCGGTTTCCACTCTCTGGTGGATGCGGGTACTGTCTATCCAACAAGATCGCCTGTGATGCGCAGAATGGGACGCCCTGTTTAACGTGTAGACATTGGAAGATACGCTGTCCACCGGTGGGTGGGAATGGTGATCGTCTGCCTGTGGATATATGTCAAGATGAAGACAGGTCAAGTGAATGCGACCATGAGGGGTTGGAAGGTATGGCGTGAGTGTACAGCCTGCGGCCACTGGCTGACGGCTTCCAGATGTCGATGACGTCGAAGAAGACCAGATGATATTCGCACGACAGACACATCCTCTTGTCCATTACATGAAGCCGCTAGATTCTCTCATATCGACCGCTCACGATGTGCTCCTGGGCCCGCGGATTCCCTCCCCGTACAATGGCCTTCTTCCGTTGTACTTCGAAGACTTACCGCCGCATATACCGCTCGAGGATGTCCAATACCTCGCGCTGAAAGGCGCCTTTACGGTCCCGGATGCGCCATTGCGCAATGAGCTCTTAAACACCTTTGTGGTCAATGTCCATCCGGGGATACCCTTGCTCGACCTGGCAGACTTCCTGCAGCCAATAGCCATCAACGATGGACAGTCGCGTGTTAGCCTTCTACTATTCCATGCAGTCATGTTTTCCAGTGTCGCGTTTATCGAACCAGAACATCTGTATCACGCTGGATACTCCTCGCGCAAGGAGGCACGTAGGGAGTTCTTCCGGAAAGCAAGAGTAGGCATCGCTCTCCCGCGCACACCCCCTAGTTGGCCTTCTTTCTCAGACAGAGCAGGTCCTCTACGACTTTGACGTTGAAGCCGACCGGGTTGTCCTTATGCAGGCAGCGCTGCTGATGACCTATTGGCACGAGACCCCCGACGACCCGAAAGACTTTCACTACTGGCTTGAGATCGCGCTCTCGATAGCGACATCGATCGGCCTGCAGCCTGTGCCGGATCCGAGCGATGACCCGGGACCCACGGGGCTGTGGAAGCGCCTTTGGTGGTGTGTCTACACGCGCGATCATCTCAACGCAATCAACCTCCGCCGACCGCCCATCATCCGCGAAGAAGGATGCAGCGTGGCGCTTCCCACCTTGTCCGACTTTGAAATCCGCGTCTTCCCCAAAGAGTCCACCCAGCTGCTCGGAAGCTGCAAGATCCTCCAGTCCCCGCAGCACCAGAAACAGCTGGCGCAGATTTTCATCGAGAAAGCCCGGCTCTGCACCGTCATCAGCCGTATCCTCCGCGCTGAGCTATCTACGTCGTCCCAATGTGACCGTCTGCTGGAAGACTGGCACACGCACCTCCCTCTGGAGGTCCGGTACCAGCCCCCTTCGGCTCCGAGCCTCCCCGAGGTCGAGAAACCGCTGTTCGTGCACCGCGCATGGCTGAACATGATTTTCCTCGCTGCGTCCAGCGCCCTACATCGTCACCAGACGTCGCGCAACGTGAACGACCCCCCCGTCTCCGTTGAGTCATTGCTCAGCGACCTGTCACGGAGTCAGGTGCAGCACGCGACGCAGGCGATCGCCACGGTCGCAGAGGGCCTTGGCCGTGTCGACGCCATCCACTACCTGCCCACGACCACGGTCGGAATGCTTCTTCCCGTGCTCACCATCCACATTCTCACCATCCGGTCCGGACAGCCGGATACGTGGGTGGAGGCGTTCTGGTCATTCTACCAGTGTATGAAGGTGCTGGAGAAGCTGGGCGAGGTTTATGCGTCGGCGGAGTCCATGGCGTCTTTTTTCAATTCGACGGTGTGTGGGGATCAATCCGACGCGGGGATGCCGGCATTACTGGAGACAGTCCTGACCAGTGCTGAGTTGGAGTGTTTTGGACGATTGGTGAGAGAAGGAGGCAAAGGAGGAATTCAGGGTCTTCCGATCGAACGCGAGATCAGATGAATCAAACCATGGAATGTTTGTTTTGTTTGGGTGGGGCGGGGGTGCACGGGCCACCACATTCCTGCCAACCTTAATAAACTCCTTTTACTCCGAACTTCCATTCCAACATCACGCTCAACATCATGCCATTTCCCCTCTTTCACCGTCCTCTCTAGATACTAGACTATTTCAAGAAGGTCTAATTCCACTTTATCGATAATGAAATACCATTGCACAAGACCACACCCAGAGGATCAGGATCTATGGCACCTACCCACGACAGCCCCTCGGGTTCCGACACGGGGAAACCTAGCCCCTATAATGACCGGCCCCTGTGCCGCTATGCTACCCTACTCGCAATCCGGACCCTGCGGGCAATGCGACCTCGGACGGGTAGCGTTCTCATGCTGACCGATCGCCTATGCGTCAAGTACGGTCAAGGGGTGCACTTAGCCGAGGCGTCCACCATGCGCTTCGTTCAGGAACACACCTCCCTCCCCGTCCCCAAAGTCGTCTGCGCGTTCACCCACCACGATCAAACCTACATCGTGATGGAGCGCATTGACGGCGAGATGATAGGGTCAGGCTGGACCTCCCGGAGCGACAAGTCGAAAAGCCGACTGCTCGACCAGTTGAAATCTATGGTCGCGGAGCTGCGACAGCTGCAGCCGCCGGCCGGGATGGGCGTCTCGTCCGTAGAGGGTGGGTCGCTCTTTGATGTCCGGATTCATCCGTCTATGCGGTTTGGCCCGTTTGATGATGTAGAGGGGTTTCATCGGCATTTGCGAAATGGGCTGCGTCTCAATGCTGGTCTGGATCCGGAGATCCAGACCTTGATTGAATTGCAGAGCCGCACGTGGCCGTTGAAGCTTACGCATGGCGATCTTAGCAGTTTGAACATCTTGGCCCGCGGGGATGATATTGTGGGCATCGTCGACTGGGAGAATGCGGGCTGGTTGCCTGAGTACTGGGAGTATACCTCTGCCTGCCAGGTCAACCCGCAAAATTCGTTCTGGATTGAGGAAGTCGACAAGTTCCTGACCCCGATGCCACAGGAGCTGGAGATGGAAAGTCTCCGTCAGAAGTACTTTGCCGATATGGCCTAAGACTACTGTCCTTACACCTTACACCGACGCTCGAGGAGTACGCTTCATTTCTACTTGATATACTGTCATTATTCATTCACCCGGTTCATCATGCACAGTCCGACGACAGCACAACGCCATGTACAACACTATCAGCCTTCCCAAGCATCGCTCGGACCCGCCCGCCTCACCCGATACTCTCCTTCCGCTGGATGAGATCGTACGTCGGCGCGCGACTCATATCAAAAATCCCTTGCCCATCAAACCGATGCTGGTCCTTCTTTTCCTGGCAATAGTCCATCGCGGCAGCCCTCACGGTCTGCCAGTCGAGCACGCACTTCCCCAAGACCTTCTCCTCCGCCTGGGCCCTCTCCACCGCCTCTTTTACCCAGGAAACACAATTCCACCCTCCCACATCCCCACGAACAGGCGTCGTGCGCAGGATCTCCGTTAACCGTTGACTGTCCTTCACCTTCCCGACCATGATTCGAACCAGCAACATGCTCGTTGCTCCCAGCCGACAGGGCGGGTTCTCAAAGACCCATTCCGTGCCCTGCCCGCCCGGCAGAATCCGCTCCTTGACGTGAAATCGCATCCCCATCACGCCGTCGGTTTCTTTCTTGGGCCCAAGAATAAGCGCCCAATGGTATCTGCACGTGGTCGTCAATATCCACACCAACAACGGGCGATGGATTCAAATCCGGCGAGAGACTTACGTGTCTTCTTTGTCCGGCATGGCGGGCGCTCCTCCCCGGACATACAGCGCAACGTAAAGCCGGTCTTTATTTGATGGCATTTTCTTTCTCTTTTTTTTCTTTTTGTCGTACAATGTTCGCAGACACGGTCTGTACAATAGCGTCGCGTGATACCGTATACTTCTTTGTTTATACACCACACAGCATGTACTTAGCAGGGCAATTTTATGGCCCCATTTTTCAGCCAGAATTTTTTTCTTTTGTTCGGCGGGTCTCAAATGATAGCTAGCTTAGCCGCCGTGGCGTGGAGAGTCACGCTGCGGGTCGGGTCTCAGATATGGACCGGATCGTGCCGAGTTGCCGGTTTCCACCAGAAAATGAATGTCTCGTATATGGACACCGTAGTATGCTGAATATTGCCTCCTCAATGGCGAGTGCGATCTGTCTGAGTTGGTTGTTTTGATGGGTTTAATTTAGTTTATTGGGTGGCGGTTTATCATGGTGGACGATATGGGCTGACGAGGTCGGGCTAGTCCCAATTAGGACGGTGTCACGTGGGGCCTTGTGCACCTGACTTGTGTCCTGTATCTGGATCTACTTCCTTCCATCTTCCTGGGACCACTTCGTATCAATTTCTGAACGAATTGAGTATTTAAGGATGAGTTCTCTTGAGCTCATGGTCGGAGCCGGGTCACTTTCACTGATAATGGAGTGGCTGAGCAATAGAAATCAGTAACCTCCCATGCAGCCTCACAATGAATTTCCCAATGAGTCAACTGGAGTTAAACTTTTGATCAATATGAGTCGAGCACTCCAGACATTCTTCCATCACAAAAGTACCAAAGTACCAAGAAGAACCGTCTCCCTCGGCCACACCAAGTGTGGGGCCCTGTCAGCTTCCCCAGCCAGATATGTAGCAACGCGCCTCGGTTATGGAGCTGGGCGGGGATCACTTGCTAGCTTAACGCTCGAGTGTCCTTACCTCGCAGTAGACCGTTCTAATACCAACCAACTACCTGCTTTCGTTCACTTTCAGGGATAAACAAACCTTGTCACATTCTACCGATTTATCTACCTATCCCATTAACCCCTGCAGCTATGGCTTCGACGTACAAAAACATCAGCTTTGAGATCCGCGATAAGATCGGGATTATCAAGGTGAGAATGCCCCAGTAGCTTTATGCTTGATTTATTTAAATAGATTTGGGATCCCCGCTTACCTGGATGCTGTCGTCATAGCTGAACAGACCGAAGCTGTTGAACTCCTGGGATGATGCTGTCGTCGCGGATATGGTCGGTGCCTTCAGGGAGCTTGATGAGCACCCGCATACCGTCTTTACTGTTTTGACGGGTGAAGGGCGGTTCTTTTCTGCTGGTGCTGATGTTCGAGGTATTTTCGATTGATACACTCCTATTCCCGAGATTTCAATGGTAAGGGAAAGAAAAGGAATTGTCTAACAAGCAGCACAGCCGGTATCCCTTCTCTACCTGCGGAGGCTACCGCAGCGGAGAAAAAGCTGTTCTTCATGAACAAATTCTCAACCAGTACGATCCCACACCAGAAAGGAAAAAAAAAAAAAAAGTCAAGTGAAAATTAACCCCAACAGGCGTCGAACTCTTCCGCTCCATGATCGACCACAAAAAAGTCTTCGTCCTCGCCATGAACGGCCCCGCCGTCGGCGGCGGCGCAGCCTGGTTCAACGGCATCGCAGACATAGTACTAGCCGCCTCAAACACCTACATCCAGGTCCCCTTCAGCTCTCTCGGCCTGGTGCCAGAGTACGGGAGTGCCAATATCTTTGCGCAAAGCATGGGTGTCCGTCGCGCGAACGACCTCCTGATGTTCGGGCGCAAGTGCCCGGTCGAAGAGCTGCAGGCGTGCGGGCTGGTGAACCGCGTCTTCCCCGTAGATGGGTTTCAGGAGCATGTTCGGAAGTTCTTGGAGGAGCAGCTCGCGGCGAATGATGGGAAGAGTATGATGGAGGTGAAGCGGTTGCAGAATGCGCCGCTTAGGTCGGACCGCTTACTTGCGGTTTATGAGGCTACGCATGCGCTGGCGGAGAGGTTCGTCGACGGGACGCCTTACGAGCGGTTTCGGGCTAGGAGGGAGCAGTTGATTGCTGGTATGTTATTGTTGTTTGCTCTTTCGTTCTCGTAGGAAACTTTTGTTGGTGTCTGGTTACTGATTTTCGGGTTACAATAGCGAGTAAGAAAAGGGAGGGGAAACCCAAGGCTTCGCTGTGAGGGCGTTTTTAGTCTTGTTTACCTATCGGTGTTGCCGTAGGCTGGTACCGAAATGCAACGCTTTTGTCTTACTCTACGCTAGCAGTTGCTATAGATCTGTGTCCAGTCAATTGTACATACTTCGTGACGAATACTACCTGCACAGTTCGTCTATCATACCTTAAACTCTAAATCGACAGTCCGCTACTTTCCGATATACTCGACGAGATCGAACGCGATTCGCTTGTCCTTGTTCAGCGCAAGGCCGTTGATAGCCAAGGTACAGCTAGTCAGATGGTCAACGAAGAACATTGACATTGATGCCGTATTCACCCGCAAGCTACGCAGTATGATCTACGCTATCAATACTGGCAATCTGACCGGATACTCGCTCATACGCTTCTCCTATGGGAGCCGCGTTCAAATAAGAGGGAGCTCAATCGGGGCGTCCCCAGGCACTGGCCAAGACCATGGATATTATCCCCACTGTCGACGTAGTATTGAATCTGGCTTGGCTTGGGTCAACGGCATAACCGCTATGCCGTGAATTGGGTTTGAAAGACGGGAATAATCGGCTGTCTTTTTGTCTGCTTGATCGGATGAATGCGGGAGGTTACCTTCCCGAAGAAATTGCAAAGGAATAAGCCTGGAAGTGTTAGCTTTGGTCGCAATACAGTCAACTGACTCACTTTCGGAGGGAAGCAATTGGCCTTGGGGGCAGAATCGCTGTTCTGCGATGGCTAACTATCTAATGATCGTGAGGAGCCACCAGCCCAGCTGAAGTTCTTAAAGTCAATATCAACAAGGTGGGTCTTGTCTTTGCATGCTCGGTCTATCGGAAATGCCGATGCTAAATCTATCAATGGTACTGCTATTCATCTACAAGCGTGCTTGAGCTGACATGAGCCACCAGATTGGTAATTACAAGTCAACTTGGAAACACTCTTGATAATTCCTCAGCCGCAGCGTTGAAGGTGGTATACGTGGTAGTGAGCATTGTCACCTAACAACCTCTGATGTGATAGTTCCATCTTATGTAAGACGCCAGATGGCCGGCATACGGGCAATTGGGAATAAATACACTAAACAAAGGACGTCCCTGGCTATCCATATCATCAAATCAACAACCACAGCATCCTTGCCTAGCCCTCCACTCTACCAACATGAGGCATCCCGCACTCCAACAAGTCTATATAGGCATTGGCCCTAATAACTACGAGCCCCTTGAATCCTATCACGCCAGTTTTTCTATCTACGAACAGGAGCACAAGGCGCTGCAGACTCGCCTACTGCAGCTCTGCCCGTTCCACCTCTGCTTAAAAGGGTCCCTTGAAAACTCCTGTCCGCGACCTGTTCTCGTGTCGAAGCAGCACCAGGAGCAACTGGCTCGGCTTCATGAGGCCTTGACTATTGCAATCGTCGACATCGTCGACCGATGGTGGTCGGATCGCGAGGCGCGATTCCCCGAGCGTATGCCGTCGGAGAAAGAGGAGGAGGGATTGCTTCGTGTATGATCTATTCTCTCACAGGCTGCACAGCACCCTAGGATATGGCCGACGCCTTCACCGCAGTGGCTAGAAAGTCACCACTCTGTCCCCTACAGAGATGTCCTCGGCTCCTGGAGACCCGACTTCTTAGTTGAAGACGCTGCCAGCGATGGACACATCCCATCGCAAGAGAACTTCCGTCTCACAAATATATGCGCTCGCTTCTGCTTCAACGGTTTCTTGCACATGGCATACGGCCAGGAAGCATTGCGTGATCTCAGCGTGGGAAGGGGTGGAATCACGCATGCGACGGACCCTGAGGAGGTACGCCACCCCTCTTCCAACGACTTATGTTGAAAATCTAACTGACTGTAGAATTGCCGGTAGATCTTCAACGGCTTGCTCAGCCTGTTCAGTCCAGACTGCCCACTACACCTCCTCAAAGGCGAAGAGCCTAGCATTGACATCCACGTGTTTGTAGACTTCGTCGCCCGCAACACGGGCACCAAGCCGCGGATGATAACGCCCGCGAAGCTGAGAATAATACCGGATTCCCACAGAAACGGAATTTACAAATTATGCTGCGTGGTCAGCTCCACCGGCTCATCTGACAACCACCCCAACACAATTCCCCACAACAGGGAACTCCTCGAAGAGATCTATCAAATCGGCCTCGAGCTCGACCAGCGGGAGCTCCTCGCCCTCGATCCTAACCTCCAACGCCAGATAATCTAACGCAGCTTCAACGACATACGAACAATGGAGAGAGAGGCCTTATACTTGATTTTATCTCCGTTCCTGGGATTCGTTCAAGTCACTGACAGCCGAAGGGCCTGAATAGAGTCAGTCAGCTCGCATCGGTAATATAATCTCATGATTATATTCATCTCAGATACGTGGTATAGGAGTGAGAGAGTAGTAATACTAGTAGATTATCTAAGCCTTCCCATACAGCGCTGAAACTATGATTCTTAGTCCATCTTAGCTTGATGAGTCTAGAATTAATAGTAAAGAGGGAGATACAGCCTGCCAGACATGTCTAAAGTCTTGATATTTCATAGATAGATATAAAGAATGTTTATTAGCTTGACAGGATTAAGATAATATTATATTATTATAGTTTTAATATCTCTAAAAGAGCGTGGATTAGGATTTAATAACTAGAGTATTCATGACTTAGATTTGTAAGAATATTTATTTAATCTAACTCTAGATATATAATATCTATCGTTACTTAGTGTTCCTAGCCCTTGAAACAAGCCTATAGCAATGCATATTCTAGATCGAGTACCCTGGATAAGAGATATCTTTGCAGTCTAAGTCCATTCGGCAAGGGGTAATCATTTATGGGACCCCTAGATAGGTAGCTAGGCAGCTAGGGATAGCTAGGGGTAGACGAATCTGGTCCTCAGCTGGGATATACCAGTCCCAATCACGATCCGTGCCTGACCTATTAATCCATAGGTAGGGGTCATGTTTCAGTCTTGGAGGTCAATTATCATTGCTATTATTATCATTGATGATCGACCTTTGTCGGTGTCCCAGCTGGGTCTGATTTTCAGCTACGCCGACTCTCTTACCAAGACCAAGCCGTATGACTTCGGATACGGCGATGAGTGTACTTGCCTGCATCGCTTGTCCAACTATTTATCGTGCTTCTACTTCATGTACACCATACGGTATATAGGATACTTCTCCAGCAACGAGAACTCACCTCGTATACAACGCACACCACAATGAAGCCTATCAGACAGCATCTGCGACTCATACACTACCATAATGCTCGCAAGTCGGCGATAGCGTTGGGCAGACGTTTCGCGACGGGCACGTCATCCCCGATGACTACCCATACAGCTACCCCACCAACAACTGCCAGCATACCTTATCTTGCCGCCCCGGACCTTACCCACGCATCGCAAGCGCAGCACGTCCGCGCCGTCGCACACCATCTCTCCCAAGCAGGCATCCTCAAGATAAGTCTGGGCTTTCACGACCCCGAGAGCCACTACCTGACAGCGCTGATCAGCAGCCTACACAAGCATCACGGCCACGGGTTACCAATAACGCATAGCGCATCCCGTGGGTGGTTCTGGGACGTCCGGCCCTGCCCGACCACCACCACCGAAACAGCAACACACCAAGCCCGCTCAGAAACCATGCGCAACTTCCCCTGGCACACAGACTGCAGCTATGAGAACGCCCCGCCGAGATTCTTCGCATTGCACGTCCTCCGTCCGGACCGCTGCGGCGGCGGTACCCTCTCCGCGATGCCCGTCGAGCCGCTGACGGCACTGCTCGCCCCAGCGACAACAGCCACGCTCAGCAAGCCCGAGTATCGCATCACTATTCCGCCGGAGTTCATCAAAGACCCGCTGCGCACTTCTATTGTGGCGCCTCTTCTGGCTGACCAGAGCGGCTCGCTTATCCGCCTCCGCGGCGAGATCGTCACTCCGCTGACTGAGCCGGCTGCTGCTGCATTGGATGAGCTGCGCAGTGTTCTCAGGGACAGCCCTGTCTCGGCGCTGCATCTCACGGCAGCGGAATTACCGGCGGGGTCGGTGGTCTTACTTGATAATGCGCGGTGGCTGCATGCGAGGAACCACATCTTGGATCCGAAGAGGCATCTGCGTCGTGTGCGGTGGCATGCGGTTCCGTTTGGGATGGGGATGGGTGTTTGTCACGGTGTTTAGGTGGTCGGTTAATTGGGCTTGGATGTTTGATTTGTAATTGGTGTTTAAGAGAGTGGTAATGGTTTGGCGAGATGATTCTGTCCGAACGAGGCGTAGCTGAAATCGTTACCTCGGACGTTTGGGGTGTTTTGTTTCTTTTTTGTGACTTTCGACCTATGCCAAGCTGGACTTGCAGTTTGCGTCCTCAGCTGCGGACCGGGTTATTGTAAAGCATCGATTCGAGTTCTTCAGGGAACATTCGTCACCATCTGAGACCTTCCATTTTAGGTTTTTGCATCAACCGAGTCTGTGGCTGCCAGGAAATGAGTCGCTGTCATATTGAGACAAAATGTCTGCAAGGATTTTTGGGCCAATACTGGACTAAAAGAAAGAAAGAAAAGAAAAGCAGAAGGAATCTGACAAATGAAAAAAAAAAAAAGAAGCGGAAAAATGGTCGTCTGTGTCTGACAGGCCGTGCTGTACAAATCAGGTCTCACACACTAGATGAGATTGTCATCATTCTTCCTCCAGTAAACCCTGGACCTACCTTGTCTGTACGGCCAGTCGTTCACCATATATACAACTGCGCATGCCCTCTGCTGTAGTTTCCTCGTATCTTCACGGACTCAGACAAGGTCGGACAGATACACACTCGCCGAAGTGCTCGCTGTCGCGCAAATCCACCCTTTCTATAATGAAAAGGTTTAGTACCCACCGGATACAAGGACTATCCAAAAAATTAGACTCCGTACGATTGGGGCAACATATGCGAATCTCCACAAACAGCCACTGCTGCATAAGAAAGCCTTGTACGGCCCCAGAAAACCTGTCTCCTGGATCCGCAATGCTTATTGAGGCAGATACAAAACGGATTGAGCGGCTCACGCACGATGTCGCGCCACAAAAATACATACCGCCATGGCTCTTACGTCAGTTTCACGGGCGGAGGGTCAGGCAAGGTGCCCATGGTGTTCGCCGTGGACGTGCGCGAGAATCGACGCCAACGAGCCCAGATGGGACAGTTCCTTCGACTATGTCGTGTGATTGAACCGAGCGATTTTGTTCTCTCCATCCACTTTGCAGGTCTACAGGTGGGAGACGCCATCCTACGAGGCAGCGATCGCATTTACTGAGCATAGAACTCTCGATCTCATAACCGGAATCATGGAAAATGCCGACGCCACGATCCTCAGCGCGGGAAGCGTCATGTCGCCCGCAGAGGTAACCAAGGCTATGCGCGACTATCACGTCAACGTGTTGACTGGTGACGGCAGTAGGATCGCCCAGGTAGTCTGCCACATCGCCAGTTTGCCCAGGGCAGAGCGCGCGCATCACCCTCTCCAAGATCATCTACACCTCGGAGCCGCTCACGTGCGCACAGAGAGACCTGAGCAAAACCACGCTCGGGCACGCAATTATAATCCACTCCGCCATGGGTAGCGCCGAGGCCGGGCCATGGGCGATCAGCAACCTTAACATCACAGGGGAATAGAGTTCCGACAGCGCTGCCACCGACTTTCTCATCGACACACGCGACATCCACATTGAGATTTTGCCTCCCTCTGCCGCCTCCACGGGAAACTGTAGTTGCGACGGCGTCCTCTCCCTCCCCGACGGAGAAATGGGCCTCATAGTGCAGGCCTCCCTCCAGCGGCTCCACAACCCACTCGTCCGCTACGTCACAGGCGACATCGGCTCCCTGCACACGGTTCCCGATCACGTCGCAACGCAGATCCCCGCCAGCGAGCGGAAGCACCTGCGTGTGCTGCGGCATGCACGGTCGCGACCGCGGGTTCAGTTTCTAGTGGGACATGATGTACTTCGACGTCGACAAGGTCGAGGCCATCTTCGAAGCCCCCGAGTGTGGAATCCTACAGTGGCAGGTCATCCTCGGAGGGGCGGACGACGGCTCGCCCGTGGCGACACTGGAGGTACGTGTCCTTCGCGGACCCCTCCCGTGTGGGGATTCTGACCGAGGAGGAGCTGGTCGACCGACTGAGGGGATTCTGGAGCGTGTTGCCAGAAAATGAGCATTTGGTGCGGATCGTCTTCGTGAAGGGGCTTGCGGAGTTTCAAACGAGTGCCACGGCGGGGAAGGTAATTCGGTTTGTGGACCGATGGCATTAGCTTTGACCTATAAAGGGAAGATAGTGGGTTGACGCGAGGTTGAGATGAGGCAAGATTGTCGGGGAAATTCCACGGCACCTTTAAATATCAGGTGGGTCCGCGTGAGTCTGCGTCAACACGGGATCCCGTCTTGGTCTTGAAGTCTATTCTACTCTATTTCTTCTCGCGATCCTTCTTGGGATAGACCCGATGGAAGATAACACAATGAAGAATATAAAGATACCAGAAACAATCAGTCCAATCCCGCGACTCGGACCCCGCCGTCGCCGTCAGTCGTATCGTATCCCTCATCCAGGTATCCCTTGCTTATCGCGATAGTGGACTGACGATCTCCGCCATCTTCAGCTCTTATCACGACATCGTCAGCAAATGAACGGTCTCTGTGTGCTCCGACTTTCACGACGAGGTCTTCCACTCCCCGCCCACGGATCTCGCTCTGAGAAAAAAAAAAATTTAAAAATTGAAAACGAACGAAACTAAAAAAACGAAAAAAATCCCGCCTCCTATCGCGATGGATTTCTATCTCATGAACATGTCGCTTCGACATTTCACTTGCGACAACCAACTCTCTCTCTTTGAGTATTCGCGATACTGAGAATGACATCAAAATTCGACCAGGATGGCTTCAACTACCGCAAGCCGTCTCCGACCGTGCAGGATGAAGAGGCCATCCCATTCGAGGCGGACAGCGCCCCCGTGGACGCCTTTACCGAACCGTTACAGAGGAAGCTGAAGTCGCGGCACTTGCAGATGATCGCGATTGGAGGTATGTGCTTTGATCATGCCACTCGTATTTTGATCGGGACATGTCGGTCTAATTAACCCTCGACGTCCAGGGATTATCGGTCCGGGGTTGCTGGTCGGCTCGGGCAATGCCTTCAGCGAGGGTGGACCGGCGGGAGTGTTGATCAGCTTTTCGTTGGTCGGAATTATTGTTTACTTTGTCATGTGAGTTCCCTCGTGGTTATTGCAAGACGAGACCATGGTACTGACTGGTCAGGCAATCGTTGGGTGAAATGGCAACGGCCATCCCGGTGACGGGGTCGTTTACCGAGTATGCGCAGCGCTTCATTGATGACTCGCTGGCTTTCGGGCTGGGCTGGGCGTATTGGTACCTCTGGGTGACGGTACGTCCCTTGTTCCTCGGGTCTTCCCGCTTCCACTGACCATGGAATAGATTCTGGCAAACGAGTATAATGCCATCTCTTTGGTTATCGGCTATTGGACTGAAGCAGTTCCCCAATGGGGTTGGATCTTGATCTTCTGGTTCCTCTTCTTGTTCCTGTCGAACCTGGGGGTACTGGCGTATGGAGAGATGGAGTTCTGGCTGTCCTTGTAAGCACCATGCGCCTCGTTGACATACTGTGTACTGACCCCACCAGAATCAAGGTGTTGGCTCTGATCGCCTTCTTCATTCTCGCCATTTGCATCAGCGCAGGTGGTGTCGGGCCCGGTCCCATCGGCTTCAAATACTGGAGTGATCCCGGGGCGTTTGCCGATTCCATCAACGGAGTCGCCAAGACGTTCGTTGTTGCGGGCACACTATACGCAGGGACAGAAATGTATGTCGACTGCCCATGACCCTCAACCTTGGACAGTGCTGACAGAACCAGGGTCGGTGTCACCGCCGGCGAGTCGTCCAACCCACAGAAAGCCGTCCCCACGGCCATCCGCCAGGTGTTCTGGCGCATTCTGATCTTCTACATCGGTGAGCATCATTCATCGTACTGGAGATACAAGACCGAAGCTAACCCAGTCAGGCACCATGTTTTTCATCGGCATCCTCCTGCCATTCGACGACGACCGCCTCCTCGGTTCCGACTCTAGCACGGCCAACTCACCCTTAACCCTCGCCCTCGAGGATGCTGGCATCCTCCCGGCAGCGCACCTGATCAACGCCCTCATCGTCATAAGTGTCATCTCCGCCGGCAACAGCTCGCTCTATGTCGGCTCGCGCACGATCCTGTTCATGGCGCGCAACGGCAAGGCACCCCGATTTCTCGGACGCACCAACAAGCGCGGTGTTCCCTGGGTGGCGCTCATCTGGACCAACGTCTTCACCTGCATCGTCTTCCTCACGATGTCCTCCAGCGCAGGCCGTATCTATAACGCCCTGATCACGCTATCTGGCGGTATGCACGCTTTCCCAATGCTTGACCCTTACCCTTAAAATCCACCCAACTAACATAATCAAACTAACAGTGGCAACCTTCATCGTTTGGTCCGTCATCTGCGTCTCGCACATCCGCTTCCGCCAAGCGCTAGTCGCACAAGGCGACGACCCCGCGCGCCTACCCTTCCGCGCGACATTCTACCCCTATGGCACGTACCTGGCGCTGGCGGCCACCGTGTTTCTCGTCTTCTTCCAGGGCTACACGGCGTTCCTGACGCCGTTCAGCGTTAACGACTTCATCATCAACTACATCATGTTACCGGTGTTCGCGCTCTTCGTGCTGGGGTACAAGTTCTGGCACCGCACGAAGCTGGTGAATCTCAAGGAGATGGACATCTGGACGGGGCGGCGGGTGATGGAAGCGCGGGAGGGGGACGCCGGAGGTGGAAAGACTACGACGCTGAAGGGCCGACTATTGAAGATTTTTGTTGGATGAGGGGGTAGATTCCTATCCGATACGACCACATGCGTATATACACTATATTGTATCATATCATATCATTTAAACCGTACAACATTCTCACGTATACCTCCTCACCCTCGGTATCGGTCACGTCACAATCACCAAACATTATCTGCACAAAACCGCCGAGATAACCCACCCGCCGGGCAGAGCGGATCCCCGACGGGGGTATCCCCGAGTGCCGAGTAGATTAGATTAGGGCAATCCCCTCCCAACCAGTGACACCCAGCGTTCCCTATCTAAAACCTCCTCCGCACGGTAGATACCTATTATAATCAAGCCAAATCCCACCAAGCCAAGCCCGCTCCACCGATGGACGTCCCCGCGTGCCAAAAGCGCCCAGAGCGAAGTCTCCAGCCACGATACTCGTCGGTGGAGGGTTATTGGTGGATCGCGATACAAGGTTGCTCCGTGGGCCATGGTATCGACCAGTCAGGTGGGGGTTTTGGGCGCGCCGGTGGATGGGATCGACGGTTGCTCAGGGCTGTCTGCTATTCTGCTGCAGGGGGCGGTCTGATGTAACCCTACACGGTGGGTTTGGGTGTTGCAGGTTGAACATGGGCAGGATAGGATGGGATAGGGTGGTGATACGGTGCTGTGTGACTTGGGAGGGGAGATGTCGTGCGTGGTATGATAGGGATTGTGATGGAGCGGGGTTGGTGGTATGCTTGGAGGCAAGGGGGAAGTATATAAGGAGGTGGTGTCCTGGTGGAATCAATGCTGGTTGTAGAAGTCGGGCGAGAATATATCTATACAAGTACTACATTTATACAAGTACAGAAAAGAAAAGAACAGACAACATGTTGCTCAACAATGTACGCGTCCTTCCTCTTCCACCCACTCACTATCCATATCCATCAACCCCCCCGCCCACCAAAACACAGTCAATACTAATATACTCGCTATGATATAGATCCTCCCCGTCCTCCTCCCCCTCATCGCCCTCACCAGTGCCCACCCCACCTCCAAAGCCTGCGACTACACCTGCGGCAAAGCCTGCTACGACGAGGCCGCCGTCGCCGACGCGCAAAAGGCCGGCTTCGACCTGCACGAGCAGGGCAAGGCGATCGGCGACAACGACTACCCGCATAAGTACAACAACTACGAGGACTTTGACTTCCCCGTTGACCCGACCTACTACGAGTTCCCGATCCTCAGCTCCGGAGAGGTCTACGATGGTGGTTCGCCTGGTGCGGACCGTGTGGTGTTCAATGAGGATAACAAGTTGGCGGGCCTGATCACGCACACTGGTGCTAGTGGAAATGATTTTGTTGCGTGTACTTAGATGGATCAATAGGTTGATTATGGGGACTTCTTGGGCGAGAGAGTTTGTTGAGTATGACGTTTGAATGGGTGAGGTTGACTGTTGACCAGTTGGCTGGGGCTCATGCTCGGGGGGTGGAGTGCATGTTGGTGGTGTTTGGGGTTTCTTTTGTTTTCTGTTCGATGTTCCTCTCTATCTTTTTATATTCTTTGCAAGGATATAGGATTCTGATGCTGTTATGACAAGTCGTAGTGTTTCTTGATCCAGGCCCGTTGAATAAGTTGGGTTGTTCAGGCAAGGCCAAAGACATCATTCCTGCACAGTCGAATCGGACTATGGAACACGTTATTGGAGAACAACCTGGAAATATCCCCGGTGTGTCAGAACCTAGAAAGTAGAATGGTGAGCTAGCAACAGGTACGAGAGAATCATCGACTTCTATCGAGAGATCCGAGCCCAAGTCAGCAGTGTCGCAAGTTCACCCATCCACTCTTCCATCTGCATTCCATTCTCGTTTTGCATATGGGTGACCCATCAGCACCAGTCATCACACAGATGACCAGTCATAAAGGTAAACAGCCTCGGGTGGCTCAATCAGATGCAAAGCACTCTCTTTGTGCGGCTGGACCCACGAGCAACAACGGCCCTTACACGTGCCCGAGAATGAACCGTCTGGTGGGAAATTCCGGGGTCTTTAGGGGTCTGTTCTTTGTTTCGCTCTTTGCCTCGCCTTGCCTTGCACGAGATGGGAACACCAAGCAATTCTGTCGTGGAACCTCATCCAGCCACAAAATTTAGCTACAACCTTCTTACATCACTAATTCACCCGATCACCTCATTCTGGCTTCAGAACAAAACCAGGTAGAGCTCTGGCTGGCGTCCAACCGGAAGCATCACCCACCTCCCGCACCCCCTATTACTTACTTAATACCTTCCCCCCTACCTAGGATCTCGGGGAACGACCTCTCATATGCGGTCAGCAACCAGCATCCTGGGGCCACAGAGACCAGAGCAGCTGTGGCCAAGGAAGACTCACACCCCGTCAGGTACGCCGGGCACACGTCAGTCTCTAACGCGATCCAGCCTAGACGAACGCCACCAAGCTTGCGCATTTCTTGGTCTTGACCGTGCGGAAATTACTTTGCATCCTGTGGGCGAATCCAGTCGTTGGACTGCCGGGGGGGCTCGGCAAGGATGCTAGGTTCTGTCCGAGGTCGTCGTGGCTGGGTCTGAACCGTTGAGAAATGTCCAGAATGGACGGGACCGGGGGGAGGGGAGAGCTCCTACGAAGGAAGGTCCCTCGGAGAAACAACAGAACTACAGAAGGGCAGAAGAAAGGAAGTTGGAAGAAAATGAAAGAAACAAAGAACCGAGATGAAGGACCAGGACCGATGATCGCTCGACAATCGTCTTCCCTACTGAAGAAGAGGCGGCGCTCAACAATCGTCGGAACCATTGCCCAATGGGGTCTACCAATAATCTCACGATGGTCCGTATATTCCGATCCTGGGGGAATACGCGTGGAGCAACAGCGACCGGATGTCGGGGGTGGTGCAAGGCGATTGGGTCACCGGTGGTAGGCTGGTGGGGGACCCTTTCTAGGATGTTGGTCTGTTCAAAACTGGAAATGAGAGTCGGATTGAAAAGCTGCGGGGTAATTACCCAGAAACTAATCTCGTGGGAATCCATTTGTCTCAGACCAAGGACGCAGGCGAAGACACTAAAATCTGGGCAGCGCCATCCCCACGCAGGAACCTATGAGAATCCGGGGGCGGGCCGGGATTAGGGCTTGGGGTTGCAGCGCTAATCCTTCCTGGGCCAGTCCATCGAATTCAATTTTAATTACTCCGGTATTTCCCAATCTATCCGGTGGCAAGGAAGTCGGACGATGACTCTCGATATCCTCGGGGATTATTGCTCGACAATTGGGGCCAGAACAACCCGCTTGTTTCTTGGTCTTCCTTCGACATCCAGTCAAATCCTCTCGATTCACCAAACCCAACTAGACCCCCCCATGGTCAGGCTCCTGCCTCCAATTTTAAACCCAAATTAAAACTGAATTGCTAAGAATAACCCGCATGCGCCCCTAGCCTGGCCTCGGCCGTGGACGATCCAGCATGTGAGGTAAAGGGGGAAGATGTGTATATAAAGCGACCCTCTCCAGATCTTCCACCGGTGTAGCAGAAGTCGATCCATTCGTTTGACAGATCACTCGGGCATTCGTTTATTCCCATCTTTCCATTGTTTTTATATATATACTTAATAATCCAACCACCGTCGTTTTATAACACATCAAGTCACCATGAAGTTCACTGCCCTCTTCACCCTGGGCCTGGCCACCTCGGCCATCGCCACCCCTTCCCTCGTCCAGCGTGACGGCAAGGAAGTGCAGAGCCTGATCAAGGACATCTCCGCCAAGACCGAGGCCCTCGACTCGGCCATCTCCGGCTACAGCGGCGGCGACGCCGCCAAGGTCGAGTCCGCCTCCGAGGAGCTCATCTCCGTGACCACCAAGGGCACCGAGACCGTCAAGAGCGGCGACGACCTGACCAGCAGCGACGCCCTGGGCCTGACCTCGCCCATCCAGGACCTGACCGACAAGATCGAGTCCGCCATCGACAACCTCATCAGCAAGAAGTCCAAGTTCGAGGCCGCCGGCGCCGGTGGCAAGATCAAGTCCGCTCTGTCCGAGCAGTACGACGCCGCCAAGGGCCTCGCCGAGGCCCTCTCCTCCAAGGTCCCCGAGGCCCTGAGCGACATCGCCGACGAGCTCTCCGCCGGCATCACCAAGGCCATCCAGAAGGGTGTTGACGCCTACAAGGACGTCAAGGAAGGTGGCAACGGCGGCGGCGACAAGCCCGAGCCCACTGAGAAGCCCGAGCCCACCGGCGGCAACGGCGGCGATGACAAGCCCGAGCCCACTGAGAAGCCCGAGCCCACCGGCGGCAACGGCGGCAGCACCACCTCCGCCCCCGTCATCCCCGGCCCCACTGCCGTTCCCACTGGTTCCTCCTCCGGCGTCCCCGCCCCCACCGGCTCGGCCGCTCCCCCGATCTTCACCGGTGCTGCCAGCCGCGCCGGCTTCTCCTTCGGTGGTGCCGCCGTCGCCGCCGCCATCGCCATCGCTATCTAAGTGTGCGGCGAGTTGGCGCGCTCGGATGCTTAGGATCCTACGACGGGTGACGAGATCGAAGACCAGGCTACGATGTAAGACAATTGGAAATGGGAAATTCGCATTGGGCTTTGCTCTGTATATTCGATTCTTATCGTGTACTGTTCCGGTCGGGGGTTTTTCTCGATGAGCTCGAATAGTTTAGTTGTATTGGTATTTATAATATATCGCACTGCCTATGCCTTGATTTTTATTCTGAGTAGATGGTTTAGCAATCCAATGTACAATATTAAGAAGTGGTGGCTGTCTACACCATGTAAAATATCAATTCAACAATGGTGACATTCGATCATGTCCTGTAAGATGACAACTTCTTCCTTCTCCCTTAGTAGCAAAGGTGTGACCCCGAGACCTCCCGTAAGATATCAAGAACATGCAAGAACTATGGAGTCACACAGAATACAGCCTTGTAAAGCACTCCTCAACAGTCAGGGGAAGCTGACGTGATATCACACAACCTGAGAACCATATCCTTCGACCTGCATTTAAGGCAGCAAGGCGATAGATGAGGGTAAGTAGTGCTTATAAAGGACCATTCCTTCAATGTGGCTGAGTTTGTGAGGACAGGATTCCAAACTGCGAGTCTTACCTATGATTAGGGCTCTACGCTAAGCAGTAGGGCCGGCTACTTGTATATTGTGGGTTAATGCTGACGGAAGCGGTCGATTGATAATAGGCTCAATGGATTTTGTCAGGCTATGGAAGGTTGCAAGATTATGGTGAATTGAGATAATCTTGCAAGGTAGCTGTGCAAATTAGCTGTGCTTTGGCTGATGCATACTATTTTCCCGCATATATTACGTGGTGTAGTCTTAGGCTCATTAGATTGCGATATAATTGAGATTAATCTCTAATCACGAGAGATTAGATAAAAGCGGTATTGTATGAATTGCTATGCAACTAATGTTCGTAATATACTCTGTGATGTAGGATGAACAAAAGTGTACAGTGGTTGCTAGTAATTGAGTATCGGATAGATATATATACTCTGTATATGGTGTATGCAAGCCACTTCAACATATCATTCCCACCTTCCAACCTTCTACTCAGATTCCAATTCCCCACATTCCCAAGCCAAACAAGCAATCAACCCCTTGGGAAAAAAAAAGCCACATGTGTAACCATCCTCTTACCAACAAGTCGCGAATCAAACCAGATCGATTTCCCCCTTACCGCGATCGTTCTGCACAATCGGCGCCAATCCCTACCAGAAATAGTCCAAGGTCCACCTCAAATTCCAATAGAGGGTTTCCAAAGCTTGGTTCTGATACCTTGCAGCTAAACAAACCAAAAAAAAAAAAACAGACAAGAAAAGAAAGAAAAAAATATGCGGCTGACTTGCTCCAACAAAGGGAGTTCGTCTAGACAGACTTCTTCGTCCCTCCTTCCCACCAAAATCCGCCGTCGAAGATAGGCAGGTAGTCAGTCCACCACACCATCCACAATGCAAGTCGCATTCCTTATGCTGTTGGGCCTCGCCACGGCGAGTATCATCCAAAATGGACAGCTGCGTGAGAATCCTTACCCGGGCCAGACGGACGCGATTGCGCTCGACGCGTCGTGGAGGACGTATGCTCCGGATGCGGTAGAGATTGGGTATAAAGGGCGGTGGGATAGTAAACACGTTTCTTGTATGGCTCGCTTTGCGGTTTTCTCTTTGACTCGGGCATTGACTGATGAATAGGGTGGTCGTGCGTACCGTCATTCTACACATATCACCTGGATAGGAGAGGAAATAGCTGATGGCACAGTGCCCCCGGGGTTAAATTCGATTTTACGGGAAATCAGGTCGCGCTCGGATTTGGTCCTCAGACGTCTGAGGGTGTGCTTGTGGCGTATCGGTATGATCTTTCTCTATGCTGATGACCACACTGCAGGATAACGATGCTAAACGTGTTGGAACAGTATCGCCGGTCTGGACTGGGAGTTCTCCAACGTAACGGCCGGCTCGATTCACCAGTTCGTGGGACCAGAGACTACTGTCAAAACCGAGCAGACCACATTCGAGCTTCGGGGTAGGCATTGCGCCTCTCTATACAAATAATGGATACTGACACTATAGATAGTCACCAACTGGGCCTATGGATAAGTCACCTCGGGCACATACTCGTACTCTTCGCTTACCCCGACGCACAGTCCAACTAAACAACGTCTCCGTCGGCCACGACTCCCGGCTAATCAAAACCCCCGAGTTGGAAAAGAATGTTGAGATTATTGGCGATTCGTGCGTACCCATTAACCAACCGTTTATCCAATTGAGGACGAGTCTGATGGTATCTACCTAGACTGGCATCGGGACAATACGGCACCTACGAAGGCCTCTCTTCCTGGGCCTTTGCATTTGCTGCAGGACTAGGAAACGTTGACTACTCCATCACGGTATATCCATCTTTACACCTCACAACCAATGACTGCAACAGTCGATCTCATAATTGATGGATATGACAGGCATACCCGGGGATCTGTCTCCAAGACAAAGAATGCTATGATAATGCCCGCGGAATGGTACGGTCCCTTCCTTCCTCAGCACAAGACATGCATATACTCAAAGCCCGTGAAGACATATCAATGGAAACAAGCCTCCGACTGCGGCGCCCGCGCCAAAAAGACCTACGGCGCGAGCCCCGAACCGTGGAACGTGAGCGACCATCGCGCCGCTGACTTGGTCGTCATTAATTTGGGGACAAACGATCACCGCAAGGGCAACGAGGTCGCACCGGACGACTTTTACGATAGCTACGTGAAGCTGATTGAGGAGGTCCATGAGGCGTGGCCGCAGGCGAATATCATTATCATGGTATACCCCCTCTCTTCCTCTGTTACTCATTTTAACGCCCTTCTCCCCCTTACATATAACTCTATGGATGACTGATGTTGTACTATGTAATGACGCAGTCACTCTGGGGCACTTTCGACTCCAAGCAGGACACCTACGTTCAGGTACCGCTGTACGTGCGAGCCCTGAAACGGGTATTCGAGCGGTTCCGAGAAAGCGGGTTCGTGCACTACTTTGATACCACAGGGATCCTCCACCACAATGACGTGAATCCGAAGGATCACCCAACGGACGTGGGGCATATCAAGATCGCGAGCCATCTGATGCAGTTTGTAAAGTTGCGGCTTGGGTGGGAATTTGCGGCGTCGGGGCCGGAGGTCGAGCATGATACGTTGTATTGGAATGATGAAGCTGGATATTGAGTCGATTGTGGTTGGTGCATCTCTTGGCATTGTTGCTGTCAGGCTGACGACGCGGGGGCTGCCTGGTAGCCTGGCCGATGCAGTGTATATATACTTTCAAACCTTCATTGCATCTTTTTCTTTACTCCATCTATCTAAGCATTGTCACCAAGCCATTGTCACCATGTCGACGTCCAGAGTCGAATACATCAACGGTCGCAAAACATTTATTCCACTCGGTAATACCTACATTCAACCTCACCCTCATTCCCCATACTGATAAGAAACAACAGAAAACAACCCCGAGATCTTCACCCCCCTTTGCCAATCCCTCGCCATCTCCCCCACTCTCACCTTCCACGATGTCCTCTCAACCACAGACCCAGACCTTCTCGCCCTAATCCCCCGCCCCGTCAACGCCGTCATCCTCTGCGTCGAACCCCCCATCTACAAAGCCGCCCGCGAATCCATTGCCCCCACCATCCCAGCCTACACCAGCCACGGCCCCACCGAACCCGTCTTCTGGGCCCGCCAAACCATAGGCAACGCCTGCGGCCTAATGGCCTTCCTCCACTGCGTCCTCAACCTCCCCACCAAAGACAGCCAAGAACCCGGCGGCTACGTCGCTCCCGAATCCAACCTCGCAACTTTCCTCCATCGCGCAGTTGACCTCCCCCCCGCGGAAAGAGCCCAGCTCCTCTACAACTCGCAGTTCCTCGAAGATGCTCACATGGCAGCTGCGCAGCGGGGCGTATCGCATATCCCGCCTTCAGAGGAGTACACGGCGCATTTTGTGGGGTTTGTGCGGACTGGTGATGGGCGCGTGTGGGAGCTGAATGGGGGGCTGAATGGACCTTTTTTGAGGGGTGTGTTGCCGAGGGATGATGGCGGTGGGGGAGGGGGTGATTTGTTGAGCGAGGAGGGCTTGCGCTTGACTGTGGGGGACTTTGTTGATGCTGCGAGGGGGGTACAGGGTGGAATGAGTGTTGTTGCTATTGCGGAGGAGTGAATTGTCTCGTTGGTTTGACGGTCAGGCTCTATTGTATTGTCTGTTCCGACACCTAATGGGACTATACAGGTAATGCACATCTACATCTATATGCACTGCATAATTAGTCATGGGTGGGGGTGAAACGCGTATGGTAATTATGCCGGGCGGTGAGGCGTCATTGGGGAAACCGAGTGCGGATTTCGGAATTATTTCCAATCGGTCACTTTTCCTTCATCTTTTCCTCCTCTGGAATCCTTTCATTCGGCCTCATCTTTATCCTGCCGTCCTCCTGCTCTGTTTGCCTAGTGCTCGTCCAGTTGATTTTGAGTTCCGTCATTGCCCGGGCTCAGCACCACGGAGTGAGCCCAGCACCCAGCACCGGTCTAGATCCTCGGTGCAGGGCCAAGTGGATCCATCCTCCTCGCCCCAAACCAGTGACGTTTCTTCTATCATTCCGTCCCCTGATTAGCTTTCGCTGTCGCGTCCATCCTGATTTCCGACGTCTTTCCTTGACTGCCTCAGGTGGTCCGTTTTCTGATTCCTTCGCTTTTTGTCCGTCCCATTGGCTGCTATTTTGGCTGCCATTGTGCCCCTCATGCATTCTCCCCCACACAGCTTGACGCTTGCGCAGTCTGTGCGTCTTTCCATCCAAGATGATACCCTCTCGATTGTTGGTATGTATTGATGCCCCATTCTGAACAGGGTGATAGTTAACGTGTGTGATACTGTAGATGACCGTCCGTCGCGGAGAAAAACCCAGCGTTCGTGCTGTGGATTGCTATCCGGCTCAGGTACGTCTCCTTAAATTCCACGCTGTGATCATTGTTCTAGTCAATCCATACACCATCCGAGATCATCGCAATTAACTCCCACCAGATGTCGCCCCTCACTACACCATCCCCTCGTACAACCTTCTCAATACCTACGTTGCCCCTGGCGGGTTAACCATTACCTTCGTGGAATCCACCGATGACGATGCGACTGTCAACGCCCTCCAATACCCCCTCGCCGAAAAGGAACAAGAGACAGCAGCGCCGTGGGTCGAACAAGTGCTAGAGTGGGCCTATGGCCGGGCGCGACGACACAAGCGACTGAAAGTCATCATAAACTCCTTTTGCGACAACGCATATCACCGATACAAGACACAGGCGGACCCGATATTCGCCGCGGCGCAATGCCAAGTCGACGTACAGAAGACCGAATACCGAGGCCATGCGACTGACATCTGCGAGGCCCTTGACCTCAACGCCTACGACGCCATCATATGCTGCTCCGGCGATGGTCTCCCTTACGAAGCCTTCAACGGTCTGGCAAAACGGCCCGATGCGCAGGACGCACTCGCCAACATCGCCGTCGCCATGATCCCCTGCGGGTCCGGCAATGCCATGGCCTGGAATCTCTTTGACACCGGAAGCGTCTCCCTCGCCGCTCTCGGGATCGTCAAAGGACTGGAAATGCCCATGGACCTACTCTCCATCACCCAAGGAGACACCCACACCGTCTCATTCCTATCCCAGTGCCTCGGCGTGCTCGCCGACTGCGACCTCAAGACCGAGCATCTGCGTTGGATGGGCGACCACCGCTTCCTCTACGGCGTCTTCGCCACCCTCGCCCAACGCACCTCCTACCCCTGCGACCTAGCCATCAACGTCGTCCTCGACGACAACGCCCAAATCCAAGAACACTACGCCAACAAAAAGAACCAACCCTTCACCCCACCCCCCGCTCCCAACCCTCTATCCCCCACCGGCCTCCCCCTCAAATTCGGCACCGTCCAAGACCCCCTCCCCTCCACCTGGGAAATTATCCCCGCCGACACCCTAGCCAGCTTCTACGCCAGCAACATGGCCGTCGTCTCGCGCGACACCAACTTCTTCCCCGCATCCCTTGCCTCAGACGGTCTAATGGACATCATGACCATCGACGCCTCCGTCGGCTGGATCAAAGCCCTCGAAGCAATCATCAAGCTCCCCCAAGCAAAATGCTTCCACCTCCCGCACGTCCAAATGCGCAAAGCAGCCGCCTACCGCCTCACCCCGCGCGACGGCGACGGCTGCCTCAGCGTCGACGGCGAGCGCTACCCATTCGAAGCCTTCCAGGTGGAGATTCACCAAGGCTTGGCTAGGGTTTTGTCTAAATCAGGCGTCTCGTATGAAGCGCCGGGGCCGGCCTAGTGGATCCTAATATAGCCACCTACCCTACCTACCCACCTACCTACCTATATGTATGTATATCGATATGCGGCGCATAATTGCCCCGTTTGAATCTGTCTACTTCTTGTAAATAGTAACGTAAAATAATAGATGGGTTCTGCTTGTACATAGCCCCACCCTTGCCACCCCGGGATGAAATGAGGTGTAGCGTAGCCAGGACTTCAACGAGATCCTAGGTCGTCATTTTTGCATCAATGTCATAAATCAACACTACGATCTTAAGATCTTATAAAAAAATTATAATAGTTTTTTTATAAATCTTACAAATATTATATGTTTCCTCCCCACCCTTCCCGTACCCACTTTCCAAGATGGGGAGGGTGTTAAGGGTCTAAATAACACGATATCCGGAGTACAGATTACTTAGCAAATACTACTACAGCAATGGAAGAGAAGCCTACTGAGTACATAAGTAACCAAGAAGCATATCTATAAAGAGACTGCTTAGTACCCTTACAGATTCTTCAACATCACCAGCGCAGGACATCAGTGAATGTCATCTTAGAAGCTGTACCAGACAACAGACAAGCTCCACAGAGAGGTGGGAGCACCAAGTGCTATGCAATGCCGCTCGGTATAAGAACCAAGATGCTGGGGTAGTAGCGAGGATGAATCGACAAATCCGCATAGATGGTAAACAGAACGTTGCGCGCGTCCCCACAGCCAAGAAGTAGCAGGGGTGCATCTTGCTCCGGCGGGAGAAAATGGGCCGGACACACTGCGGGCGTGTTACCTATGGAGTAGAAGTGTTTCTCATGTATATAAATACGAGCTGGGATAAGCGTGGTAGATTGGGGGTTCCAAATGATGCTATAGTGATGTTGGGAGAATGTCTAAGAGAAGCTCAACAACAGCAAGATCCCAAGTCATGTATATACTCATTCTCGTGATTGGAATGGATTGAATTATCTAACAGTCCCAAGGAATTTATATTGGCGGAATGAGGAAGGAGTTGGTCACGACATTGTCCACACCGGAAGGATCGTCGACCACCATGCTGCATGCCTTGGTGCCTGAGGCCGGACTCCATATCCGAGCCGACATCGGAATTCCGATCGGCTCGGAATCGTCATCCTTGCAACTTCCTGTTATCACATCAGGAATGGGCCCAGAACCGTTCTCCAGTCCACCATCCCACAGAAAGCGACAGGGGGCACCTCCACGCAAAAAGGCATGTCAGAGCTGCACCAAATCCAAGGTCCGCTGCAGCCTCGACCGACCGGTCTGTTCTCGCTGCCGGGTGTCGCGTCGAGCGTGCGTGTATCCTGTTCTCGGCGGAAGTAGCAACTCGGGTCCTGCCACGGCGTATCATACTGCTATCGAAGATCCAGTCTCAGAGTCGTATCCTGATGTATCGATGGTGGGTACGCGGTCGATTGATCCACTCCCCGAGATGCCCACCCCTGTAGCCCCTAGTACGAGCGGCTCCATCTGGCATTCCCCGGTCCCACCGCACAGACACGTGGGAACAAGGGGCTCCAATCAATCTGCATCCTCCTTCAACTTTGTCGACATCAGTCTAGTCCCGAGCGCAAATGCGGGGGATATTCGGGACCGATGGCTGAGACCGTATATCCTCCCTCCCTTGGGACAGGAGGAGATTCCCAAGGTCTATAACCCGTTCACGCTACAATACATTTCGCGAGTCCTGGCTACTTACCCACGGTTCATGTTGAAGGACGGTGGTCTTCCACCGATCATACACTGGGCGCAGATAACCGGCCGCGAAATGCCCCAGTCGCTGGCCAACTGCTATAGTTTGGTCCGGCTATGGGAGCAAGCGGTGCCTGGGAGTGAGGCGATGGTGATAAGCACCGTGGAGAGGGAGATGGAACGGCTGGCTGCAGAGGTATCACGGCCATCCCCCATATTTGACGTTCTCTAACCCATGCCCAGCCGACTAGCCCGCACGACTTTGACCAACTGTCGGCTTTCCAGGCTTACCTCCTTTACTCGATCATGATGTATTTCTCCCCACGCAACTCCTCTGACGCTGTCAACGACAAGACGATGATCACTCTGATGGAGCTTGCAGCCCGCACCGCCTGCAATGGCCTCTTCTGCACGGCTGAGGTCGCACACGCGCGACCGTCGTGGGAGTCCTGGATCGTGGTGGCTGCGAAACGACGCACAATCCTAGCCATGTACCTTTTTAACAGCGTGTACAACGCGGACCGGCTGCTTCCCAATTTTGGTGCGGATGAGATGAGGGGAGTGTACGCGCCGGAAGACAAAGAACTTTGGATTGCGCGCAGCCGCGACGGGTGGGAAAGGACGTACGACAAGTATCTGCTGGACTGGGAGGACGGGATCTTCGAGATCTCTGAGCTGTGGAAGTCTGCAGAGACGGGATCGACCGAACGGAGAGCGAGGATCGAGCGCTGGGCCCAAACACTGGATGAATTCGGGATGATGATTTTTGGCGTGTGTTCGCACCTCCACGGATGCTAGCAGAGCATTCAACAGATGGCGATCGTCACGGGGCCAAGAGATACCAAGACAGAAAGTCTGTCGTCATGCGAACTCTCGGCCCCGTATGACCTCGGAACTCCGAGTGGGGACTCCGAGGAGGACCCCACCGGCGCATCCGCCGCATATAAATAAACCCTAGATCGTCGAGCTTGGGACGATCAACGGACTTCACCAACCCAAATTCTTTTCTTCACAACCTTCTCACACTCATCCAAGATGGCCCACTCAAAGGCCGTCTACGCTACAGACCATGCCGCCTCAGTCCTCCAAACCCACAGCTGGCGCACCGTCGCCAACTCAACACCGTACCTCATCCCGCACCTCCGCTCCGACATGACCATCCTCGACATCGGCTGCGGACCCGGGTCAATCAGCGTCGACCTCGCCAAGCGGGCTCCCAACGGCCACGTGACAGGGATCGAGTACGTCCCCGATCCTCTAGACGAGGCGCGATCGTTCGCCTCTCGCGAAGGGGTCACGAACATCGATTTTCGCGTCGGGGACATCCATTCGCTCGCATTCCCCGACAACAGCTTCGACCTAGTCCACGTGCACCAGGTCCTACAACACATCGCGGACCCGATCCAAGCCCTGCGCGAGATGCGCCGCGTCGCCAAGCCCAACGGCGGCGTCGTCGCCGCGCGCGAGTCGGCCGCTTTCAGCTGGTATCCTGAAAACCAGGGGATCCAAACGTGGCACGCGGTGACTGAGCGAATGGCCAAGGAGAGGGGAGGGCATCCAACCCCGGGGTCGTACATTCACACGTGGGCCCAGGAGGCTGGGTTCCCGGTGGGAAGAATCCAGAAGTCGACGGGGACGTGGTGCTTCAGCACGCCTGAGGAGCGCGAGTACTGGGGCGGTACGATGGCGGAACGGGCTCAGTCGTCGGGGTTTACGACTATGGCGCTGGAGGGTGGATGGGCGACTGCGCAGGAATTGGAGAGCATGGCGCGTGGGTGGAGGGAGTGGGTGATGAATGAACAGGGGTGGTTTGGGGTACTTCATGGGGAGATTGTCTGTTTCAAGTGAGTTAACACTTGACGCGATACCAATCGATATCTACCACTCCAGTAAAGATGTAGACATTTTAATTGTACATAAAACCAAACATGACCGACAGCCCCCCCACCAAGGACATATTACTCTCGTTCCACAAACCCGACGTCAAGGCCCTTCTGATCAACAAGACGAACCGATCTTGGCGATCGCAACCTAACCCTATTCAGTAGTAATACAGGGCAAGGGAAGTGATCCCTTCACTATTAACAACGTGGCTGGGATGCCATTTATAATCAAACACAGCGCCAAATCACTAGATTATAAATCTTCCAGAATATACTAATCATCCTCTCGAAGCTAAGATGCTGAGATTAGACATCATTTGTCATCGAATATATCATCCATCTGACTATCCCCTTCAGAACCGCCTATACAGATCTATAAAGCCACCGCACACGCCCACTATCCCCCAAATAACCATCATCCCAACACCCCCAAGCCAATTCCCCAAACCAATCCTTCAAACCAAATCTACCGCAAACATGTCTCCCACCCAAAAAGCCCTCATCGTGACCCCCTCCAAAACAGCAACCCTGACAACCACCCGACCCCTCCCCACCCTCCGCGACGGCTACATCCTCGTGAAAACCGCCAGCGTCGCCCTGAACCCCACAGACTGGAAGAACATCGCGGCGATCGCGCCACCAGGGGTTCTCGCCGGGTGCGACTACTCTGGCACAGTCGAAGCCCTCAGCCCAACAGCGGCCTCATCCACAGGTCTCAAAAAGGGTGACCGCATCTGCGGCTGCGCGCACGGATGCAACGCCGAGCAGCCCGAGGACGGCGCTTTCGCGGAGTATATCGTCGTGCCGGTTGGCACGCAGATGCGGATCCCGGATAATCTGTCTTTTCAGGAGGCGGCGACGCTGGGTGTCGGCGTCACTACCGTGGGCCAGGCGCTGTATCAGAGTTTGGGGATGACGTGGCCTGGGGAGTCCCGGGGGGAGTCAGAGTCCGAGCAAGAGGCGGTGTTGATTTATGGGGCGTCGACCGCGACGGGGGCGCTGGCAGTGCAATTCGCGAAGCTATCCGGGTACCGCGTGATAGCGACATGCTCGCCGCAGCATTTCGATATGGTGCGCGCGCTAGGCGCAGACGAGGTCTTCAACTCCCGAGACGAGTCCGCTGCCTTGCGAATCCGTGAAATCACAGACGACAAGCTGCGCCTGTGCCTGGACTGTGTGTCGCTAGAGTCTACCGCCGCATACTGCGATAAGGCGCTATCGTCGCAGGGCGGGGAGTACAGTGCGCTGTTGCTGGTGGAGATTGAGCGAGCGAATGTCAATAGCCGGTCGACGATGGGGTATACGGCGATTGGGAAGGAGTTTCGCCTGGGGGATAGAGTCTTTGAGGCGAGTGCGGAGGATCTGGCGTTTTCGAGGCGGTTTTGGGCGCTTGCGGAGGGGTTGTTTGCTGAGGGGAAGGTCGTGCCGCATGCGATGAGGGTTGGGGAGGGGGGGTTGAGGGGGGTGTTGGAGGGGCTGGAGGAGATGAGGGCGGGGAGGGTTAATGGGGTGAAGTTGGTTTATAATGTTGGGGAGACTGATTGATTTATATCATTGCTTGTGAACATTGTTATACTGTATATGATAGGCATCAAGCCTCCTGATGGATCTCCACATTGACTCCCTTGGGGAACACACGTCGCACTGCCTTGAGCTCATCCAGCGTCACCGTATCAGGGGCCACAAAACTATATTAGTTAGATTGTTCCTTCAGAAAGTGAACATGAAAGAAAAAAAAAAAAGAAAGAAAGAATGATAACCCACGACGTCGTATGAATAGGCGGCAAGCTCCTCGTCGAGATAAACAGCGTGTGCTCCGTTGCGCCTTTCTGCTCGAAGGCCGTCTTCACGCTGCTCTACAGTTAAAAGAGACCCTGGAGTACTGTCAGGAGGGCATATGGGAGCAAGCGACGTACAATGCCTCCATCTGGCTGCCATGCGCGTTATACGCGTCGAGCGAGTCGTAATTGATCACGATGGTCTATTCATTACTTAGTAACCTTGTAGCCAGAAAGCGAATTGGGGGAGTGTGGCATACGTAACGGATCATAATGTACTGCATACCGATTCGAATTCTGATCAGGTTGAAGGCTGATCCTGTCTATTTATCGTGTTGAGGTGGGGTGTATACGAGTCAATCATGACATCATACCAGCTAGTTCCATCACGGGTCCACCCGCATCGATCGACCAGATCCCAAGACAAATGTAGGAGGTAAATAAAAAAGATCAATTTAATGTATTCCATCCTGATAATAAGCTAAATCCCAAGCACCAAACAAACCCAAAAATCTAGAATCCGCTCGACATAAATCACCAATCATCAGACTCTTCACGGTCCGAATACGCCTCTTCCCTCTCTTCCTCCCGCTCCTCTTTCTCCTCCTCATCAGAGCTGGAATCTTCGCCTGTACCAAGTTAGATCGGCCTCCTATCAGAAAGGGAAAGAAAAATAAAAGAAGGAACATACCAAGTTCATGCGCCACCAACGCCCCGACACCAGCGCCAACAGCCAAACCACCCACTCCCATCATCGCCATCTTCGCATTATCACTCAGCCCCTTGTCCTTCTTCTCCTTGTGCTCCGAGTATCCCTCCTGAGGAGGATACCCCTCCCCACCCTGAGGGGGATACCCGCTCTCTCCGTGCGGCGCACCACCGTAGTAACCACCACCCGGCGGGGGCATATCGCGGGAGCCGTACTCCGAGTCCGCGATGGGGGCTTCCCACTGCGAGCGGCCGGAGGCAGTCTCAAAGAAGAAGGCGCGGCGTGTGCTGGGCTCCCACTCCTGGGCCCAGCCGTAGGGGAGAGGCGGAGGGGGCATGGTGGGCGGGCGTGCGGAGGGCGGCGGCGGCGCGCCGTAGGGAGACGGGGAGCCGTAGGACCGCTCGCCTCCGGCGTAGGGGGGGCGCTGGTCTTCGTAGGGAGGGCGGTCGTAGGGGGGACGGTCGTAGGGAGGGCGTTCGCCGCCGTAGGAAGGACGGTCTCCATAGGGAGGACGCTCTCCGTAGGGAGGACGCTCTCCATAGGGAGGTTGATCGCCATACGAGGGGCGCTCGCTGTAGGGAGGCCGCTGGTCGGCGTAGTAGGCGGGGGCTTCGCCGTAGTGGGCCATTTTGTTCTTTCTTTGTAAGTGAGGGTGGGAGGGCGGGTGGTATAGTGTAGGATGGTTGGGAGGAAAGGGAAAGGTGTCTGCTACGACCTTTATATATGTCCGGGTGGGCAGGTCTGGTGATCGAGGGGTACGACTACACTGTGTACACGTATGTTACGCATGGCTAGCTTGATAGAGGGAGGGGCATGCAGACCATCCCAACATGGGCTAACACTGAAACCATTGGTAGGGGGGAATGTTGGGAAGGGTACAGATGACAGGATGAGTTCGAAGAGTATGGACTATTGAGGAAGAGGAGACAGCCCCACAGCGTTAGTACTATCTCGAGATGCATCAGGCAGCGACATAATCTAGTCTGTCTCACCCTGGCAGCCCTAAAAACACGATATCATTCTGTACTCCATGCTATCCTATCCGATACTGCTCCGTGTAGTATACGATCCCATATGACACCATACTATATGATATTGTACTGTACCTTCAAGTCATGTAAAACAGAATCACACAATGCACAGAACCCTCTCAATCAAAAAAAAAGAATGACATGTCCACAACCTGCCCCACTACTGTTAGAAAGCTGCAGAAACAACAAACAGACCCCACATCTGCCTTAGGCAGACCTTGGCGCCACAGCAGTACCACCTCATCAGCCAATCAAACACCAATATTGCCCCGCACCAGCCACACCAGCGTTAACAGACTCAGCCACCATCATTCACCCCCTTTTCCAGGCATCCATATTCTTTCCATCTTCTACGATTTTCTCCATTCCATCATTCCATTCCATTCTTTTTCTCTCCTTGATACTATTTCTGCTCTACCAAGCTCAGTTGGGTTTAATATGTCCCGCCCCCTTTTACTGGATTTGTGTTATTTTTGGCCTACATCATATTGGTGGATCACTAAGTTGGCAGGTGTCACTAAGGAGGCGGGTGTTGATGGACAGAGTACTCCGTACACCGACTATGTACCGAGTATGCAGTAACCGCAGGTGAGGGCAGGAAGGACACGGTTGTATCGATACGTGATTTGTGGCTCAGAGACTGCGGCATTTCCGCACTGAGTGCTCCTGTCTGAGGCAAATTTAGTGCCTTGCCTATTTTGTCTTGGTTCACTCAAGCTGTCATCTGTACATCCATAACCAGTTATATCCATGATGTGCCGTACTCCGTACATTATAAGACGTGGGGAGATGACAAGAGTGCTAGCCTAGAATGACAGGATTTTCCCCGAAGATCTGTCCCGGACTGCCCCTATCCAGTGAAGGTTTGGGGTCGGGCTTGGGGCCGGGTAGCCAGAATCGTATCCGAATGGGGTCTGGAGCTGGGTCAGGATTCACGGTGATCTGCAAGAATCCAGTGATCCCAAAATACGACTGCTTCTGATTATTTGAGACCTGTAGAGATGATACATATAGTTTTATTTAGAAATAACCCTGTCTTTTCATTTCTGGGTCCATATCCCATAAACTGATGGAGCTATGAAACTTTGAAGTAGACAATTCTTCCATTACCGTTTAAACCTTAGGTAGCTGTATCTAAAGCACATCATGGTGATACGTAGTATAGACTTACTTACCTTATTTAGTAGGCTGTGAGAATCAGGAGTCAACGGCTGTACTTGATATAAGAACTTGTCACTGGGGCCTACACGCCTAAGCACAGGCTCAAACCCCTGTCTGTATATATGCAGAAGACAAGACTACCTTACAACAAAGAAGGAACTTCAGTTCTAAAGCCGGAGCGTAAGGCGGCTTCTCTCTTTTATTTTCTTTTTTCAGCTAGTTGGTCGATCTTCATCTCAGTAAATATTCGAACCCTAGCTCTAGAAGTCTGCTAAATATAAGGCCGCTGAGTAGGATTATGAAGAGGGCCAATTTTTAGCAAAGTATAGTTCTGACTATTCGTTTCTCTGACGTCTAAAGAATATCCTTCCAGTCTGTAAGAACCATGTCGATACATCAAATCGGCACTGTGCCTGATGTGCTACCAACACTTGACAAATTCTGTATAACTCCTTCTCGAGTCTCATATATCTACAACTACATAACCAGAATGGTGGAAATCAGTTCTATACTGGTATGCGGTTACTACTATACGCGACGAGGCCCTGAAATAGTCAATTATTACTGGGTGTAGTATCACTAGCCGCTGAGGAGTAAAAGAGGTCTTGTACATAGCAAACCCTATACATTGTATCATGATGACCCAGCGGAAGATTGGTCGTGTCAAGTGGGACAAACAGTGGGGACATGAATCAAGCTATATAGTCTACTGGTTAGTTCTCACGGGTCATTCATGCTGGGGGGATCAGGCAAGTCAAACCCTATACCAAACGCGGGTCGGCGTTTGACATAGCGGTCATGAGATAATATATGTATAGGAATGCTTTGGAGATGTCAAGTAAGGAGACTGGATATAGTTTACCATCTTTTTGGACAAGTAGTATAACCAGCACACCTTCAGACTACAACACTGATGTCGAAGCTACATCCATCATTATCTTTTCTCTTACACCGCTGCCAATAGATCTAGGTATAATATAGACCATATTTCTTAGCCTCCGCTCTTACAAGGGCTCGTCTCAGATGACTGACTAGATTAGATAGTGTGACAGGTATGAGAGACAGAATTAGTAGACATAGTGTCAGACAGGATCTACCATTCGAACCGCAAACAAAACCAGTCTCACATATTGAACTTTCCGCTAACGAGCATGGGGCCTGCCTTAATGTTTCTATCTATCTATCTGTGTCCCGCGTTGATCCAGGGAAAGCTAATCACGATGAATACCCACACCTGTCATAGAGGGGATGGTTTTCTCCGGGGATCTTCCGTGCAGACTTTTGAGTCATTTGGGACTAGAATATGCCAGCTTTTGTGGGTCTTTCGGCATGGGTCTATGGAGCTACGAGCACAGGATAGACACGTTCAAAGTACATCAGGGAAATGAAACAGTTGAGTGTATACAAGGGTACCTAGGATGGTATGGTACCTACCATGGAACAAATATTTATTCTCAGCCTCTTAGGATCAATTCTCGTAGTCGAAAGGTTTTTTGAAGATCGAATGAAAGTAAGATAATAAACACTAAATACTAGGTAGCCGGTCCTTGATAAGGGGTTTTTTTATCCCCGCTAGACAAAATACCAATCTACCAATGGAGTGTATCTCGTTCTTACTCCCTACAGAATGTGAGTGAGTCTTTGGTGCGAGGTATGTCCCTACCTACCTAGGAGATACCTTGCCTATGTTACTGATCATGTTGCCGTGAAATACTAGATACTGTACTATTGATGCAGAAGCAGATGGAGGATAAGGTGTGCCGCACGGGGTATCGCTATTGGTCTGTCTGTTTGTCGCTGGGTGTATACAATGTCTTGGCTAGTTCCCTACTGGGGGGGGGACTAATTGAGATCCATGAATCAAGTAAGTAGAAGAGGGGACACAATAGAGGTAATTATCATCATCGTAATATCAATAATTATTAGTCCAAGAAAAAGCCAGTTTTAGATCTCTTAGAGCTTGGCAATCTACTATCGACCATCAACATAACCACACCCACCACACACCACATCAACACACACTGTTACTCCTCGCACAACGCAATCTCCTCCACGACAAAAACATTGACGTTGATTGATACAGTCGAGACTACGATCAGCAACTAGATCGCCGTGCTCGTCTCGCTGCTATCGGGATAGAAGAAGGAAGCCAGTCTAACTAGTTAGCATCATCCAAATCTCTCAAGGGAGTAATAAACTTACGCGATAATCACATAACTGGCGACCAGCAGCGCTCCCTCGAGGTAGTTGCTGCGGCCATCCAACACAAGGAAGTTGACCACGAATGCCGTGACGAACAGACACACAGTTTCGAACAGGGTAAAGTACAATGTCATTTCCTTGTCCATGCACCATCCGAGGATGACGACCAGGGGAGTGACGAAGATAGCTGCCAGAGTTAGTATGCTTATCAGATATAACAAGGAAGGAAGGAAGGAACACACCGATCTGGATACTACTGCCAACAGACACACCAATGGACAAGTCCATCTTGTTCTTGGTGGCGACTGTGACGGCGGTTACGTGTTCCGCGGCGTTACCCACGATGGGCAGGATAATCAGCCCGATAAAAGCCTCGCTGACATTGGAGCTTTCGATCATGGCGGGAATGGCGTCTACCAGGAATTCGGCACATACGGCGACCAGGGCGGTGGAAATCAGCAACATCACTACGGCCGCCGTGCGCGACATTTCCGCTTCCGGGTGCTCCGGAGTAACAGGCGCCGACGGATCGACGGTCGACGGCATGCGGGCGGCACCGCGGGCGAACTGGACGGCGTTGCCGACCGGCGGGGGGCGGTTCATGTGGCTAGGCAGGGAGTGGGTGCGACGCAGCCCGCTGGTATTGCCGCCCTCGCCTGGAGTAACGGGGCTCGAGGCCTGGGGGTTCGAGAAGACTGTGTTGGTTAACAGCGAGGGGAAGTTGGGGCGGAAGGAGGACCACGGCTTGGGCTGGTCGGATGTGCCCTCGCCAGTAGTAGCCATGCCGTAAGGATGCGCCGGGCTGGACTGGTGGGATTTCAACGACGGCCAGGAAACGACCGGCGCGTCGGCCGCCGCTGGGGCGGGGTCCTGGTCTTCTGGGCGCCTCTTTTTCTTCTGCTCGCGACGCTTCGATTTGCGTTCGCCCTTCTTCAAGTCCTTGGCGGTGGGCAGATGGCCAAAATCTCGGGTCTGCGGCTCGTGGGATCGTGGCGCGTCGGTGTCGGCCTCGTAGCGGGCGTCATCGCCGAAGTCGACGGCTAAGGGGCCGCCGGGGATGTCCTGATGGCTGGAGCTCGAACCAACGACAGACCCTGAGGGTAGGTCGGACGTCAAGCGCTTTTGAATGGACTGGTGCGACGAGGTTCCCTTCGAGCTGGTGCTAGACTTGCGGCGCCGGCGATACTTCATGGCGCGCTTGATCCGTTTCGCCGTCGTCCACGAGGTGGTGGTATCATCAGACTCATCCGACGAACTGCTGGACGAATCCGACGAGGAGTTCATCAAATCGGCCAGCACGCCGGGGTGAGACTCTTCGTCGATGATCTGCTGGGGGATGCTGGCGTAGAGATAGGCATGCGACTTGAGCTGGAAGATAATGTACAAGATGTACACGAGAAGAAGGACGACGCTTGTGCCACGGCTGACTTGGAGGGTGAATTTGTCTGCTTTCACCTTATCCGTCCAGGATGCGTGGAAGGCCGTCTGGGGGTGGGTTAGCGTGGGCCAAGGAGAGATGATGGAGGATACTGACGGGCAATAGTAGACTCATGACACTGAGACTGAGGAGACAGGCGCTCATCTGGGTAACGGTGCTGTTGTAGATCTGTTCCCGGAAGCGGAGACCACCCAGGAGGAAGGCCATGCCAAGAATCAACAGCAGGTTGGCCAGGATGGAGCCCAAGAGCGACGCCTGAACGATACGGATTTCATTCTGTGTTTGTTAGAATGGATCTGTCTGGATGTATAGTGTGGAATATACCTTGACTAGAGCAATGCTTACGGGGGATTAGTACAACACCTGAAACCTGAGGCATCTATGACTTACATGCTACGTAGAAGTTAGTATGACGCAAAAAAAAAAAAAAAAAAAAAAAAAGGGTACATGAATCAATAAACAAAGAAGAAGGGGATCATACAAGATAATCAATTCCACGGCATTACCAAAGGTCACGTTGATGAGCGCACCGATGGTGTCTCCAAGGCGACAGGCCACACATTCGGTGGCATGGCTAAGCAAGCCAGCCAGCGGGATGATAGCCACGGCATTCAAAGCGAAAATGATGACGGGGTCCAGACCGGCTGCTGCAACGGCGATGCCCGCGGGGACAAAAATGAGCAGGACATTGACCCAGCTGTGAAAGAGGGCGGTCTTGGTATGATCCACGAAGCGGACGGAGCCATTTCTCATGCGGGTGACCAGTCCGGGTTTGGAGGAGGTTTCCATGTTTGACTGTCCATCGGGGCCCGGGGGAGCCGGGTCACCCTTGGTCTCTTGCTTCACTTCCCCATGCTGACCTGAAGGCGGTTCATCGTCGGTGGGAGGATGATCGGAGACGCCAGTCGGGAACTCGTTGGGGTTGGCGTTGGGGGTAGACGCGTGAGCTTTCGCCCACGAGTGAATCCGGTCTAGAACACGCCAAGATTAGTCACATTTCCCTAGATATCGATGAAGTGGAGTAGTTGTAGGGGATAGGATCGGGCAACTCACGCATGTATTTCAGGACAACGGCTGGTGAGAACCGGGAAGGCAAAAAAGAGGCCTTGTTTGGTGATGACTGTGATGGAAAAGGGGATGGAGAGGATAGAGAAGATGGGGAGGATGGGAAGAAATATGGGACCTTGGAAATCAGATACGATACCCGTCGACAAGCACGTCAAGCTTCGGTCAGATCAAGTTTAAAAAGCGATGTGGCCCGTTTTATGAAGAAATCCCCCTTGGCCATCAAATCACGGGCGCCGAAGCCTGAGGTGCCAAGGCATGATGATCGTCCTCCCCACCCAATCACACTCAGGCATCCAGGCGAAATCCGCAGACACCTGAGTCGCCACGCATTAGTCCGGTTAGTCCAATATCATGGAGGCTCCAGTCTTTCCCTCTGTCGACCTAGTCCGCACGGGTCGTCGAGAAAATTCCATCCTGATCTATTGCCGAGATTGAGTATACGATTCCTTCCCATCCAACAAGGACTAGGTTGTCTCCCGTTGTTGGTCGAAGAGGCTTGTTTACTCGGTTGCCTGAAACGCCCCTTGTTACAGACAAAGTTATCAATTACGGCCAGTCCAGACTTCTATGATCTCCTTGAGAAAACTGGGTCAATCTCCACCCGTCGACTTCAGGAGATACGGAGTAAGCGAAAAACAAACACCAAGAAAAAAAGTCAACATGCATAGTGACCAGGCTCCCTTTGTCCACTTTGTTCAATTCTACGACAGAATAGATCTGCCTATCGAACCTGTAAGGAGGGTCCGATCAGGAAAATACTAGGAGACCGTCTCACAATCCTTCCGGATTCCCTATAAGGCGACGGAACAGAATTGGTCGATAAGCGTGGTACTGGAATGTTGTCCATGATTGCGGACCACAATTGCCTCTGGTCCAGTCCCTACCTCTAGTCCCTCCAGAGTTAGTCCTCCGAAAACCCTGAGTCCCTGACCCGTCCACGGGCCCTCCAGAACCCACCCATCACGCAAAGGGTTAGATCGTCTTTGCCTCACAATGCAAGGCCGATCAGCACTATTATTGGCCTATTCCGTATCAGGGGTCGCTGTCCCGACCAGAATTCTTTCCGGCTGGCTGCCTGAGCCAGTCGGGTCAGTCTTTCAGGCTTCTATCTTTATCGTGGGTGTCCGTGGTAGACTGCGATGCGACCGTGGTTCACATCAATTGTTCCACCGGACAGCGATGACTGCCCCTGGCGGGGTTGCTTAGGTCTCCAAAGCGAGGAAGGTGTGACTGCGCCACAGTGGCTGATCCTATGAATCACAGCTGCGCCACTGCTGTCATCAATGGCAACGGAGGAGCTTCTCCAGAGCTGTTTGATTGGTGGAAGTTACCTTGCGTCTCTCGTGTCCAGTGCTTCTGCCTTGTTGACTCCTCGCAGCATCCTAATGATAACAAAAGGTGCTATATTTCGCTCACTATAGAATCATCGTCGTAATCCTTACCTCATATGCCAGCCACTATGCTGTGATGTCCTGGTCCCGCTGATTCGATTACAACGATACCTAACGTCGGCGCAGCACGAATGAATGCTAGCCGAATTCTCGGATGACGTCATGGTGATATATCGCTCTTGGGTAACAGCCGTCCACAACATATCTTTTCCGACAAGTATAAGAGTTACATGTCTAGGGGTCTATTCTAAGCACGCTAATGCTGTCAAATAATACAATAGTTTAGCGTCCTATAACTTCCCATAAATGCGAAAGGAAGAAGTGAGTCGCAAGATAAAGGAAAGTAAGCAATAACATAGCGAATAGCAAGACATTTCCCGCAGAACATCCTCTCCACAACTTGCGGGCATGAAACTATACCCCGACACGTAGCAGCCCCGCGAGGCATCGGAAACTTCAATACCTTGATATTATTCCTTTTGAGGCCTCGGGGAATTCGCTTCGGGGAGTTGGTTAGAAATAATGGACCACGTGTGACTGCCCACTAGACACATGGTTTTGAATATAGGAGGGATCAAGGCCGTCATTGCTCTTCATAATGACTGTCAACTTGGAACAAGCGATATAATGGCACACAACTTGTAGCCTACATACCAAGTTGGGATACTACGTCTCCACAAGCAATCCATCTACCTGGTCCATCCAACTGTGAAAGCCATACTGGGTGGAAGTTTGTCTAGTACAATGTTGGACTGAAACTTGGATTACAGCACAGCACTCCCACTTTAAATTTCAATGAGAGAATGTTCCGCGCTAGGAATATATTAAGAAGGAGAGCCATTGACTCCGCATGTGTGTTGAGCCGATGGCGGCGCTCCGAAACTCAACCCCCTCCACTACCAGTCAATAGCGATGGCCCCGAGAGCTAAACAGCAGGCTCGTTTCAGAGGAAGTAAGAATTACTACTTCTCTACTTAGTTGGGCCTGTCCTCGACAGAGGGGCCGATATTCCTTCTATTAGCGCTGCAGCCTGTTGGTACCGCATGTCTGCTACATTGGAACCCGGCCGTGGCACTTTATTGGATTTACCTGGGCAAGTACTTTATGCTAGTGGTCTCTGCATGGGAAAAAAATGTCCAGTATTGGTTGATTGAAGATGTGAGTTGTATATTCAATGGACGCTTTGGGGGCCAAAAATTGACATCCATTGACCATGCCTATTGTATTGTGATTGGCATGAAGTCGGTAAAATCCCGCAAAGTTTTTCATCGTCGTCCAAAGTATGTAATGAGTAAATACATAAACAGAAGCTCGATTCAATGTACTAAGGTATGCCTCAGCTCAATACCTATAGATGGTAGAGCATAAGACTGTATGACATTTGTAGATGGAATTGCAATTCTTGTATGAGTTAACTCCAGAATATTATGGATAGTACAAGTATAAAATTCAATCAACTAATTGTCTTCGTTGTCAAAATTACGTTAATGATAGGGATGACTGGTATGTTTGACAGAGGTATGTATAAGGTTCACCTCTCCCGCTAGCCGCTGCCGTGCTACCAGCCCGCAATCAACTGATATTCTTTCAAGAAAAGGGTGTGGCATTGTTGTAAGCCAAATGATATGTAGACAATCCGAAATGCAAGGTGGCTGGCAGGATCGAAGCAGAAGCAATTGAATCAAAAGATGGAAGGGAGAAGCGGTATTAGGATGGGTTGCCTGATCTATTAAGGTTTTTGAGAAGGGTAGACCCGTAATGGATAAATGCAACTATTAAAGTAGTGCAGGAGTATTCACATTAGATCATTGTAATGAAGAGGGCGACCATAGACCATATACAAAATTGGAAGATAGATGCAAAGAAATTAAGGGATAAAAACAAAATCGTAGGATCGAAGCGGTTCGTAATCATCATTCGATAGCTTCGATCAATCGTATACTGTACAAGAATCTACCCCAGGTCAGTCACGTCTATCATTAGAGATCCTCAGGTCGGGGAGGTACACACAATTAAACTTTTATAGTGAGAAGGGGAGATGGGAGGAGGAGGTCAATGCCAATCATGCTTGGTTAGCCGAGGGTAGAAGAAGAGGAAGAAAGCGACGACGGCGAGTAGCATGACGAGAGTAGGCAAGAACATAAAGGTAAAGAGGAAGAGACTCAACCCCAGGGCGGCGTTCTGCCCTGGGAAGAAGCGGCGGGCCATGAGGTCGAGGGAGGCGGTGATCATGGAGGATCCTTGCTCTGTGGCTTTTTCTTTCTTTGTTTATTTTGTCAGACTGTCTGTTTCTGAAAGAACATGGAAGGTGAGTGAAAAGGTATCGATTGAATATTAAATTAAGAATGGGGTAGATGTGACTGATCTCCGATGGGAGAGGACAGGGTTGATATAGGATATACGGGACGGGAGGAAAGAAGGGATATGCAGGATGCACTGCCGGTGTATGTCGGGTGTATGTATGTCTAAACTGGGACTTGATATGAATATTCTAACCAAGTGGTCCCATCATCAGAATATAAGATACTGCGTCTAGTTTAACCCATTAAGATCCCAAATCAACCGAGGAAGTACAGCGACAGGAAGATCGGTGATTGGCTGTGGATTCGGTTGGGAGCCGCTATTCCCGATCCGGAATGGAATGACGTCGCCGGCACCACCCCAGGCAGCCATATTTACAGTCTCCAGACTCTTTCAGGACGCTATTTGATGGAACTGTGGTCAGATGGATTCATTCGAAAAATAATAATAGATACATGGGAGACTGAATCCAAAGAATAATAGCCATGAAGAAAGGGAACAGAGAGAGAAAGATCTGCAGTGTTCCTGTACGGTCCATCCTTGCATGATACCTCAGTCTAGGTACTGTGCAAGTACCAATACAGATCCATTGGAATGATCCCCTTGCCCTCATTTTAAATATAGAACCCACCAGAAAGGGATGATTTCCATGGAACTTCCTAGCCAGCAAAGTAAATAGGAAATCCAAACCCCTCACTGGTAAACAACTGAAGATCCTCCCCATCCATCAACGAAATCCCCTCGCCAATCAGCTTATCCCGTCGCCTTGTAGGGCTGATCGTGCGGATCTCCAGGCTGCCTTTCGTAAGGCATTTCTCATTGTTGTTCTTTTCGTTCTCTTTCTCTTCTGTACCCCCTCTTTCTCTCTGCTTATTCTTACTTTTTGATTCAACCCAGTCCTGGTTTCCTTTTTTCCTTTTTTTTTTTCACAACCCATCCCTCGATATGCTGACTTCCTCTCCTTATCCACTATGAATCTCTTCCATTCCACCAGTTTCGCCCTCCAGAATGGCGAACTCGACAACCGGGGAGTGGACTGGGTCATTCACTACAATTTTGACGACCTCGGTATGTCCCTCCTTCATGACCGTATGCTAGACCATGGCTAATGGGACCAGACAGCGCCCAAGCCGTTGATGAATTTCGATCTTTAATCCACGACCTGGAAGCCGCTCACCTACGCACTCGAGTACGCCATGGTTATGGCTCGTCTTTACTGATTTGCGTCCGCGTGCCCCGTGATCATCTGGGGCACATGATTCATCAGTCGAGGTATACCAATATCCCCCCCATCCCCGTCTCCTCCTCCCCACATTTATGTAGGAAACAAATATCAATGATAAACAGAATAAAAGACTGGCTCTTCGGCATCGCCCACGACTTCCCCGCCGGAGACGAATACACCATCGCCGACCCCGAGACCCCTGCCGAAGCGCTCCGATCCGTCTACCACGCCGTCTCCTGGCACCACCACCTCGGCGGCGCAGGTATCATCCCCAAACACGGTCGCTGCAAGAATGTCGTTGCTGCGTTTCCCCTGCATGACCCTTCGGCCAATGCGGAGTTACTCCGCAAGTGGTCTCATGCTCTGACTCTCACGGCTGAGGATTTGGATGCTATTCGGGCTTTGTATGGGGAGAAGGTATTCCGACACTCCCATACACACACCCCGATATAAACATATTTTTTTTTATTTCACTGTCTTACAGCAGGCATCTGTAAGAATCATAGCTAATGAATGACAGGTCGCATTCTACTTCGCCTTTATCCACTGCTACTCTTGCTTTCTGATTGTCCCCGCCCTCGGCGGCATTCTCTGCTGGTGGTACCTCGGCTCCTACTCCGTCACCTTCGCCATCCTCAACTGTCTCTGGGGCCTTGTTTTCGTCGAGTACTGGAAGATCCGCGAGGCGGACCTCAGCCTGCGGTGGAACGTCAAGGGCGTCGGCGTCCTCAAGGTCAACCGCGTCGAGTACGTCTGGGACAAGGAGGTCCGCGACGCCGTCACCGGCGATATGATCAAGGTCTTTCCCGGCCACAAGCAGTTTCTGCGCCAGCTGTGGCTTATCCCGTTTGCGACCCTTGCGAGTTTGGTGCTGGGGAGCCTGATCGTTGTGTCTTTTGCGCTGGAGGTCTTTATCTCGGAGGTGTATACGGGCCCTTGGAAGGGGTATCTTGAGTTTTTGCCGACTGTGCTGTTCTCGCTTTCGCTGCCGTTCTTGTCGGGTATACTTACCCGCACGGCTACCCGGTTGACGGACTACGAAAATTACCGCACTCAGGACCAGTACGAGCTGGCTCAGACGGCCAAGACCTTCGTTATGCACTTTATCACCGCGTTCCTACCGACTATGCTAACGGCGTTTGTCTACGTTCCGTTCGGCAAGCGGATCGTGCCACTCATCGACCTGTCCTGGATGGGTGATGTGGTCTTGGACCCGGCTCGACTCCGGATCGACGCCTCCCGACTGCAGAAAGAAGTCATTTATCTCTCCGCCATGGCCCAGGTGCTCAGTTTCGGCGAGGAGGTCGTCCTGCCCTACGTGAAGCGGGTCCTCTGGCAGAAATGGCGGGACTACAGCGCGCAACGCACGGTGACGCGCCGCCACCGGTCCCTCTCCGTGCAAAGCGACCAGCTCCTGGTCGACCCGCCGGACGAGGCCGACTTCCTGGCGCGCATCCGCAACGAGAGTGAAGCGGACGACTACAGCGTGCACGACGAGACCCTGGAGATGTGCGTGCAGTTCGGCTACCTAGCGCTGTTCGGCGTCGCCTGGCCCCTCGTCCCGCTGGGCTTCCTCATCAACAACTGGCTGGAACTCCGAGGGGACTTTTTCAAACTCAGTCTCGAGTGCCGACGCCCACCGCCCATCCGCACTGACTCCATCGGCCCCTCGTTACAGGGCCTCGAGGTGCTCACCTGGATGGGCACCCTGTCCACCGCCGCCATCGTGTACCTGTACCGGGATGGCACCCCGGAAGTGCACCTGTGGTCCTTCCTGCTGACGATCCTGGCGGCGGAGTGGGCTTACCTGGCGGCCCGGTTCGCCGTGCGCACGGGGCTGGGTAAGATCGTCACGCACCCCCTGCGGCATGAGGCCGCCAAGCGCTACGCTGTTCGGAAGACCTTCCTCGGGTCGTTCGTCCGTCGCCCCGATGGATCGCCCAAGGGCAAACCCCGGGTGCGCTTCCAGGACAGCGTGAGTGTCTACACCTCAGCTACCGACCTGCCGACACAGGAAGAAAGCGTGCTTCACGACGAACAAGACGATGCGCCTGCGGAGGCGCGCTTCTGGTCGGGGCCGTCGAACGAGACGGCGGAGGCCGGCGTGCGGCTGATAAAGGCGCTGTGTACGTCAGCGGATGGGAGCAAACCCCAGAAGAAGATGGGCAAGGACGCGTAGGATGTAGGGGTGAGTGGGATGGAGTGATCAGCGGTTGGTGGAGTAGGCCCATATTTTCCTCCTGCTGCCGGTCGGCGGGACATCTGTCATTATAGTAGCGAATCTAATTGGATATTTCCATTGAATAATCTCTCATCCAAAGGATGCTGCCAATTTTTTGCCCTTTCGCGAGGAATGTGAGCGATGGCGCGGGCGAGATGCCAGATTTGGAGCGTTGCATTGTCCGTGTCTGGGCGTCGATTCAGGGATGGAATGTGTAGCAGGATATCCCGCCCCCGTCGCACCATCAACAAGTCTTTGTTCTGGGGAATGAAGCCAAAGCCCCTTGCAAACAGCTCATCTCATCCAAACCACTTCCCACACGCTTGGGTGCACATTCGTATCTCTCCCCATAACCGCACACTACCCTGCAGATACCCAGCCGGACGGGCAGGTCATAGCGGACTGCATGCCCCAGATGTCATGGTACACTGTCACCAACAGGAGTGACCGCGACTCGGGGAGTATAAATAGGAATTATCCTTCTCTCACCTATTCATCAATTCACTCACATCTCTTCGTGACAACCTACTCCCACATGCTCAAGAGACAAAGGAAAAGAAAGGAAGGCACCACAGCCTCGCGCTATAAAACTCTACCTGTTGGTCGCAATGACTGCCGCGTCATCAACTGTATGTGACGTCTCCCTCTTACTAGGATGGTTACACTAGGTTATAATTAGTAGATCGTCGAATGTGAGCTGTCTAAGACAAAAACAAAAACAATCAATCATAACCTCTTTGCTCAGGAACTCGGGATGTGTCCGACGCTGTCTCTTAGGTATTCGGTGGAGTGGGTCAGGCTAAGATACCTGAAGACAATGGAGGACAGTCATGTAGAATGAGTGATCAAGTCGATCAGCCCTATAGGGCGCGCCCAGACGGCCGGAACCGATCCGAAGAGGGTCTTGGCAGGTGCATCGTCAGGTGACATACATTCCATCCATCATTCCTTCCTTTCTCTCTCTCTCTCTCTCTCTCTCTTCATTCCCTTTCTCCCTTTCTTCTCTTCCCTCTCCCCCCTCTTCTCCACATCTCTGTCCCGTACAACGGTTTCTCCATGCCCCCCCATCGCCAATGCCACCCCCCCAGGGCACTCAATCTCACGACAAGCTCATCCTACCTTCCATCCCCAACGAAGTCCCCAACCATGGCTTCCCAAATGCTAGGAACAACACCTCCACTGTCCTATTCGCTCGACACCACCGCTCGCGTTCTCTCTATCTCGCCTCGCCACGCTGGTACCGCAATAGCCTCCTCGCGAGCGCAGGATACCTGGAGTTTGCAAACGCAGGTGACTTCGCCGCAAACGTCTGGAATGAGGTCCCTGTGCCACGCCATGCTGTCATCCTGATGGCCATTGGTGGTCCGTTGGCTCTTCTCATGAGTTTAGTCGCCGCCCGTGATGCCCTGCTGAGCTGGCGCAACGTGCGGTTGCTCCGCGGGGAGAGGCGCGAGCTCCTTGCTTTGAAGGACGAGCTGCTGCTACGTCGACCCACCGCGAGTGGGAACGGAACAGATGCCGCCATGATTCCGTTGATCGAGGGTAGACTTCGGGTTGGAGTTCGCGAACTCGGGACGGAGATCGTTGACCGCATCGCCATGGATGTCTTGCTGGGGACTGGTGCCCTTCTGGTTGGGATTGGGACCTTGATGGCCATTGCGGGCAGTCACCCGCCGGTCTACCGCGCGAGTAACCTTTTGTCGGGGTTCGTTGGGAACTCCTTTGCCGCTGCTTTCGGTGTCATTAACGCTGTCTGGTCGTGGTATCTGGTCTGTCGGTTTCGCCGGCACGACCGCGCTTGCATGTCGCAGGACCAAACGGGGGGAGGGGAAGAAGCAGGTACAGCCGTGGCGGCATTTAAAGGGAAACTCCACCCCCGATTCTTGCGCTTGCAGGTCCACGCTGTGGTTTCTGGTATCACCGGGCTGGTCGCCGGTGCTGCGTCTATGGTCACGGCACGCATGTGGTGGGGGTATGTCCTGCTGATCCCGTGCATGGGGCTGCAAGTCGCGTGTAACCGAGTGTGGCGGCGGTATCTAGGGTACGACAGGCCAGTGGTTTCTACCCAGCCGAGCGCTGTCTCTTCCGCGGCCCCGTTGGGTAATGAGAGTCCACCACGGGAGCCGGAGAAGACGTCCCTTCCCGCGCAGCAATATACAGCTTCTATCACCAGCAGCAGCGATTCTATACTTCCGGCCCCTCTTTCGGCCCCTCTGACTCGACCAGTCGGTTGCAGTAATCCAGTCAACCATGCTCATAAAGAGGGAAAGCAGGAGCAAATCCACGTGGAACAAATCCTGCTCACCTCCTTGGCAGAGACAAGTGCCGCCCGCGCCGCCCTCGACCCCATCCCCTCGACTCTCGGCGCTCTCGACCGCTCCTCCCTGGAGGGTGTGTTATCCTTCGTGGAGACACACGCGCTCTTTGACTCGCTGTGCGACTGGCTCGTGCAAGACGGCCGCGTCCCAGGCGGATTGCACCATGCGATCTTCTCCTCTCTCCGCGATGGTGATACCCTCGTGCCGTCGGGCCTGGCGGCCAGAGTCTCCACTACCGACCACAACCGATTGAAAGAGCTCTGTTTGACATTCCTCGGCGACGGGGGTCGACATGTACTCGTCTGTCGCGAGAGATACCTCGTAGAGCTTGTAGGGTGTACTCTTGCCGATATTCCCAGTACCACCTAGCTCTTCTCTCTTTCTCCCCTTTTCTTCCCTATCCCTTTTTTTCTCTTCTCCTTTTGAGCGGGGCAGTGCAGTAGACCTGTATCCATACAGTGTGCAGGCACACCAGAAAACGAAAAAGTTGTTGATCAGTTAATGTATGTGTTTTGGGTGTTTGATTGGTTGACAGGCTGATGGGTAGCTTTTTCTATTGGTACCTAAATTTAAACGAAGGGTGACGATAGAGTTCCCGTCGTGCAATCCATGGAACGGCGCGAGGGATCTAGGTTTATAATAACTTAATGAAGAGCCAATCGCAATGCGGGAGTCTGTTCCGACCTATGCATGCAATCCAAATAGACACATTAAATTCTAGCTGCTATGTTTTTATTATGCAAGAACTGCCACTGCCATTGCCATTGCCAATGCCGTCTTCTCCACTGATAGAAGTTTAAAACCTCCCCGATGCAAATGATGTAGGAGAAGGAAAATGAGAATGAGAATGGGAAAGAAAAGGACGAGAAGAAGAAAGCTAAAAACTGAACAAGCCGCTCCGTCTCTTCCCCAACGGATAAACCACCAAAGCGGCAATGAACAGTCCCACGGTAATACCGATAGCCACCTGGACCATACCATAGCCGAGATCAACGGACCGCTGATCCTGAGACATGTTGATGCCCGTGCCGCCCTGATTCCCAGAGCTGGAGACGTTGCCGCGGATCTCGTTGGCGGAGTTGATCCCGCTGATGAGGGAGCCCGAGGCGGCGAGGCCGGAGGGCACGAGGACGAAGATGCCCGGGAGGATGGCGGTTGCGGCGTGGCCGTGCCAGAGGCGGCTGTAGAGGTTGCCGATTGTGCCGAGGGTGAAGGCGCCGACGGTGTTGGCGACTTGGTTGGCGGTGCCGATGCGCTTGGTCACGAAGTAGTTGGCGACGTAGCCTGCTTCGGCGATGGTGACCATGATGGGGGCTTGGCGCCACTTGCCTTGGTTGACGACTAGGAGGCAGGCGGCGAAGGCGGCGACGAAGGGGAAGCGTTGCGCGTATTCGCCGGACCAGGCGGCGTTGGTGTTGGGGCAGGTGAGCTGGGAGGTGGCGCGTCGGTCGATGAGGCCGTAGATGGTTGTGCCGACTGTGATGCCGTAGCCGAGGAAGAGGGAGTAGATGATGGCGTAGACCATGCGGATGGATCCCGCGACGATCTGGTGGGACTGGAGCTCGAGACTGCTGCAGAGGACGGTGTACCCTGGGAGGATGAGCGCGATGCTGGACTGCGCGATCGCGCTGAAGCAGAAGAGGTAGTCGCGGTCGCCGGAGGGGTACGTGCGTAACGGGATGCTGCCGAGGGCGCGCGCGATGAAGGAGGTCAGCACGGCGGCCGTGACCTCGAAGACATTGGAGTAGAGCACGCTGCGGGGCGCGAGGACATGTTGCAGGATGCCCAGCAGGGCGCCGTTGCAGAAAATGATGGGCATGTCGATGGGACGGGCGTCGAAGGCAAACGGCCCGACCATGGCTGTGGCTAGGCCGTACACTAGCACGATGATCCACTTGTTGAACCGGGGCCGACTTGCCATGATCTCGTCCAGCTCTTGTGTGGCCTCCTCGATCCCGATCACATCGTGCACCACGTTCTTGTACACGTTGTGGGTGTCAGCTAACCGGCCTAGGTCGACGCCCTGCGCAACGCGCACCAGCTTGACCTCCGCCGTGCGCGTGGTCGCGTCGTCGAAGGAGACTATCATGCACCCCGGCACGTACAGATACTGGCTGTCGACGCCGAGCACCTTGGCGGTCATGTGCATGTACTCTTCCAGCCGATGGGTAGGCGCCCCAAATTTCATCAGCGCGCGGCACAGGTGCATGATGTACCGCTGCCGCGCGATGATCTCGGCGATCTGCAGCGTCACCCGGATCTCATCCTCCAGCCGCAGATCGGGCTTCCGGCCCTGCTGGTTGCGGCGTTTGGAGGCCGCCGAGAGGGCCGCGCCCGAGGCTGGGCTGCTCAAGGCGCCGCTGCCCCCAACGCCCACCAACGTGGACGTCGACGTGTTCGGTGGTTTCTTGTACCACCGACGCTTCTCGCGCCGCGGGGTCATGGTTTCCGGAGTGAATCCAGGCGTCAGGGTACCGAGGTCCTGCGACGCCCGCGGGGTTCGCGGGGTTCGCGGCGACGCGGGCTCGGACTCGGGTGAGGCCGCGTTCTGATTCCGGAGCACCCGCGGCAGGGTCGGTTCCTCGAGGCGGCTGTTCAGCCGAATGAGCTGCGTCAGGATGCTCCCGTCCCCACCCTGGGACGGCCTCTGGAACGGCGAGGGTGATGGGCTGTCGCCATCCCGGCGATGGCCGGCCCCCGGGGGCATCGGACGGGACGCTCGCCGGTTGCGGTAGGCACGAATCTCATCCGCCTGCGAATCGTGGGTCATCTCGCGAACGAGCCGATGCGCCTCGGAATTGGAGCGGGCGCGTGGGCCCTCGTCGTCGCCCCGAATAGTCGCCCCGGACAGCCGCCGGTCATAGCTCCCGAAGCGATTGCGCTCTCGTCGATGGCGCGCCTCCTCCTCGGGTTCTTCCCAGTCGGTCAGCGGTCGCCCCATGCGCGTCGCTAGCGACCGCGTCCGCTGCACCACGCCCCGTCCCATGTCCCCGATGCGTTGCGCCACCGATTCTCGCCGCTGCGGCAGGTCCTTCTCCGACGATTCCGGGGTCACCACTTCGGACGCCCGCTGCTCACTCCAGTATGCACCCGATGGTCTCCGCGTTCGGCCCCCTGCTTCGGTGACGTCCACTGAAGACGAGCGGTCTCGCGGCGAGTAGCCCTCATCCCGCGCAGCGTCCATATCTTCGTCCGTCGTGACCTCGCCGTATTCGTACCTCTGGTCGGAACCCCAACGGACACGGTGGCGCTCGCGGCTGGGGCTGCGACGCTGCGAGGGACGGTAGGCCTCATGGTTCCGGTCGACTTCCGCATCTCGCACGCTATGGTAGCTGATGAGGGAGGCCGGGCTGTCGCTTCGGAAGGGTGACGGTGACATGAGCGCCTGTTTCGCTCTGACACTAGGTTACGTTCATCGAGGATAGGAAGGAGGGAAGGAACTCGAAGATGGAAATGTCCATCAGGTATCACATCGCATCCGGTGTGAAGTTGACCAAAAACCGGCTAGGGAGGAGCGGAATAGTAGAGCGAGAGCCGAACTAGGATAGAGCGCCGGGGAAGAAAAGTTTAAGTCGGGCTGAATCAAGACAATAGTCTTTGCATTTATCCATCCGTCCACGAGAAATCCACAGGTGGGAGACGAAGGGAAGTCACCCCACCAAACCACGAGACGGTGGTTGGGTGTCTTGTTGAACCGATAGTATCATGGAGGCGTCTGGACCGTGGTCAGGGGGGAATGGAAGGAAAACAGCATGCTGTCGAAGACGTCACAAGCGGAGATATCATGGTTGTAACCCTCTAGACGGGGTCGATGACGTGCGGTTCCAGGACTCTGGGGATTTCCAAGATGTCGGTACTAGCCATGTTGGGGATGGTTCCATTATGTGGAGGGGTATCACAATTGATGAAGCGAGAAGTAGAGAAGAAGTAGAAAAGAAGTAGAGAAGACGTAGCGAAAGAAGTATAGAAGTGAAGTGAAGATGGAGAAAGAATGACGCAAGATCCACCGTGGTCAGGTGACGCGATCTGGTCCGGCCAGGTCAGGTGACCCACCACCGTCTTGGATCCATTGTTTGTTTCCTCCAAGCATCAGATATCTGGACAGCAGACCATCACCAGATGAACCCTTCATCATGCATGATGGTATACTGGTCAATTGACAATCGATCAGAGCCGAGAGCAGACCTCGTCCCGAGTGGTTTATTATTAGAATAAGCAGCGGGGATGCCAAGCCCAGCAACCGTGGCCTGACTGATGCTGTTCACAATCAATCGGGGATAAGTATACAGCCTCGATCCCAATGCTATATGCATGCGTATGTATGTGTGGATATAATGAACTAACTACGCCGGAGGATTTCTGAGTGGACAGGCCTTGGCCGCCTCGCACGCTTCATAAACATTCCCCTCCTGAATCAGCCCCATGAACTGCGACACATCGTTCCGGAACACCCGGCGCAGCTTCGAGCAGGCCCCACTGAGGAACACCACCCCGCGACACGACTTGTCCAGTGCGTAGCGGAAGAACTGTGTATTGTCCTTGTTCTCGGGTGTATGGTGGAACTTCGTCTCGATCTGACGTGAGTAGCGGAGGCAGTCGGCGCAGGACACCTCGCGGGTAGAATGAGGGGCGAACTTGCGGTAGAGTAGAGCCCCTGGAAATCTGTCAGCTCCCCGATCAGTTGGCCGGTGGGACCGAAGGGACATGCATACCGGTGAGGACGAGGAGGATGAGAGGGAGAACGAGAAACAGTCGTCGGGGGCGCATGATTATTTTTGGAATATTCGGGTGTTTGCAGGACAGCGCTGGCTGGTCAGGATTGGCTGGTCAGAATCGGGTTGATTGAACAGGGTGAGCTGGTTGGGGATGGGATGCGTCATCGCCAGGTCACCTACTCTGGTCTGTGTCCTCCGGAGTAATATGCCTGCATGGATATTGGCAATGGTCGCACGGTGTCACTTGTGATTGCGTAGTCAGGCGTTCAATTTCCGACCCAGTGGACGTGGTGGAGATGGATCCGACGGATGCCAAAAATAGGAAAACCGACAAGAATAACGAAGGAAGAGACGGGATCATCCAACGGTATAAGACAGATTCGAACCAGGCAACAGGATCAGCGAGTGGAAATAACCAATGCCCTGATGAAGGTATCCACGGACCGGGGCGGAGTTATCTTCGCGTCTTTCGGGTCCAGCACCGCCTCAGCCTGAACACTGCCCAGTGCCCTGAGTGGCAAAGGTGGGTCTGTCTGCAGCGATGGGGTGCGATAGGTCAGTCTCATAACAATTAATTGACCAGGAGACCCACTAGCGTTGATCGCAATAGGGGTATATATATCCCATCATCTCTCTCCCCACACAGTTAACAGAACTAGTACTCTCACGAACTTCCTTCTTCAACGCTTCTCACGACTACACGACTACTACCATCTACTACTCTGACTCTTACCACTTTTATCCATCAATTCAACCAAAACAACCAACAAAATGTATCTCAAATCCCTCCTCCTGACCACCCTCCTCACCACCTCCGTCTCGGCCTCCGCCTTCGCCAGCCCCGACGAAATCGCCGACATCATCTCCGGCGCGGGTGACGCTGCCAATACCGCCGTTGCCGGCGGCGAGTCAGTCGCCAACAACGTCCACGAGGCTGCCACGAGCATCGCCTCGGAGGGCGCCGACGCCGCCTCCACTCTGACCTCCAAGGGTGCCGACGCCGTCGCCTCCGCCACCGCCAAGGGCGAATCGATCGCATCCGACGCCTCCTCCAAGGGCGAGTCCTTCGCCTCGGACGCCTCCTCCAAGGGCGACTCTATCGCGTCCGACGCTTCCTCCGTCGGGTCCGAAGCTTCCTCCCGCATCCACGAAGTGACCACCACCGACAGCGACGGCAAGCCGACCACCTCCACGAGCGTGGGCCCCAAGGAGACCGGCGCCGAAGCCACCGAGTCGGCCTCGCCGTCCAACTCTGACTCCGCGGGATCGACTCCCTCCGGCAGCGAGGCCGCCGGTAATGCCCAGGCCACGGTCGGCTTGGGCGTCGCTGGTGTGGCCGGCCTGCTGGGTGTGATGGCCGTGCTGTAAATTCCTTGAGCTCGCTTTGTGATTGCTGTGTTTCTGACAGTTGAATTGGGGATGAGATTGGACATATACCCCGCGTAGACCCGAAGAGATGGTCTAACTGCGTTTTTCTGGTATCGTTTGTACACATAGAGTACTCTATTATCTACATATTATTTCTACATGTTTACTACCTACGCTATTGAATCTACGTAATCAGGGACAATGTTTATAAGTTTGAGTTGATGTTCGGGTATCGTATTCAGGCGCAGGAAGATTTCTCCTGCGCGGATACGACCACGCGCTGGTCGACCGTCATTTGTGGCCCACGGTACCACTTCCGCGCCGACACGAAGTAGTACGTCATGCAGGCGATCCAAACGAACCCGTTGATGACGATCGTGTAGTTCATATCGGCGGCTGCATTGAATTGATAATATCAGTAAACAGTCAACAAAGTAAAGACGCATGTAATGTGTGAAAAGGGAGAAACGTACGACCCGGATTCGGTCCCGTAGTAGGAAACATCGACAGCAACAATCCAAACGCCAACCACGCGACCGCGACGACAGCGATCGGCCGACTCAATCTCCCAGTGGAGAACTCGCCGGGTTGGAACCGCCGGTTCCACACCAGTCGACACAAAATGGGCGTTCCCCACGCGACGTAGTTGCTCGCGACGAAGAGCGAGAACAGCGCCTGCGCCGCGACGGAGTTAATCAGACAGAGCAGGCCGAAGACGATGCAGACAGCGACGAGGCCGACGATGGCGCGCACAGGCTGGAAGCGCACGCGCCGACTGACATGCCGGAAGTAGCCCGAGAAGGGAAGCGCGCCGTCGCGGGCAAAGGCCCAAGCCTGGCGCGACATGGCCGTGATGAGGGAGAGGCCGATGAGGAACTGGATGACGATGAGGACGGCCATGAAGCCCAGCGCGCCGCGGCGGCCGAGCGCGTCGAAGTAGATCTGCGCCATGGGCTGTCCGAAGGGGGTGGCTGCTGTTGCGGCGACGTCGGGGCTCATCGTTGCGGCGAGGACGGAGAGCACGACGAAGCCGAGGACGCAGGCGCAGCCGGCGGACCAGATGATGCCGAGCGGGACGGCTTTAGCTGCGTGGAGGGCTTCCTCGCTCATGTGGACGCACGAGTCGAAGAACCCGATGGACCAGATTGGGGCTAGGAAGGAGAGGATGAAGGACCAGCCTTGCGGCCAGGTGGTTAGGTTCTCGAGGTGTCCGAAGACCCAGGAGCCCGGGTTGAGGGGCTCGCCGCGGGCGAGCTTGCCTGTGGGGAGGGCGATGACTGTGGCGATGATGACGGCGATGTTGAAGAAGATGCAGAAGGTTTGGATGCGGTTCATGATGCGTCCGGCGAAGATGCCGCATAGTGCGTGGAGGAGGATGAAGAATACGTATACGCCGTAGATGACGCCGTTGGAAGCGCTCCAGGTGCCGTCGCGCGATATCGAGACACAGGCTAGCACCATCAACGAGAGCGTGTAGTCCACGCTGCACATGCCGCCGATGAGCCCCAGGGTGTTGCTGTACCCGACTAGGAACGAGAGGGCGTTCTTGTAGCGGTCGCCGGCGAAGTGGTGCGTCCACCAATAGAGACCGCCTGCGGTAGGCATCGCCGATGCCATGTCGGCCATGGCGAGACCGACGAAGAAGATCAAGATGCTCGCGGTGAACCAGCCCTGTTCAATGGTCAGATTCAAGCCTCCCGATATCATACGGCTCCTGCAACTCATTCATACCCAAACCATTCCGGCCGGTCCGGCCGGCAGTGAGAAGGCGATGGTGGAGGCGATTGAGGGAACTAGCCCCATGATGCTAAAGGCGACGGCGAAGATCTGTACTGTCGAGTACTGGCGCTTGAGTTCCTGCTTGTAGCCCATGGTTGCTACATCACATCATGAGTTTCCTCTACCCTCTATACTGCGACCGACACTGAAAGGGGAGGGGACCAGTCCACAATACCTAAGAGTTGCATATCCCCCGCATCTGCCAGCCCAACGTCGTCGGTCGAAGCCTCGTCGGCCCCGATCGAACCGATATCATTTTTATCCATGATATGGATGGGATTTTGGGAAGAAATGAGACGGTCAAGTGGCAGGCGAAAACGTCATGACGGTTCGCCATTTCCCATGAGGAGGAGTAAGGAGGGCAAGTTGAAACTCGTGCGATCAGACCGAGCGGGTTGAGCAAGGGGCCTGTGGAGCATAGAGTTCAATTCATCGACCACAATGATATTATTGGCGCCGATCATCCTCTTGCTTTCCCCAATAACGTGGCCCAACCCAGGAGAGATTGTCTCCTTTAGTATGGAAAGCCAATTAGAGGATCTTATTAACTCCACTGTGGCGATCACTCTTGAGGAACGAGTGGATGACGGAGCTAGGGATCGCAATCGAACTTCGTTGTACATCCTGTGTCGGAGGTAGACTGTCTGTCTGATGGTTCCCTTTCTGTGGGCAAAGTATGACTGGGGACAGACTGCAGGAGAGTCAAGGTCTACGCGGGAGTCGACCGCGAAGGGCCGACCTGATGCTGAAAATCCAATCGAACTCCCGTGCGTTTTTGAGAGTTCAATTTCATTGCCTTGCCTACGTCGTAGCCTAGGCATGAATATGTCATGGCATTCGACACTATTTCCCCCCTCTGTTCGCTCAATCTGCTCACTGCACCATTATAAGGACACAATAGAGAAGGACACATTTTCAAGTCATAATCACATCATGTCGGGTCAGTCCGAATCCTGTGGAGAGTGGAGGCGCGGCAGACGAACTTGGGGCCACCTCGCGAACCCTCGCTCGGTTTGTGCGTGCATATTACACGGTAGGACCGATCTTGAATTCTGTACGAGTTCATGACCTTAGTTACAGTCGAGGTCGACCACACGAGGAATTAAACCTGCTCCTCTCCATGCGCAATGTTTGGAGTCACCGTGTTAGCTCCGTTGCCCCTGGTCCCGTGCGGCGATTGCCCGCGGTTGAGGGTGGTGGCATCGGAGTAGGCGCGCGATTGTCGCCCATTGGATAAATCTTCCGATCCAAGGCTCCCCTTGGCCTCATACTCGTTGTAATCCTGGCCGGGGTTGACGCCCTGCCAGTCGAAAAGCGACAGGAAACCGTAGAACCCGGAGGCCAGCAGCGACCCGAGCAGAGGTCCGACCCAGTAGATCCAGTGGTATCCGGGAAAGCTACGATTTATCACGTCCGGGCCCAGCGAGCGGGCAGGATTGAGGGAGCCGCCGGTGTAGTAGTCGCCTGGAACAGTCAATCTCTGCGGTATACGGAGAAAAGCACCGGAAGGGTTCGTGGAGTACCGATCATCTCCGTCACGAAGAAAGCCAGGCCAATGCCGACTGGTGCCAAAAAGGTCGACTTGTGCTTGACGACCGCCAGCATGATGACCACCAGCACCAGCTGCGCCGTAAGAAACATCTCGATGAACAGTCCCTGTGAGATGGAAGCGCCGCCGCCGAGCCGTGTAGACACGTTCAGAGGGCCCGGGAACAGCGCGCTAACCACACCGGCCGACGCGATACCGCCCACGATCTGCGCTCCGAAGACAAGCAGGCCACGAAGTGGGGGTAGGCCGCCGCATAGACAGAGGGCTAACGTGACCTATCGCTCAAATATACCTGATCAGCATCTCGCTCCTGGCTGTCTGGGTGAGGGAACGGGTGAGGTTGAAATATACAGAAGGATTGAATAGCCCACCCGTCACGCGATAAAACGCCCAAACATTGACCATCAGGGAGAACCCAAAAGAGAGCGCCGAGTACAGCAGATTCTGGGTATCCGGAGGCGACCCATCCGGCGGCTCGGGTGTTTTAGAGACCTGGGTGCCGGCAAACGAGAAGAACAGAAACATGAATGTGCCGACAAACTCGCCCACCACCGCGACGAAGTGGTAGTGCCATGTGTTCGCCAGACCCAGCATTGGCAGCCGGTTTTGGTTCGAGCTGGAGACCGGCGTCAACTTGCCACTGCCTCTGCGGGACAGCCACTTCGAGAGGGCCATGGTGAGTGTGGATGGTGGAGGATATGGGTAAACAATGCACAATGCACAATGAACAATGTGCCAGCAACCACACAAGATATGAGCCGGGGATCCTATGCGAGCCTTGCGGTAGACCTTTATACTCCTTGAGTTCGGAGTTTCCTAGCGACGTCATGACTGCTGGGGATCTTGAACTCTGTTGATCCGTCCATTCCGCCAGTGGAAAGAATATCCGCAAACATCTACTTTCAAAGAGATAGAGTTATCATTTCTTTGTGGGCACGCGGCCCACCCAGGTCTCTGGGAGCGGATCTAGACGGGCAGGTCAGTCATTGTCGATGCAAGAGATTAGGTAAAGCAGTCTTCCACTTAGAGAGTTTGTACCAATAACGGGATCATTCTGTTAAAATGTGGCGTAGTGGAAATGCCCAGTCAAACCCCATCCTGAGAGTTTGGTTTGTTTGGGATGGACTGGAAGTGCGAGATGAAAGATGAAGATGAAAAAGGTCGTGAATCTTTGATCCGATGAGGCAGCTCGGGATGTGCTATGCTATGCTGAGTCATTACTAATTATGAATCTTTTCTTGACTCAGCACTGACTCAGCACTCCCCTCCTTTCTATCCAATCCATGATTTCACATCCCAGAACCAAAACTCCACTCACCTACTCTATTCATCCAGTTGCTCCACTCCAGGGTCATGCATTCACCACTCCCGAATCCCGAATCCCGGATCCGTTTGCTGGATTCCCAATCATGATTCCCTTTATTGGCCATCTCAGACCTTGCCGAGCTATCTCCCCACTCTCCCTAAATCTCCCGGCAGCAAGGAGAGTGGGCTGATGATGTGTAATACGTGTCTAGCCCCAAAGAAAGTACCGCACGATGGAGCTGCTTCAAGGGCCTGGACAGATAACATCAATACACAGGGTAGGATGGGAGACAAAGCTTTGAGGTGATAATGGAGAGCTTTCCTATAGGGTACCTGAGCTCGAAGGTAGATAGTTATACCTGCCTATCTATCTCCCAGGTTGATATCGGTCGAATTTTCATGCTTGGGCTGCCAACCAAGTGACCCGCCCAACTACTGTCATAGAAAACTCAATGCTCCGCGGAGATGTAACCGTGAGGTCGGGATCCAGTCATTGCCGATATAAGAAAGGGACAAGAAAAAAATCACCCAACACGTCCTGCAGAATGGGCTGACAAGGGTTTTGTGTTTCGGTACGACAAATTGACAATTTTGTATAAATACCCCATAAAGGCCCTGGACCTGCTTTTCCCCATCCTTCGTCGCAAACAGACTCACAAAGCATTGCATCACTCCACATTCCCGTCCACAATGTCCCTCACCCCCGACCAAGTCGGCCTGATCAAGGCCACCGTGCCTATCCTCCGGGAACACGGCATGACGATCACCGTTACTTTCTATAAGAATATGTTGGCCGCCCACCCGGAGCTGCACGCGGTCTTTAACACCGCCAGCCAAGTCAATGGCCATCAACCCAAGGCTTTGGCTGGCGCCCTCTTCGCCTATGCGTCTCACATCGATGATCTGGGTGCTCTGGGTCCGGCCGTCGAGCTGATCTGCCACAAGCACGCGTCGCTCTACATCCAGCCCGAGCAGTACGACATCGTGGGTAAATACTTGCTGGAGGCCATGGGTCAAGTTCTGGGCAGTGCCCTCACTCCGGAGATTCTGGACGCCTGGGCCACGGCCTACGGCCAGCTGGCCAAGATCATGATTGACCGAGAGGCCGAGCTGTACCGCCAGAGCGAAGGCTGGACTCAATTCCGTGACTTCCGTGTCGTGGCCAAGGTGCCCGAGTCCGCCGAGATCACCTCCTTCCACCTGGCTCCCGTCGACGGCCAGGCCCTGCCCAAGTTCCAACCGGGCCAGTACATCTCCGTCCAGCTGTTTGTGCCGGATCTCAAATACCCCCAGGCGCGCCAGTACTCGCTGAGTGACGCCCCCCACGCCGACCACTATCGCATCAGCGTCCGCAAGCATCCCGGTCTCGACCTCAGCAACCCCGGCGCCAAGACCAGCCCGGGATACGTGTCCAACCTGCTGCACGCCAACGTGCAAGAGGGCGACGTGCTGAAGGTGTCGCATCCCTACGGCGACTTTTTCTTCCGCGAGGAACTCGCCGGCAAGAACCCCGTCGTCCTGCTGGGTGCTGGTGTGGGCCTCACTCCCCTCATGTCCATCCTCAACACCCTCGCCGGCAACACGGCACCCGACCGCCCGGTCACGTTCATCCACGGGGCCCGCACGGCACGGGCGCGTGCCTTCCACGGGTACGTCCAGGGGCTGAAGGAGAAGATTCCCTCGCTCAAGACGATCTTCTTCAACAGCGAGCCCGCTGCCGATGAGACCCCCGGCGTTGACTACGACAAGGCGGGCCGCATCACCTTGCCCCTGCTGGACCGTAGCGCGGACTTGCACCTAGACGACCCTACTACCGGGTATTACGTGTGTGGACCTGAGAGCTTTATGGTCGATATGCGGGCGTGGTTGCGCGAACAGGGCGTCGGTGACGACCGACTAAATCTTGAATTGTTCGGCACTGGCGGTGTGCCGGCTTGATTTTGTTTACGAATGCCACGGTGCTTGGGAATTTAGCAATAGGTCTCCGCCACTCTATTGAATATTGTTTGACGAGACATGAGCATATGATACACTTTGGTTACTTTCCTCCCAAACACCGTCATCTTTTTATTGTCCTTGCATAGTTAGACTGTACTTATTATATATGTAGACTTAAACTGCTGATGTTGGTTACTTCGCTGCAGAGTATATCAACAAGGATCGCTTTGCGAGATAAACTTTGAATCTTGGCTGTATATTGTCTTTTCTTTTTCCCTTTTTTCGAGATTGTGTCGCTCTTTACTAATGACAACGTACTTCTCGGGGATTCTCATGTGGCAACAGACGATAATTATCGTATGCAGAGACTGGTCTGTCGATTCGTGCTTATGTACAAGCTGATCTATAGCACCCCCCCCCCCGTCAAGTATTTATATATTATGTCAGTCGCGCAATTTTAGCCGACGCATGAATCCCCTCAGCGGAAAATGAACCACAACCTTAGGTTCGGCATAATGGGAGGCCGGTTCCACGCGCCGGTCGACCGCTCTGGCGTCCAACATTTTCAGAAAACTGTCACAACCCCACTCAGGATTCTGTCCACCTCCACAGGGAGGCATAATCTTATACACGGGCTGCCCGTTGCGCCGTTTCTGGGGCCCCCACGCGACGAACGTTCCCTTCTCCAGATTGCTACCTTTATTTTCATTAAAGAAGGCCCAAGAGGCCATGACTTCCCCGCACGACGCCCCAGTCCGGTGCTGGGCCTGGCCATCTCCCTCGCCCGCGTCCTGGGCCGCTCTTTGGCTAGCTAGATAGCAGTTCTTGAGCGCCTCCTGCACCCCGGAAGGGACATTCGGATTGGCTGTAGAATCTGACTTGTTTTTGCGATCGGCGTACACACTGAGCCCTGAGCCCTTGAGGGACGAGAAGAAGTAGACTTTGTTGTCTACCGATAAGCCAGTCATGGATCCGGGGTGTTTTGTCTCGGGAACCCGGTCTCTTGTCGCATACCAGATCATCAGGTCGTAAGCGTCGCGTGTCATCGCTACCAACTCATCGTCGCTCGGCGGTTCGGGGAGCTGCGCAGCGCCGGACCATAGGAACGCGTCTTGACCTCGTACAGGGACTGCCTTTCCGGGCGGTCGTATCGTTTCGTCGCGCATGAGGCTTAGGGGGGTGTCTGGTCTAGGGGCTTCTTCGGCTTCTGCGGGTGCTCCGCCGTCTTGGCGCGTTTGAAGGTCTCTCTTGTCGTGGAGGGACAGGCCGGTGGCATCTCGCGCGAAGACCACCCCCAAAAGGAGGGTGAGGAGGAGAAGGAGGAACTTGGGTGCCAACATGGCGATTGACTGGTATTGGCCGGTCCGAGACGGTATGGAAGAGATTCAACCGGGACTTCGCTGGCAGGAGAAGGACAGAAATCGAACTTGGAGAGCTTGGTGCAAGAGAGACGTTCTCACAGGCTTCTTAAGAGAGACACTTTCTGACTATGCCTGAGGGGATGCAGTCCAGTCTCTTGACATTCCCGCCAACAGGAACTCATAGCTATCCTTCTCCGATGCCGAACCTGCTATTCCCCGGCGTTTCATCCTGCCAAAGACAACAAGACAATGCCAATCATAAGGAAACTAATAACGGCAAACATTCCTGCACATCCATCACTGCTCCATACCGGACTTCCAAATGTTTCCGTCTGCGAGCTCAAGTCCGACATAGGGCAAGCATCTTGTTCCTGCTGGGCTTGTCCTAGCTAGCATCTTGCAAGAACGGCACCAGGGCGCGCCTTTTTTTCACGGTCACTGAGCGTTAGCAAGACCGGGCCAAACACAGCATCCCCCTCCACGGGATCGTCAACCACGGGCCGGCGCCCGCACTCACATCCGCTCCCGGAAGGATTTGGACCCATGCCCTAGCTTCAGCACTAATCCGATCCGTTTCCCCCGAGGGGCGCAGACAGGGCGTAATGGCTGCGCATCGATCGAGTCCTCGCCCGGAGGCTTTAAAAGGAATAGTAATCCTGGATGAACGCTGCAGGAAGGGGCGGCAGGATTGTGCGCTGCCTTCTGGCGGACCAATTGCTCGACCTCAATAGGGATATACAACTTAACAATTATTATGTACTTTGTTGGTTCACAACTGCGAGGAAAAAATCTTTTGTGACTTGCTTCGACTATGAATATTATTCCATTTCGATTTTGATGTTGTTTTATTGTTCAGCAGTGCTGGCGTCAGCGTGCGCCGCAAACTCACCCAGTAGAATCCCATATCTCAAAACCACCCCTGCATATGAAACGGCCCCCCTGCTGGTGTACAAGCTTAATTCTCCCTCTCCGACCCAGTTTCTCTAGTGTTGAGATCGGGGCGTACCAAAGTCCGGGTGGCTTTAGAAAAATTCACAAGGATCAAGGATGGTGGCCCCGGCATATCAGGAGGCACCGCTGGGCATGGTTACCTATTACCATCAATTATACTACGCATATATCTTTTGTTCGAAGGAGTGGTGTCCATTGTACATGGCAGGTTATGTATGTATGCTTTAGTGGATATTCAAAGTAAATACTCCGTATGCAAAAACTACATAATTCTCCGGTCGGCACAAGACCCAAGAAGCCCTAACAAGGAGAATCCCAGTCGCTACCAGCGTTCTCTTCTCAACCACCCGTGCTATTATCATTCCATCGGCTTCAACCCTTCACTGCAGTCGGTTCCACTTTATGCGGAGAGCATTTAACTCCGACTTTGAGCGCAGGGTTTGCACTGCCTTGGTATCAGGGGTGATTTTGTCAGGATCGGTCCATTGGATCGGATCCTGGCATCCTGATTTCGTCCAGGGGCGCATTCGGGGCGTGTGAGCGCGGCCCACTGTTGACTGTCGTAAAATAATGTAAATCTTGCTGTGTCTGTTCCCATTGCTGTGGTGTTGATGAGGATGGGATAATTGGAGGGATGGGAATTATGTAGTTTAGTTTTGTCATGGTTGTTGGGGCAGTGCGATTGTGTGCAGAAAAGCGGATATAAACGGTAATTATACTTGATTTAAACGATCTTCTGAAGCTATAAAAGTTTCAAATGGTATGCAGAATTAAGTATAGAATCTCAGACACTGTGAGAAAGCTCTGTTCGGCCAGACAATGCCTACCTATCCCTATGGTCATTATTAGGCATTATCTAGCCTAGTGTAGGTTGGGTTATTGCTGACATTAATGAGCGACAGCTATTGTTTTCAAAATTTTACTTTATTTGTAGATTTTTCACATTATATATGATATAACACGATCAAGACTGGTTGTCATGTGACAAAGTAGACAACATCTGTACTATCCATCTGGTGGCCGGTGTCGATTTACACAAATAACCATATATATACTCAAGATATAAATTATCAAATTATCTGAGCCACGGAGAATAAGATGTAAACTTAGATCAAAAAGAAGACAAGGACATAAAAGCATCAGTAAATAATACTTTTTCTACCATCCCGACTATTACCATCGCAGCACTACCTAAATATATATATCCCCAAAATCAAATCCGTAGGACGACCGATGAAGCCCGTCAAAAACAGCGATGAGAGTGATGGTCATCAATACTACGGAAGGTTGTAAGATTGCAAGGAGGAAAAATCAGGCAGGTCAGCTGACACGTTGACCGACCGCATTTTATCAGTCTTGCAGAGATCTCATCTCGAATCATATCTGCCCCACATGTTTATTCTCCGCCGGCGAGCTGACCCCTTCACACGTCACAGCAGCTGATACTCCGCCTTCCAGCGGCAGACATTGCGCACTGGCGTCGAGCGCATCCATATTGAGAGAGTACGTCGACCTGTCTCCAGCCTAGCATGAGGACGTTCTTCTGCACCAGCTCGATGCTCACGAAAGCCCGGTCGATCGGCATACTGCCATCGGCATTGATAGTCCCTAATGCAGTCCCAGTCGCATGGTTTTCACCAATTATTTCTCTATGGATTGGTTTGGATGGGTGAGTGGAAGGAGTGAATATGTGGACGATCCATGGGGCGCAGGATCGAGGCAGATGCTGATAGCTGTATAAAAATCAGCTGAGAATGTTGCGCTCGGCCACTCTTGACGAACTATGGGACCCGTGGTTGGTTGTTGATTGTTGGCTGATTGGATGGTTGGGATGGAGTGGTCGTTGTGTGGGCTGATGTGTGGGTTGAGCCTTGGGAGTGTAGAGGATTCTCTGGTGAGAGTATTGTTTGTGGACGACTTATCTATATCCCTTTACCCTTTGATTCGTTTTGGATGACCGAACTTGTTCTAGATATCTCTCAACGCTTGGTATGCTAGAAAGATATCCTGTGATCTGTGTCGAAGCTCAGCCTGGAGGATGCCTGAGGTGAGACTCACTGATGAGATGGATGCGAATAGTCTGTGGTGGAACATCCGCCAAGATACCTGACCTAGTAGTATGGAAGCTTTACCCGATGTCCACGATATACGATAGCGGCTAGCTTAGATGGCAGATGTTGAAGATATCTTGGTGACCATGCTACAACAGAATGCTACAACAGAGACAAATGACGTCATCCGAGCCCTAAGCCCCAAGACAACACCCGCAACAGAGGTAGACCATCTCGGCACAATCCGAGGTGGATTGTCTTGTGATTGACGGACTCAGACTCGGAATAGAGACAGGCTTTTTCCACGGATTCGATTAGCGAGTTGACTCGGCTGAAAAAGGGCGAAGAGGCAGCGCCATCCCAGCCAATCCGTGGAGGACAAATTTCGTCAAACCACGATCGAATTCTTCAAGAGGCGAGCACCGATGCCAAGGGGAGGCGATCGATCCACATGGAAATCCCACGGCAGGTCCCGATGCCATCCAGGCCTGGAAGCCAGCGAGCCGGATCACACCACGGGGGAGAGGAGGACCTTGGAGGGGCCAGGGTTCCGGATTCCGAACCCGGTTGCGAGGGGGATCTCACACCAGGAAATATTTTATTTTGGTTTAGTATCTTTTGACCCATTCCATAGTGGTTAGGGAGCAGCCGTTGAAGCGAGAGTGGGTCCAGTTAGCCTGTTCGATGCCTCCGACTCGGTTTGAAGGAATAAGGGGCAATGCCGCATTGGCCACTGGGGCACTGGGGAAGACAGGCGCGGGAAGACAGAAGAGACAATAGCGCCACCCGGAAGCGTGGACAGCGCGACTGATTCCGATGTCAGCTGGACAAGGGGCGATTCCACCGAGTGCACAGTCGAGAAAACATCGGAAGCCTAGCTGCTTCTGGCTACGGTGACAGACAGGCTGGAGGGCAGTTCCGTGGGAGTTGACCAGTAAATGTCCACCACTGGAACACATCCTGGTCTGTGCCAGGTTGACAGGCCCGAAATAGATGAACTGAGTAATGGGGAGGAGATTATTGGTTGCAGAATCTGTCTGGAAGACCCTTCTGCTGGGCCTGATACTCGTTGGGATCAGGAATCAGGTCTGGGAAGCGGCCGTCTCCGGTGGTACAAGCAGTTTTTGGTCTTGATGGATTTTCTTCTCCTTTCTTCTACGTGTTTTTGTTTGGTTTTGTACTTGATTCTCTCATGATATATATGTGTGATATATGTCTTGTATTATTCTATATGTATAAACAAGTATCATAATTGGTTTGTTAAATGAGTAATTATGGATCTATGAAGATAGATCATGATCGTGATATGGGTAAAGTCATAACCGGCTATCGGACCCGAGCCTCGGCCGGGAAGTGGATCCTCCTCCACCACACGCGCCGGTTCTTCCTTTCCATACTTTCTCGCTCTCCCATCTCGTACTGTCGGAGCCGGCCGTCGTCTTCGTTTCGAATCGTCTGCTGGATGTTGTTCTTCCGGCTGGGGTGATCCAAAGAACACGAAAGCTGCTAGATGACTCTGGTCTGTGAGCAGATTACATCATTGTCTGGATTCTCCTTTTATATCCCTGGTCTGGCTGTTACGATCCACGGTACTCCTCACCACGATCAGCTTCAACTTTGATATCAATCTCGAAATCCTTCCCATCACCAAACACTACTCTCAACACAACTCTACTATCAAGAACAACATCACTCAATAGAGTGTATCCATCCATGAACACAATGGCCTACTCCGAGCCCGACCCCCTCTCGGGCAATTGGTCCTACGACAGTGCCATCGACCTCTTTGCCCTCAATCCCGTCTTCCCCGATCCCTTCCAGATGGATCTGGCCGACGAGCTGCTGCCCATGGACCCCAAGGAATTCTCCGAACGTCCAGTCCAGCAGTCCATCACCGGTTATTCCATGTCTCACCACCCGGGCAATGAGGCTGCGTCTTTACCATCGGTATGTCTTCTCATACATCAAGCATCATACATCAGACACAGACCAACTAACAGAACGATAGGACGTCGAAAGCGACGATCAGTCCTGGTCCCCCACCCACCTCTCCTCCCTCGACAACTTCGCCATGGACATGCTCAACTTCGACAACCACCCTCCATCCAGCCCAACCCACCGCCGTCAATCCTACCCACCAGCCGCCAAACCCGCCCGCCGGTCGCGCTGGCCCAGTTCCGAGCCCCACGACGACGAGTCCGTGCCCACCCCCGCAGAGATCGACTCCGCTGCACCTCGCAAACCTCTCAAGCGCACGCTCTCCGAGGACTCGGCCAGCAGCGGCGGCGGTCCAACCGGTCCCGCCACCGGTCGCAACGCCGCCAAACGCGCCGCCCACAACATCATCGAGAAGCGGTACCGCACCAACATGAACGCCAAGTTCGTCGCCCTCGAAAAGGCCATGGCCGGCGCCGTCGGCACGAGTATGTCCGCCTCGGCCACGGCAGCTTCGCGGCCCACGCGCGGCGGGTCGTCGGCCTCCCTCAAGAAGTCCGAGATTCTCTCCAATGCCATTGCCTACATGCAGGAGCTGCAAGAGGCGAACCAGGCTATGCGGAAGGAGATGACGCTACTCCGGCAGAGTATGGGCCTGGGGAGACGCTACTAAATCTACTGTTGGTCCGATTTTCCTCTCGGTCCGATTGCACTCTTGAGTTCGACTTCTGAATCGTACCGGGATCCCTCTTATCATTTCTTTACTTAATGTATATTAATCTTTCATTTGTGACGGCTGAGAAAAAGTATTCATTGCATGACACCGGGATGGGGCTGGCTATGGGATGGAGTTATCTTTCTTTCTTTCTTTCTTTATTTTCATTTCCTTTGTTTTATATCATTGACCATCATGGGATACCCGGAACACCAATCCAACTCCACTTCATCACCTTGAGCAAGTTCCAACTTCGAATTTCCAAGTATAGTTCATTCCATAAAATCCCCAAGATAAATGTGTCGAGTCCTGGACAGGTGAAACCCAGCAAACCTAGTAGCAAGTACAACACAGGTTTGGACCCACACGGGCCTCTCCATCCGAGGTCCAGAACCCAGCCACGAACGTCACAAGTGGATCAGTTTGTCTGACAGCTGTAAGACTGCTGTCTGGGCAAAGTCCGCTTTTTTCATTCATCCTTTTTTTCTCTCTTTCTTTCTCTCTTTCTTTCTTTCTTTTTTCTCTCATGTATACCTCTCTTTTCCCATGTACGCCTGTGCATGTCCATGTAGGTAGAAACAGGTGAGTGGATAAGCATAGATCCAAATCCAGATAGTCATGAACCGGCGATCTTGGTGGATTAGTAGTTTCAGTTTACTAGAATAGTTAGTATCCGCCGCCCGGCCGAGCGAATTAGTTTCCCAAGTCGGTTAGAAGCACCTAATAGCTAGCTAGCTGGGTAGCGAGCCTGCGAGGGAGAAAACGACAGATCCTGCAGAGCAAGCGAGGTGACCGTGTCTGTATCTGTATGCCTCGGTCGGTGGTGGTTCGATGGGAGTCTAGAATCTGTTCATACTTTTTGTATTATTAGTGGGCATAACACAATGATACACAATGGGTAAAAGGTGCCTATTTGGCTTTCTGTTCGGGTCTGCCACTTTGTCACATCTCTACTGCTTATTCTCGCCCCTTCGCCACGGGAGTGGATTCTAGTATCTTGCTATATGCATACAGAACTGAACTACTGATACCTCCCTTCCACCTTCGTTACCTCTCCGTCCAGTGCGTACTTTTGGGGATCGACCATGTTTAATGAATCAATGTGTTTTGTTATGGCGAAAGGTAGCTTGATTATGTGCGAAGACTGATAAAACAGTATGAAAATACTGATGGAATTAATGAATCTTTAGGACTATGCAAAATTTGTGAATAGTGGCAAGTTTGCAAGTGGAGCCCACGAGCGATCTGTGGGGAAAGACTCTGCAAGTCGGCTGATATGCTGGCGTTCCACTATTCTACAGACTGAACGAAGGAATGGATCGATCGATTAATTGTGCAGTCGAGGGATTATGCTACTCCTGTCTCTTGACTGGTGTTATTGCGAGCTAGCTTGCGCCGTGGATCTATGGCTACAGCTGGAAATACCCTTTCTACACAGGACATTTCTCCCATCCCTTGGGACTTCTACCACGGCGCGCCGGGAATGTATGACTGTATAGTCCGAGTGGATTGTCTGGTTATTTCCATTTCAAGATACACCAAAGATAACCCCAGGGCCCATCCTATCCATGCCCATCCTATGAATGTGGTCCATCCGCCTTCTTCCCCCCGACATTTCCCCCAACATCCCCCTCCCACCCCTCGTTCTCCAAACGCTGCGCGACGATCATCTGCGCCAGGGCGTCTTCCGTGCGGAGATACGTCTTGCGGCCCTGGATGAACCAGAATCCGACAGCAACGACCAGCATAACCCCGAACACGGCGATCGCCCAGTTCATGTCGCTGGGCGCGGGGGACGGCGACCCCGGGAAGAAGAAAAAGACCGTCGTGATGGCGCAGTAGATGACACCGACCCAGTTCATCAGCGGGCCCCACCGACCCAGCCGGAACGGCCCCGGCGGCAGCCGGTCGCGCCCGACAACCAGCAGCGCCGCGATCGGCAGCCCGTACGAGACGGTCAGCGCGATCGTGCTGACGCTGAGGATCGCGTCCAGCACCGTGTTGGCGAACAGGTAGAGTACCCCCACCAGTCCGATCAGCACCCCCTGGAACCAGAGCGCCCGCGCGGGAACCTTCCACACGGGGTCGACGTGCGTCAGGTACCGGCTCCAGGGCAGGCCGCCGTCGCGGGCGAAACCCCACGTCAGTCGGGAGGCGGTCGTGAGGATGCTGATGCCTTGGCCGAGGCCGTTGAAGATGAAGAGCGCGATGAGCGTGGCGCCGCCGTTGAGGCCGACCGTCTCGAGCATGAGCTCGATGAAGGGTAGCCCGCTGGGCGAGTCGAGGACGTTGTCGATGCTCTGCACGCAGAACAGACACACGATCATGAATATGAACCCTGTCACGGCGCCCAGGAGCACCGCCATCCAGATGACGCGCGGCGCGTTGCGGCGCGGTGCGGGGATCTCCTCGATCATGTGAATGACGGCGTCGAACGCGGTCAGTCCGTACGCGGCTTGGACGAGCCCCGTGAACCAGACGACGCCGTCGCTCCAGCCTGTCTGGTTCATCCAGCGGCCGAAGACGAACGCGCCGGGCTGGAAGGACAGGTCGGCCTTGGTGCCGACCGAGATCAGCAGCGCCAGCGACAGCACCACGAACAGACCCGTGAACCAGACACCGACGAAGTTGTTGATCCAGGGCAGGATGCGCTCGCGTCGGCAGCTGACCACGTTGATGACCGTCAGCAGCACCACCACGCCGATGTAGACGACGAACTCCAGCCAGCCCGTCGCCGACCCGGTCCAGCTGGGCTGGAACATGTTCTTCATGCCCAGCAGGAACTCGGTCATGAAGGCGACCTGGGAGGCCGTCAGGGTCCACCAGCCAAAGGTGTTGATCCAGGCGCACATGTACGAGCAGAAGCGTCCCGAGGGGGAGTTCCACAGCCGGAACACCCAGTATGCCTGGCCCAGCGCGGTCGGCATGCTGCTGGCCAGCTCACCGAGGGAGAGGGCGACGCAGAGATTGCAGATGGCCACGAGCACGAGACCCCACAGGATGGTGATGGGCCCGCCATTTTCGAGACCCGAGCTGAGGTCCTGTGCGAAGGTGGAGTAGGTCCCTATCCCGAATCGTTAGGGGGGCTTGGACTGTGCGCGGGCGCGAGGACAGTTTCACGAAATTAGGGGAGAGGGCTACCGAGAACGCAGAACGCCAGAGCTAACATGCTCCACGTGTCGAATTTGCGAGTGAGGGCCTGGTCGTGGCCCATGGCCGCGAGATCGTGGGCATCTTGAACGCTTTGGTCGACCGACTGCACCGGTTTGATGGGGTCATTGTTTTCCACGTCCATACGGGAGGACGAGCGGGACAGAAAATTTGCAAAGAAGAAGGTCGATTCAAGCGTAGGGAAGGTGATTCAAAAGGCCGGAAAAGTAAGATACCTTCCTGTCCATTTTCTTGCGGTTGGGTTACTGCTCTCAGCCACGGCGTTTGGGGAGGTTGCGCGATTTATATACTAGTCCAGTCGTCCTGAATGGTAGCCTACTACTTCCCGGGGGCGATATCGTATCTGCTTCCCCTCACGGGCCAGTGTCAGCAGGGAACCGAGATACCATGCTGGTTATCAAACGGGAGCTTAATCAGGGGTCCGTGATAAGTTAGCTAATGGACAGTTGATTCTGCGGGGATTGGGGGAGATAGGTGTGGATATACTCAGTCGGCAGGACTTCCTAAGCGGGGTTAACATATCGTATCCAATCCAGCCTAACGTTACCGTGTGCCAAGCGAATGCAACCATCGGGTTGATTGGTGCGGGTTAGCCCGAGGGAGATGATAGACCAGTGAAAACGCCCAAGTCTGGGAGAATTCGACGTGTTGGAGGTTTGGAGTTGGAGAATCAACTGTGAGGTTATTTTCCCCCATCATTTCCGTCCACCTGGCCGTCCAGTGATGATTGAGTGCCTCGTCACAAAGACCCGATTAGGCAAGTCTATGCGACCTATCAGCGCCCTCGATATCGCGACTGTCGATCTGACCGCGTCGAAATTCCGTGGCATCTTCTTGCTCTCTTACTCATACAGACATCAAGGGATCGATGACCATAAGAGATCAGAATGAAACCAGTCCCGTGCGGAAGGAGTGGGCATATATATCACAATCATCTCGAGTGGCCTGACATTCTTCTCCCACTCCAAATTAGGCACAGATCAGCGGTCTTGGTCCTTGGGCGCCCTCAAGCTGTCGACAGGTTTCAGCCCCTGACACAAAGAAATCGGATCAAGCCCGACCATCACTATTCAGGATAGTACAATGACGACGAGGCGGTATCGCCACATGCTCATCCCTGTATCGACTCTCCTCCGAGGGCTGACGGTGGGGCGGACAGGAGTGGATATGGGGTATACTCGTGCGGGGAATACATCTCTCCAGTCTCCACCGTCGACAAACGTGGGAGGCCATCTTCCGTTGCGGCAATTAAAGTGACTAGGACCTAGTTGGATCTGTCGAGAATGCTCAAAGTCGTCAAACGGGCGATACAATCATTCCCATTGCTCCGACGCCACAAGAGTATCGTTTGACTCCATTTTCATAAAGAGGTATTGCCTCGATCTCTCCATCAGAAGCGCAGAGCGACCACAAGGTGCCATGGTCTTATCTACGCAAACAGTGGTCCGGAATGCAGATATCAGAACCCTCCCTTTTGTGTCTTTTAAGTGGGTTTTCTGGTTTCATCACGCAACATAGAAATCACCAAATAAGCAGTCTGAAACAAACAGTCAACGCATCAAATCATCGAATTATCAAACTCTCTTTTTGGGCGAACCTGATCGCTCTCAGTCAGACAATACCGCCTTGCGGCGAGTTGCTGCCCCCTCTTCACACGTAAAGAACGCAATTACTGTCCCTGCCTGCTGTCCAACCCTGCTACTCGCTGTTCTTGGCCTCCCTAGGAGGAGAATAGAGATGTGGTAAATAGTCCGCGCTAGGCTCGCTGCGCTTGGCCACCCTGTCCAAGTCCAAATCGAGATCCAAGGGCCCATCGCCGGCACTGGTCTCATCACTGCGCTTGACTCCCCCTTTCAGATTGTAATCCTTGAGCTCATCATAAGTTTCAGGGTAGTCCCCATCACCACGCTTGGCCACCCTGTCCAAGTCCAAATCGAGA